CATTTCACAACTTTTGAGGTAAAATCGACCCTGCTCCTTCAAAGAAGATTTTCAAATCTTGTTTAAAAAATTTCTTATCAGGGTTACAACTTTTAAGACTTCAGTAAAGCTTTCAAAACGTTATATTGTATACATTTGGAGGACATTTCCAAATTTGACGCATCAATTATGTCCGAAACAATAAACTATTTGACTTTTATCACGTGTCCCCGTTCTTGTTCAGGTAAACAATTGACTGGCCTTTGCACGTGCTACCTGTGGGGCAGGATACGCGCACCTTCCGCGACCACCTGGTATCATGGTAATTCATAAACACATGCTCATGATACAGTCGGAATCATATAGTCGACTCTGCATTTAGCAGAGATTTCTTGTGACAATGGAAGGTGTTTTGTCGCTTACATTTCCAGGCAGACAACGTGTGTGACCTGAATCACATGTGATAGGTCTACCTTTGAAGCTATCTGTCATGCAGAAGTAGATATAAAGTACTGTCAGAAATGCTAGAAAAAAATATCGCGAATTGACCTAATCTAGCCTGTCCTAACTGACATTGTGATTACCCTTAAAATGTACTTTTACAGGTAAAATGTTGATAAACTTAGAAAATATTCGTGTCATGCATGTATGAAATGGCCTATAAACTGAGGTAATTACCTAACACTTGTCCCGAGGTGATGACCTCACACCGAGCCGTACATTCAGGTGCAAATGTCATCGAGTTGGGGGTGGTCTCAAAATATTGCTGTTATTGTACTTAATTGACATGCGTTGATGGGGTAGCAATTTAGGATATGTATTGCATTATATTTGCTTGGAAACACGATGGACTAGGTCAGAGCTATGAAATGGGATGAGTATTGGAAGGTTGCGGTTTTGGAATCCAGAAATATTTGTTGTTCTACAGATGGTTTCTTGAGATATCATATCTCAGCTGACGTATATGAATCTGTACTTTTGAATGTTGTGTTATGTCTGGCTACGAACCCATTACACCTAGTCAAGATGGGCACAACAGGGTTGAGCTCACAATGTCTGACTGGCGTACGTAAGACAACTTGACCGTGTTGTGCCGCCAGCACATATGTCTTGTACTTTACTGGATTCTTATTCAGCCGAATTTTCTCCATGAGTTGAACTTTTGTTTCATATGGTCTGAAGCCGACAATGTCATATATTCCTGTATGATCGCCTTCAGACTACTCATAGATTGGGCGACAGCATCTGATTCTCGGACGTTATATTAACTGGCGTTATCCATGACAATAACACTGGTGTTGTTTAAAATGGGCAATAGCTAAAGTTCCAACCAGTCTATGAACACATCATCTCCTATATATAAGTTCATTATGAAAATCATCAGTTTTCTCTTTCGCCTCGAAAACTAGCACACGTCCATCAATAAGCCCCATATCATGGGTTGCAGCATGCAAAACAATGACACGATTACCTTTACCTGATGGTACCATGGGTGCTTTTTGTCCATCTGCCGATAGCCACATGTGGTCAGTGGTATGATTCATCAAGGTACGTTATCTGGACGCCCTGACTGTGATAGTTATGAATGGTTCGGAGATAATGTGACCTCATAGACAGAATGGAATATTTTCCCCTGAAAGGTGCTCGGTCATCGCCAGGCGCAGTGTATCGTATTCCCATCTCTTGGAGAGCAATAGTTAGTGCAGTCCAGGAAACATTAATTGTATCTTTAATTAACCGGAGATGATAGTGTGTTGGTGAAGAGAGGACATGGATAGTTTGTGATGAAGGAGGTGATAGTGTTGGTGAAGAGAGGACATGGATAGTTTGTGATGACGGAGGTGATAGTGTTGGTTAAGAAAGGACATGGATAGTTTGTGATGACGGAGGTGATAGTGTTGGTTAGGAGAGGACATGGATAGTTTGTGATGACGGAGGTGATAGTGTTGGTGGAGAGAGGACATGGATAGTTTGTGATGACGGAGGTGATAGTGTTGGTTAAGAGAGGACATGGATAGTTTGTGATGACGGAGGTGATAGTGTTGGTGGAGGGAGAACATGGATAGTTTGTGATGACGGAGGTGATATTGTTGCTGGACAGAGAACATGGATAGTTTGTGATGAAGGAGGTGATAGTGTTCGTGGATAGAGAACATGGATAGTTTGTCATGACGGAGATGATAGTGTTGCTGGAGAGAGGACTTGGATAGTTTGTGATGAAGGAGGTGATAGTGTTGGTGGAGAGAGGACATGGATAGTTTGTGATGACGGAGGTGATAGTGTTGGTGGAGAGAGAACATGGATAGTTTGTGATGACGGAGGTGATAGTGTTGGTGGAGAGAGAACATGGATAGTTTGTGATGACGGAGGTGATAGTGTTGGTTAAGAGAGGACATGGATAGTTTGTGATGAAGGAGGTGATAGTGTTGGGGGAGAGAGAACATAGATAGTTTGTGATGACGGAGGTGATAGTGTTGGGGGAGAGAGAACATGGATAGTTTGTGATGACGGAGGTGATAGTGTTGGTGGAGGGAGAACATGGATAGTTTGTGATGAAGGAGGTGATAGTGTTGGTGAAGAGAGAACATGGATAGTTTGTGATGAAGGAGGTGATAGTGTTGGGGAGAGAGGACATGGATAGTTTGTGATGAAGGAGGTGATAGTGTTGATGGAGAGAGAACATGGATAGTTTGTGATGACAGAGGTTATAGTGTTGATGGAGAGAGAACATGGATAGTTTGTGATGACGGAGGTGATAGTGTTGCTGGAGAGAGAACATGGATAGTTTGTGATGACGGAGGTGATAGTGTTGCTGGAGAGAGAACATGAATAGTTTGTGATGACGGAGGTGATAGTGTTGGTTAAGAGAGGACATGGATAGTTTGTGATGAAGGATGTGATAGTGTTGGGGGAGAGAGAACATGGATAGTTTGTGATGACGGAGGTGATAGTGTTGGTGGAGGGAGAACATGGATAGTTTGTGATGAAGGAGGTGATAGTGTTGGTGAAGAGAGAACATGGATAGTTTGTGATGACGGAGATGTTAGTGTTGCTGGAGAGAGAACATGGATAGTTTGTGATGAAGGAGGTGATAGTGTTGCTGGAGAGAAAACATGGATAGTTTGTGATGACGGAGATGATAGTGTTGATTGAGAGAGAACATGGATAGTTTGTGATGACGGAGGTGATAGTGTTGGTGGAGGGAGAACATGGATAGTTTGTGATGACGGAGATGGTAGTGTTGCTGGAGAGAGAACATGGATAGTTTGTGATGACGGAGGTGATGGTGTTGGTGGACAGAGAACATGGATAGTTTGTGATGACGGAGGTGATAGTGTTGGGGGAGAGAGAACATGAATAGTTTGTGATGACGGAGGTGATAGTGTGTTGGTGGAGAGAGAACATGGATAGTTTGTGATGACGGAGATGATGGTGTGCTGCTGGAGAGAGAACATGGATAGTTTTTGATGAAGGAGGTGATAGTGTTGGTGAAGAGAGGACATGGATAGTTTGTGATGAAGGAGGTGATAGTGTTGGTGGACAGGGAACATGGATAGTTTGTGATGACGGAGGTGATAGTGTTGGTTGAGAGAGAACATGGATAGTTTGTGATGACGGAGGTGATAGTGTTGATGTTGACTGGACGTGGACAACAATATGTAGCTGTTCTCTCGCACCTGGTGCACGTGGTTAGATTGGACAGTGTGTAATCCTGCATCGAGCTTCAGAAGCAAACTTTATATTTACCCACACAAATGTTCTTCTGTAGTGATAACATGATGACAAGCAATATTTTGTGAACAAAATCTCCTTTATTCTTTGTTACTGCGTTTCAGGGTTACTTCTTGCCCCTTCGTCGGGTGAACACTAGTTGTTGTTGGTTGTTGCTTTTGTTGCTTTTTGGTTGTTGGATATTGGTTGTTGTTCCTGCTGTTGCTGTTGTTGTTGTTGCTTTAGGTGTGTAAGAGGTCGCCTTCTGCCTTGGCAATTTCGGCTGACCTTTCCCCCAAGGGACTTGTGTGTGTGAGAAGGGTAAACATATCTATTGGGAATTGCACTGTTAATGAAATGTCTGTTTTTGTGTTGAATAGAATAAGCGTTTTCAGTTAACATATACGTGCTCATATGCTTACACAAGGTGGGATTAATGTGCAAAGATAACAATATGACGAGGAAGCCAATAAGATTAAAAAACGGAAAGCCTATTACATACAGTGAAGGAGTAGTGATGGGACTGAGCGTTATAACAAACGACTGACGACGGTAATAGCACGTGGTAAAGTGATGGGGCCGAGCGTTATAACAAACAACTGACGACGGTAATAGCAAGTGGTGTAGTGATGGGGCCGAACGTTATAACAAACAACTGACGACGGTAATAGCAAGTGATATATTGATGTGGCTGAGCGTTATAACAAACAACTGACGACGGTAATAGCAAGTGATATATTGATGTGGCTGAGCGTTATAACAAACAACTGACGACGGTAATAGCAAGTGGTGTAGTGATGTGGCTGCGCGTTATAACAAACAGCTGACGACGGAAATAGCAAGTGATATATTGATGTGGCTGAGCGTTATAACAAACAACTGACGACAGTAATAGCAAGTGATATATTGATGTGGCTGAGCGTTATAACAAACAACTGACGACAGTAATAGCAAGTGATATATTGATGTGGCTGAGCGTTATAACAAACAACTGACGACGGTAATAGCAAGTGATATAGTGATGTGGCTGCGCGTTACGACAAACAGCTGACGACGGTAATAGCAAGTGGTGTAGTGATGGGGCTGAGCGTTATAACAAACAACTGTCGATAGGAATAAGTGATGTAGTGATGGGGCTGAGCGTTATAACAAACAACTGACGACGGTAATAGCAAGTGGTTTAGTGATGGGGCTGAGCTTTAACTTGGTGAATGGAATCTGGCGCAATATTTACAGATTTATTATTATCCTAATCTCTAAATATGAGCCATTATAGAGTGTTACAGAAACCGATCTAAGTATAGAACAGGTTGAGATTGGTATGATTTCTTAGTCCTGATCAGAGTACAATGTTGATGTGGCAGAATGTGAATGTGTCTTATTTGTGAAGACGTTCTAGGTGTTCCCTGGCCCATTGCCAACACTAGCAGCACCACGTACACCAGGGTCATTGTGTCTGAGAAGGACCAGCATGTCACTGTTCATCGCCCCAATCATACTTTCCAACCGCTTTTGTTGTCGGGTCAACTCTTCAATGGATTCCTGAAAGAAACATCAGCCTGACTGACATTCATCTTAATATGCTTTAGTGTCATTCATCAGAAAAATGCATTAGTGTGAGCTGTCAGAAATATGCGTGAGTGATATTTTTCATCCGACGGAGATTTCGTTTAGCCGAGTGCTACATCTCCTAGGAAATATCACACTGAAATTGCAGCACAATAATTTCAAGAACATTGTGACGTCATCAGTTTCAACGACGTCACAATAAAATGACATCACACTCTCGAGCTCTGCCACTGAAACTGGTTTGCTGTACTCCTTACACTCAAGGTGACATTTATCACAAATATGCGGAATTTGTCCCAAATATGTATGAGTGAAATTGATAAAATTGTACATTTTGAAAATGTATGCAAGAGTAAGGTGTGTCAGATACATGGAGCTGCGAACGGCAATAGGCATAGAATGTGTCGGAAATATGAATGAGTGGTATTTGTTATAAATGATAAACGCTTTTGAAATATGTGCTCTTTCGCATGGATAGATATTATTCGTTCTCGTTCCTCAAAACAATCTTATTTTCTGTTCTCAGTACATGTGAGAACATGTACATAACTATTATTAAAAAAAGTCAATATAATAATAAAGAACTGTATATTATAATAATATTGCATGTGTAATGCCAGTGCACAGCAGTAGAAGCCTGGTACTCACCAACACAGTGTTCTCTACAGTAGAAGCCTGATACTCACCAACACAGTGTTCTCTACAGTAGAAGCCTGATACTCACCAACACGGTGTCCTCTACAGTAGAAGCCTGATACTCACCAACACAGTGTTCTCTACAGTAGAAGCCTGATACTCACCAACACAGTGTTCTCTACAGTAGAAGCCTGATACTCACCAACACAGTGTCCTCTACAGTAGAAGCCTGATACTCACCAACACAGTGTTCTCTACAGTAGAAGCCTGATACTCACCAACACGGTGTCCTCTACAGTAGAAGCCTGATACTCACCAACACAGTGTTCTCTACAGTAGAAGCCTTATACTCACCAACACAGTGTTCTCTACAGTAGAAGCCTGATACTCACCAACACAGTGTCCTCTACAGTAGAAGCCTGATACTCACCAACACAGTGTTCTCTACAGTAGAAGCCTGATACTCACCAACACAGTGTCCTCTACAGTAGAAGCCTGATACTCACCAACACAGTGTTCTCTACAGTAGAAGCCTGATACTCACCAACACAGTGTTCTCTGCAGTAGAAGCCTGGTACTCACCAACACAGTGTTCTCTGCAGTAGAAGCCTGATACTCACCAACACAGTGTTCTCTGTAGACGCCTGATACTCACCAACACAGTGTTCTCTACAGTAGAAGCCTGGTACTCACCAACACAGTGTTCTCTACAGTAGAAACCTGATACTCACCAACACAGTGTCCTCTACTTTAGAAGCCTGATACTCACCAACACAGTTTTCTCTGCAGTAGAAGCCTGATACTCACCAACACAGTGTTCTCTGCAGTAGAAGCCTGGTACTCACCAACACAGTGTTCTCTGCAGTAGAAGCCTGATACTCACCAACACAGTGTTCTCTGTAGACGCCTGATACTCACCAACACAGTGTTCTCTGCAGTAGAAGCCTGATACTCACCAACACAGTGTTATCTGCAGTAGAAGCCTGGTACTCACCAACACAGTGTTCTCTGTAGACGCCTGATACTCACCAACACAGTGTTCTCTACAGTAGAAGCCTGATACTCACCAACACAGTGTCCTCTACAGTAGACGCCTGGTACTCACCAACACAGTGTTCTCTGCAGTAGAAGCCTGATACTCACCAACACAGTGTTCCCTGCAGTAAAATCCTGATACTCACCAACACAGTGTTCTCTGCAGTAGAAGCCTGATACTCACCAACACAGTGTTCTCTGCAGTAGAAGTCTGATACTCACCAACACAGTGTTCTCTGCAGTAAAAGCCTGATACTCACCAACACAGTGTTCTCTACAGTAGAAGCCTGGTACTCACCAACACATTGTTCCCTGCAGTAGAAGCCTGATACTTACCAACACAGTGTTCTCTGCAGTAGAAGCCTGATACTCACCAACACAGTGTTCCCTGCAGTAGAAGCCTGATACTTACCAACACAATGTTCTCTGCAATAGAAGCCTGATACTTACCAACACAATGTTCCCTACAGTAGAAGCCTGATACTCACCAACACAGTGTTCCCTGCAGTAGAAGCCTGATACTCACCAACACAGTGTTCTCTGCAGTAGAAGCCTGATACTCACCAACACAGTGTACTCTACAGTAGAAGCCTGATACTCACCAACACGGTGTTCTCCTGCTTCTCGACTCTCTGGTTCCACCACCAACATGGCAGCGCCATGAACTTCCTCCACAGCCAGGGGGTCTTGGATTTCTTCTTCTTGGTGCTATATCTCTTCTTGTACAGCTTTGCTCTGGTTGTGTTGAACAAAACCTTCTCCACGTCCAGGACCAATTCTACCTGTTGTGGTGATCAAGGACAAGGATTGTTCCCGTTAATAACAACACACATTTCAGTAAACAGAAGCAGTAAACTAAATATAATGATTCAAATACATCAATTTTCGAAAATACTTATATCCATTTCAGAACTACAAACATGGCTTTTATCATGCTATTCGACGTCGCCTGTATTGCTACATGTAATCCCTAGTATATACCAGCTGTTTGGTAGCCTGATGGTAAAAGTATCACGCGGAAGCCAGGGTGAAGTGTGTGACACCTATGTCTGGTATCCCCTGCACTGATAATGCTGTAATATTGGTAAAAGCGACGTAAAAACTCACTATTATAACAAAAGAAGACGCGTATTAACAACAGAATCCCATCAACGATTTCTCACTTACATGCATTGCCGTCCGCTTGAAGGCTGCTCGTCGTTGGATCCCCTGAATATCACCAACAGCCAGACCGACCTGGACAATTCAACACATTTAAACAGCGCAAGGCCAAGCCTGGTGTACATAAAAACATCAATTTATGCTATTATTAATATCCAACAAACATGGAACCATTCTTCCTTTGTTTACAAAAAAAACCAGACTGCTTAATTTGACAGCCTCCACACACGAGTTCGATGTTTGTATACGTTATTGCCGGGAAGTTCTACGGAATTATATGCCTATTCTGAAAGACATGATGCTTGTTTTGATTTTGATGTTTCTAAACATATAGTTCTGTAGGATAACTATGTTCCTTACACACCTGTGTGCGAAAAATCCATTTGAGATGGGCAGATAACTGCAGCTTGTCTCAAACATATTTGTGTTCGAGTTCCCGGCCCGTGATTGGCTACGCCATGGAGATGACCTTAGGTGACAGATTATGACGGACTACTTCCCTGATTATAATTCATTGATAAGTTTTTTCATGTCTGTTTCAAAACTTGCATGGTGTTATAGTGTTTGATCCCTTTAATGTTCTTTGTTCTTATCTGGTTTGCATCAATTCACACATACAGCTGACACATTTTGTGGAGGGTCACTCTAGATATGAGCAGTTAGTGGACGTCACTCAAGCGTTGTGTGACATATTACCTCGCCACTGTCATCATGAGAATAGACGACATATGCATTAATTTGAAATTAAATGAGTTTTTGTAAGTTAGTGTAAGAAACTGATAACTGTATTCATGCATGTCATATAACATAATATTTATTTTACAACTCATTGTTTCAAAATGTATCTACCTCGATTTCGCAGCTCTATAACTACATTTCTTGGCCAATCTAAAGCTTACTAGCATGTGGATGACAGTTTGCTACAAGGCTTTGGAATACTTCAATACCCGGCAGTGGCATTAAATATTAACATGCATGTTGCTCACATCATAAATGTGACGTACCAGTAAGTTCATGAGGACAATTGACGCCAGTGTAATGAAGATGGAGAAGAGGACGGATGTTGCTGGTGGGTACAGCAGGTTGGTGGTGTCTGTTGCTGTGGTGTCATTGAGACCAGCGTTGAAGATGTCATCATAACCGAGGTCTCCAATGAACATGACGCCTGTTTTCAGGATTGCGTTTGGCGCGTCTCTGAATGGAATCTATTCACGGAGTGAAGTGATGTTTTACAATTTATCTATCGACCATACTTTGTCACATAATAAAATATGAAATTCAGTATGGAGCAATTCTACAAAGCACTTCATAGTGAGTGAGTTGTTTTGTTTAACGTCGCCCCGCAATGTATTTCAGTTATATCACGGCGTCTCATCTAATGTGGGGGGGGGGGGGGGGGAACCCGGAGTGATGCAGGTTTAAGACGTTCACCACTTTGGTGAAACCTACAAGCACGGGTATGGTCCTGACAAACCTAGACACATAATCGGGACGAATCGGGATTCGAACCCACAATCACGTGTTTCTGTCGTGCCCACAGGACGCAACCCTGCACAGCGGCTTGTTTAGTAATTAGTTAAAAGCAATCATTACCTATCGATATTACACCTTGCCAACAAACGACTCTATACACAACCTATTTGACTATATGAACTGCACAATGCAAACACTATGCGAAAAAGCTCATTTCTTGATGTTGGAAATAGATCACGAGTTGACATTAATGTTAGTGCGTACATCTCCAAATATTCGAAATCAATTTTGCTACATTTTCATGTGTTATTTGGGGCTTATTTCAAACTGATTCATACATCGACATCTGGTATACATCGACGCGGAATTCTTATAAAAAGAGTAAAAGAGAAAATGTGAATGTTTCATTTTAAATGTATTTTGAAATCCAATTGTGTTTGGTTCAACATGCCAAAGACAATTCCATGGCACTTGGGATTAACAAACAAAACGCAATGAAACACATCTTGGGTCATAATTGTCACTTTTCCTGACACAAAACGTAATGATGAAAGCATGATAACAAAGTTCCTGAACACGTCCCTACCACCGATAATTCATGGAATTGAATGATTCCTCACGTTTGACAGGAAAAGACATAGATGCATATTAAAAAGTCCATTTCTACAGGCATTTGAACGTTCTGGCTTGATTCCAATATATACCAGAACATAAGGGAAGGAATGGACATGCAGTCATTGGGAAGAGTCACCTGCTTGTTTTGTACTATCACGGAAACTAGTGTGAGAGAAGGTGTGAAAAAAGGGACACCGTACCTGATTTTGCAGCAGAATGTGGAACCCGAGGCTGAAGGCGAGTATTAATGAGAAGAAGACCAGAAACACCTTGAGAAACGTCCAACAGACGAGCTGGAACATGATGACATACAAGCCTAGGGACGTGAAGGCCTTGAGGTACAGCACCAGGTCAATCCAGGCGAAGAAAACAGCAAACGCGCCCAGAGACCACTGCCATTCCTGCAGGAACACCCAATCTTTATTTAACTTTGATTCAAATCTCAGATCTAGAGGTATCAAGTATGTTCAGTTTATGTTGACTGGTTTTAAACAATGTAACAAAAAAACATTTAAAAAAAACAGACGGTATAGTCAACAATTTATAAGCTATGAAGTTTGATGTTGGTTGTTTTGACGTACTCACATCAAGAATCAACAATCAGAGCCTGACTAGGATGCTTTTTGCAATGTCGATCTGCTCCAACCACACAGAATTATAGAATTACTAATAAATGCCGCAAATGGCACCGTGGTCTGACCTGTCTGTAGCCTGTGGTTGTCGTGCACTCACTGAACTCCAGCAGAAGGAGAAAGGTGCAGATGTAGGACACCCATTCCACATAACTCTCCAGGTCACTCAAGTACGCAGCCCTCATGTTGAACATCTGCAGTATCTGAAAGTACACGAATCATTGCACACACTTGCATGTCTGTGGTGGGCCCAACCGTCTTCGTGGTGTAGTGGATAGAGTGTCTGCCCAGAGAGCGAAAGGTCGCTGCTTCGATGCCTAGGCACGTCACACCAAAGCCACACTCAAAGATTTTACCTCTTGTTACCCTGCCTGGAGCTCAGCTTTGAATGGGACACAGGAAGGACTGACTAGCTCGGAGTCAGAATACTGTGTCTGAGTGGGGTATGCATGATAGGAGAGCTAATACGGCTTCCGCGGGTGTTATGATGGTGTTATCATAGTAACCTCATAGTATCACTGTTGTATAAACACAGGCTTAGGCTATTGTCAGAATCGTGCAATACATTTCTTCTGATTATGCAAAGGGTTTGTCGCTTTTTTCTCATCTAGCACTCATAACAACACATCCGGGTTATAGCCAGATGCAATATTTGTTAAACAACTTATAAAACTTATGAAGTCAGAAAGTTGTTTTCAGGTACAGGGAAGGGTGGAACTGCGTTTTGGTGACCTGTTAAGAATTGGTTTTTGACAGTATGACCTTAGATTTATGCGTTGTGAAGGTCGAGCAAATCAAGATAAATGCACGTGTAAAATGTTTCTTAGCCCAAATGTTCTTAGTGCTTTGTGGTGTTTGCACATCCTGAAGACAGGATGAGTTGGTATCTGTTTCGATCTTACCCGCTGCCCTTCTGACAAATGACAAACAATGCCCGAAGACTGGACGTGAAAGGGGGAAGGCAATAGGAATGTTGAAAGAGGGGCTGTCAGCTCGTAGTGGAGTCAGGTGACTTAACTGGGGCCACGTTGTCAGCATGATACCGACAGACGAACAGCACTCTTCATTGTCCCAGATCTAGGCGACTACTAGTTACCAACCGTTCTAAGGCCCATAACAGACAGCAAGGACTCCCTAAGGACAGCCTGTACCAGTGTCTACAGGACTAGATTTGTGTTGACCGTAACTACCCTGTAGGATCCCCTTTAGTCCCATTTTACTGACTACCCGGGAAGACCCGGGGTAGAATAGGTCTTCAGCAACCCATGTCTGTCATACGAGTTGACTAACGGGATCGGGTGGTCAGGCCTGCTGATTTGGTTGATGCATGTGCATGTTAAACAACAACAAAACAAACAAACAAACATTTCACTAATGTGTCTCTTTGTATTCTTCCTGACCATACTTGACCAATGAAATGTATTTACAAAGTATTAATTTCAAAGGGTACTAAATATATATTGTGCACTATGTGTCACAGTTATCACTTCGACAATCAGGTGGTTCTTTCTTTTACCATCCAGTGTATAATTTGCACTCAACTTCGAAGGAATGATTTAGAATATGACGATTCTGACAGCAACTTACCTCAAACACTGCGCCTAAACCCATGAGAACGTACAGAAGGATCTTCTCTACCAAAAGCCATGGGCTGATACTCCTGTCGCAGATGTTGTCGTTGATTGACGCCGCATTGGTGCTGAAGGAGAAGACATCACAGGATGTATGCCACTCTTCATCCCTATTCCTTAACGGATTCAAAAAAATTATATTCGGGAGGGCGGGGAGCTAGACATTTAAGACCACTGCTATAAATATAAAAACGGCAACTCCATAGAATAATTAGTCTCGATAACAGATTACATAGGGTGTAAAAGGCAAAATAGTTATGAAAGGTATATGGATGTATCGCTGAAAATCAGTGATGACACCAGGTGATCGTGAAAAGAGTAAGCATCTTCTGCCACATTTCCTGCATCCGCCACTAACGCAGTTTGCTTTAAAAGGTTCCTTTGCTGGCGACAGTTTTCACTGTACAGGAGAGAAGCACAGTTCACCACACCCTTTTTTAGGACATCCAACATGACCAGCATGTATTGTTTGTAAAACCTGAGGTAAAAATGTACGATTATATCTCGAGTTTTATGATTTTATAAAAAAATTCCGGGATTGTCTCTGCAACACCTGAGCATTTCAACAATTACATTACCAAAGGAGGAGATATATCAAGTAGAAGAGACACGAAATCCTTTCTATCGTCGTAATACAAATGACAAATCCCTTTCCATATTCATAAGAAATCTAAGAGTTTAGGGATCACAATCAAATAGTGATAAAAGCGTGTTCGCGAATATTTGAGCGTATCATGTCCCATCGGTGGCTCCCTTCGCAAACTCTTGCCAAAGCAAGTCAATTGTTCACCTGAAAAGGCACGGGTACAAGGCATTTAAGGAACAGAAATCTACCTACTAGCTGAGGGGATGGGTGGACTTGAGCATGTATCTAGTCAAGAGGATGACAAAGAGAAGATGAACGCCGAAGTTAGCCAGATAATAGTAGGCCCCAAAATGCCACCACTTCTTCTTGACGAGTTTGTTGACCAACGGATGCTGCAACAGCTCATCCCTGTTACACTCCACCTGTCATAGACATAGTACACGTGTTATATAAATATACTGTACACGTGTGATAACATTACTTAGTACACGTGTCATATACATATACTGTACACGTGTGATAACATTACATAGTACACGTGTCATATACATATACTGTACACATGTGATAACATTACATAGTACACGTGTTATATACATATACTGTACACGTGTGACATAAACATATAGTACACGTGTGATAACATTACATAGTACACGTGTTATATACATATAATGTACACGTGTGACATAAACATATAGTACACGTGTGATAACATTACATAGTACACGTGTTATATACATATACTGTACACGTGTGACATAACATATAGTACACGTGTGATAACATTACATAGTACACGTGTTATATACATATACTGTACACGTGTGACATAAACATATAGTACACGTGTGATAACATTACATAGTACACGTGTTATATACATATACTGTACACGTGTGACATAACATATAGTACACGTGTGATAACATTACATAGTACACGTGTTATATACATATACTGTACACGTGTGACATAAACATATAGTACACGTGTGATAACATTACATAGTACACGTGTTATATACATATACTGTACACGTGTGACATTAACATATAGTACACGTGTGATAACATTACTTAGTACACGTGTCATATACATATACTGTACACGTGTGATAACATTACATAGTACACGTGTCATATACATATACTGTACATATGTGATAACATTACATAGTACACGTGTTATATACATATACTGTACACGTGTGACATAAACATATAGTACACGTGTGATAACATTACATAGTACACGTGTTATATACATATACTGTACACGTGTGACATAAACATATAGTACACGTGTGATAACATTACATAGTACACGTGTCATATACATATACTGTACACGTGTGACATAAACATATAGTACACGTGTGATAACATTACATAGTACACGTGTTATATACATATACTGTACACGTGTGACATAAACATATAGTACACGTGTTATATACATATACTGTACACGTGTGACATAAACATATAGTACACGTGTTATAACATTAGTGAGTGAGTGAGTGAGTTTGGTTTTACGCCGCTTTTAGCAATAGTCCAGCAATATCACGACGGGGGACACCAGAAATGGGCTTCACACATTGTACCCATGTCGGGATTCGAACCCGGGTCTTCGGCGTGACGAGGGAACGCTTTAACCACTAGGCTACCCGACTGCCCCTGATAACATTACATAGTACACGTGTTACATAAATATACTGTACACGTGTGACATAAACATATAGTACACGTGTGATAACATTACATAGCACACATGTTACATAAATATGAATACACATGTAAGGTAGAAATGTAGTACATTTGTGATGTAAATATATAAAGCACCTGTGAAATACATATATTATTCACCATTGATGTAAACATAAGTCTTTGAAAGGCATTTAGAAGTGATACACATAAGGAAGAGAATGTACGGATGTCAACTTTTTTATTATGAGGAACACAACGTTTCGGAGTATATGCTTACTCCATCAGGTGAATTCACCTGATTCACCTGATGAAGGCGTAAGCATATACTCAGAAACGCTGTGTTCATCATAATAAAGAAGCTGACATCAACAATATCTCTTGATTTTGATATAAACATGTACTAGTAGCACACCTTGATATAAATATATAGTACACATTTAAAATAATTATAAATTATACGTGTGATATAACCAAAGTACACCTTAGATATACAAATGTAGTACACCTATGATATACACATTTAGTACACCTATGATATATATGTAGTACACCTATGATATACACATTTGGTACACCTATCGTATACGTATGTAGTACACCTATCATATACGTATGTAGTACACCTATCATATACCTATGTAGTATACCTATCATATACGTATGTAGTACACCTATCATAAACGTATGTAGTATACCTATGATATAGATGTGTAGTACACCTATCTTACACGTATGCTGTACGCCAATGATATAATATGTAGTACGCCTGTGTTGTAAATATAATATAAGTATGTAGGTTCCATAAATTGTGTCTACTTTGTCATCCATCAACTTCTAAGTAATGCCTATCAAACAATTCAAATATATAGGTGTTCTACCTAAGAAAAGGTATCGGTGTTCTACCTGTGATATTAATATTTATTGCACTTGTGATATACATATTTATGTGTGTATGTTCTTCTAGTGATATATATACTTATACCACTTGTGAGGTTTTCCATGTGTGATATATGTACATTAATTCACGTAGGTCCATAAGCTATATATTTCATGTGCTGATGGAGTATATATTACGAAGAATTTATCATGTGCCGCTAGAACGTCAGAGACAAAGCATTCCACATAGCGTGATAAACTAGACTTCAATATGTGGTGCAGGAATTAATGATTGACAGCATTACGTGTTCACTCTAATACTGCAGGCTTTGTGCGTCCTCAATATCAATCAAAGACAGGTAAGCCAGCAGTCTTCAGTATTACAGGGACATGATGACTTTTCACACAAGTGTCCACTAATACTGACGAGCCTTGTGCGTCCGTAATATCAATCAAAAACAGGTAAGCCAGAAGTCTTCAGTATTACAGGGACATGATGACTTTTCACACAAGTGTCCACTAATACTGACGAGCCTTGTGCGTCCGTAATATCAATCAAAGACAGGTAAGCCAGAAGTCTTCGGTATTACTGGGACATGATGACTTTTCACACAAGTGTCCAGTAATACTGACGAGCCTTGTGCGTCCGTAATATCAATCAAAGACAGGTAAGCCAGAAGTCTTCAGTATTACTGGTACATGATGACTTTTCACACAAGTGTCCAGTAATACTGACGAGCCTTGTGCGTCCGTAATATCAATCAAAGACAGGTAAGCCAGAAGTCTTCAGTGTTACAGGGACATGATGACTTTTCACACAAGTGTCCAGTAATACTGACGAGCCTTGTGCGTCCGTAATATCAATCAAAGACAGGTAAGCCAGCAGTCTTCAGTGTTACTGGGACATGATGACTTTTCACACAAGTGTCCACTAATACTGACGAGCCGTGTGCGTCCGTAATATCAATCAAAGACAGGTAAGCCAGAAGTCTTAAGTATTACTGGTACATGATGACTTTTCACACAAGTGTCCAGCAATACTGACGAGCCTTGAGAGTCCTCAATATCAAACAAAAACAGGTAAGCCAGCAGTCTTCAGTGTTTCTGGTACGTGATGACCTCATGCAAGGTTGTCGCGGCAGATCGTATGCAACAGAGTTGTTACTGTTGAGTTGTGCTGTTCATACACACTGGCTATTGTCACACATACGCCCCTGCCATTCTGTAATGTGACGCTACATGTCAACTGACTGGCTGCTACTCTGATATGAACCTACTGTGTGTACTCGTTATGTTCAACAGAATAATGTAAGGCAAACGCAGAAGCATTGTTGAGAGGTGAAAGAGACAGAAAGCTTAGTTACCATGATTGACAGTGGGTGGTTCTTCTTGATGACAGTGGCCTTGTGTGTGTATGGGACTGTTTCAGCCTTGAGCTCACTGTCACTACATTTTTGTTTCTTTTTCTCTGAAGGAAAAACAGCATGATTGTACAGGAATATGTTAACAATGGCCATATAACAATCATGCACTGTCTATGGGTGAGGGTGAGGTGAAATGTTGTTTAACATCGCGTCCAAGGTTATTGCACTTATATAGCGACGTGCATGCACGTGTATGTGTGTGTGTGGCTGCTTGTACTAGTCCGGACTGATGCCGATTTACAGTGCTAGCACACTGAGATACCATGCCGCAGTTTAACATGAATACCCCACTCAGACACAGTATACTGACTCCGAGCCGACCAGTCCTTGTTTTAGCCCCTTAGTGCCGAGCGCCAGACAGGGTAACAACAACAAGTACCATCTTTTAACGTCTTTAGGTATGACGCGGTCGGGGATCCAACCCCTGACCTTCCGCTCTCCGGGCGGACTCTCTACAATTAAATGTAAACTAGTGTCCAAAAGAAACGATACCAACTTATTTTCAAAATTGTTTTTTACTAAGTGAATTGTCAAGTATGAAAACATGCCAGTTCGTATTGCACATCCCAAACACAGCATAGTCGATAAAAAAAAAAGGGAACACGTGATCACTTCCGGGAAAAAACGTAAATTTCGTGAAAGTGACATTTCCCTCTCTAGCATGTTCTGCACGTGCAGAAAAACTGTATAAAACGGCTGATCAGACACGTTGATATCACAGCAACAAAAAGAACACAAGATATGCCACGTTTGACAGCCATCGAGAGAGAGAGAGAGAGCCGTTGGTATGGTCCAACAAGGAGCGTCACACGTCGACGTCGCCAGAAGGTTGGGCTGCGCACGCATCACTATCACCAGGTTGATGCAGCGGTTACGTCAGACAGGTCAGACGTCAGACAGGCCCAGAAGTGGAAGACCACGAGTAACCACGCCCCGTGAAGATCGTTACATCCGGGTATTACACCTGAGGAACCGCACCGTAACAGCGACGTCCACGGCGGCTACAGCACTGGGACACAGGATCAGTCGACAGACCGTCTACAGGAGACTACGGCAGTATGGTATCCGGCCACGTCAACCCTACCGCGGACCGCTCCTGACGCCTCGACACCGGAACAACAGACTGATCTGGGCCAGGCGAGTTCGACGTTGGCAACGGCGGGACTGGGCACGTGTTATGTTCTCTGATGAGAGCAGATTCCTCATCTTCAGAAACGATGGACGGCAGCTTGTATACCGACGATTTGGTGAACGTTTGGCGCCTAACTGTATCCAATAGGTCCGGCCGTTTGGAGGTGGAGGGTTAATGGTTTGGGGTGGCATATGTGGTGACGTCAAAACGATGCTTGTCGTAATTCGTGGAAACCTGAATGCACAGCGTTATCTTGATGACATCCTACGGCCTGTTGTGGTGCCCTTTATTCAGCAACAGCCTCGCGGACTCCTTTTCCAACATGACAATGCAAGGCCACACACAGCAAGATTGACACAGAACTTCCTTGCCAACGCCAACGTACAGGTTTTGCCATGGCCCGCATGTTCACCGGACATGAATCCCATCGAGCACTTATGGGACCACCTCGATCGGCAAATCCGACGTCGCCGTGTGCATCCAGTCAACGTCCAGGACTTGGAACGATGTCTCCACGAGGAATGGCAACGCATCACTCCCAACGTCATCAGACGTTTGACGTCATCAGTCCGTAGGCGTGTTCTGGCATGTGTTGATGCTCACGGTGGACATACCCGCTACTGACTTGACTTTGAGACGTGTGGTGTGACATTTCCCGTTGTTTCTATGATCAGTGTTCTAACGAAATGTTCATTTTTCGACCCCACCCATCTTTAAAGGCTTGTCATATTGGTTGTACAGATTTTTATTGAAGTTAAATTTTTGTACAGATGTTGTGAAAGGATTTCTCAAAAGCTTAAAACCAATCCTAAACTTCTGCATTGTTTTGTTTTTCTTTTATGTCGTTGCAAAAAGGTGGTATCGTTTCTTTTTGGACACTAGTTTATTTCAAATATCCGCATTACGATTATTGCTTCTGTGAATTGAAATAAAAATACTATTATTGTTATTGTCGAATGTGTATAAATAGTTTGAACTCCTTTGAAAATGCTTTGAAAGACAAGAAAGGCTATTGCCTGGGCCCACTTGCACAAATCGATCTTAGCGCTAAGATGATTGTAACTCCCATACTTTAACATAGGCTTACGACAGTCTTAATTGTAAGACCGCTTTGTTCAAGTGGACCCTGGTGACCTTTTCATTACAAAATACGCGTGTCACTGTACATCAAGTGACTTTAGGGGGCACGGGTGGCCCAGTCGTCTAAAGCGCCGCGATTCGCTGTGCAGAGTTGCGTCCCTTGGGCACGCCAGAAACCTATGATTGTGGGTTCGAATCCCGGTTCACCCCGATTATGTTTCTAGGTTTGTCAGCACCATACCCGTGCTCGTGGGTTTCACCGAACTGGTAAACGTCTGAGATCTGCATCACTTCGGGCTCTCCTCCCACATTAAGCTGACACGCCGTGATATCACTGGAATACTGTTAAAAGCGGCGTTAAACCCAACTCACTCACTCACTCAAGTGACTTTGGTCTTTGGGGTTTACACAGCTTGTATATAGTTACACGAGTGACATGTAATTCATATCACAATATCACCATCAAATGTAGGGTTCAGATTCTGACATAACGTGACAATGGTTTACAATGTTGAACGCCCATATCTGGTGTGCCCCAGCATAATGTTGTTGGAATATCGTTTAAAGTCGGTAAAATCATTCTAACTCACTCAAAAAACGTAATTCACATGCACCGTTACAACTGACTTCAGTGAGTGAGTGAGTGAGTGACTAGGGTGTTACGCCGCTTTTAGCAATATTCCAGCAATATCACGGCGGGGGATACCAGAAATGGGTTTGACACATTGTACCCATGTGGGGAATCGAACCCGGGTCTTCGGCGTGACGAGCGAACGCTTGGACCACTAGGCTACCCTATCGCCCAACAACTGACTTCAAACCATATGGATTGTACGCTCATCGGCTACAAGAATTATCTTACGGCCACAGATTTGTTTGTTTGTTTATTTGTTGTTTAACGCCACACTCAGCTATATTCCAGCTATATTACGGTGTTTTGTAAATAAACGAGTCTGGACCAGACAATCCAATGATTAACAGCATAATCGTCGATCCACGCAATAGGGATACGATGACATGCATCAACCAAGTCAGCCAGCCTGACCACCCGATCCCGTTTGTCGACTCTTACGACAAGCATAGTCGCCTTTTACGACAAGCATGGGTTGCTGAGGACCTATTCTACCCCGGACCTTCACGGGTCACGGCCACAGAAGAATATTAGTGTTTTTTATGATCCACAGAAACATGTTTGATCGTGGGTTATAGACAAACAATCAGGCCCCCATGCAATCGACATAATTAGGAAGGAATGGACAAGGCTAAAACAGCTGCACGATATGGACGACTAACATGTTACATTACTACCAGGAAGAAGCTATCGTACGATCTTACAGTAAATAAACGTAATCTCCTTGTCGTAAGACGGATGCGATCAGTTGACTGATACCACTCTTACTCGGTATTGCCCAGTTTTCATACAGATCATCAACAAATTCGAAGTTGTAAGTCTTTTCCTCTTTCTTTTTTTCTCCGTCACTGATGACCGTGGTTGTAACACTTCTCTCTAGCACCTCGTACGCCAAGTCTAAAACAAACACGTTTGTCAAAATGTTGTTTCTGGTGACAATTATGGTGTTGAAATTCGACGTTTATTTAACTTCACGCTGTGTCGCATATCTGCCACGCATTACCTATACGTATACCGACCCTTTGTGTGTAGGAGAAAGTATCAAGCACAGACAAAGACATTGGAAGCTGTTTTCCGTTCAAATGTTAAGGCTCACATTTTTAATTTACAAACATATCTAGTTTTACAGATGTAGCTTAAACAGTAGCTAGTCTCCATACAAAATGCCCCAGATAATGAATATGTCTTAGACAGTTTAGATGACAAAGGGTATCTATTTGAGTCGACCCGTCCTTACAATTACAACTTGCTACTTGACACATCATGCAAATATCTAAAGGAGTTTGGGCGTGTTTATGTAGAGTTGTATTTGTGATTGTTCTCAACAGCTACGGGGGCCACGGGTGGCCCAGTCGTCTAAGGCGCCGCGATTCGCTGTGCAGAGTTGCGTCCCTTGGGCACGCCAGAAACCTATGATTGTGTGTTCGAATCCCGGTTCGCCCCGATTATGTTTCTAGGTTTGTCAGCACCATACCCGTGCTCGTGGTTTTCACCGAAGTGGTAAACGTCTGAGACCTGCATCACTTCGGGCTTTCCTCCCACATTAAGCTGACACGCCGCGATATAACTGGAATACTGTTAAAAGCGGCGTTAAACCAAACTCACTCACTCACTCAACAGCTACACTCCCACCTGGCATGTCGCGAATCAGCCTCCTCATGGGTGTAACGATCTTTCGGGAAGACCTCTTGTTTTTCTTTTTCGGACTGACATGGTTCCTCAGAGCTTCTCTCCACAAATCATGTCTCAAGATGTAGCGGGCAATGTCTCTGTTGAAATTAAGAATTATAAAACTCAACTTTTTTCTATTCGGCAGGGCGAGTGGGGGTAGATTGGGTTGGGGGTTGGTGGTTGGGGGTTGGTGGTGAAGGATGGGATTTTGTCCAAAAAAGTGTTCCCGAAAGATAATTATCCTTCCGATTCTTGAAAAAACCCAAACTCTCTGCCAAAGGAATAACATTGTTGCGAGCTGCTTTTCTGTGAAAAAATCCAGGTAAATAGTTTTAAATATAAAAAATCATCTATATCTTTATTTTTGTAGCAGTACGTGAAAAAATACCTCATCAATACAAAATCCAAGCCCCCCTTCCCTTTGTCTCGCTTCTTGTCTGGCCTAAAGGTATTATCCTTCAAGGGAAGTGAGAGAACACTGCAACTAGTCTGGCACTCAACATACTAAGGCCCTCTGAGCCATTTCACAGATTGACCCAATGAAGTTTCCTTTTATTGAAAAAAGCCACACAAATCTCTCCATATTCAAGAAATCTCTGCCCAAACCCGAGCCCATTGTAAAGTTCCGACTATATCATGAGCATGTGTTTATAAATAACTATCAAAGAGTGATGACACCAGGATTTCGCGAAAGGTGAGCAAACCTGCCCCACCGATGGTACCCGTCACAAACACATGCAAAGGCAATCATGACACGCAACGCCAGGCAGTTCAGTAGACTACAGACTGTGTTAGATTACCCATGCACGTGCTAACTGACAGGAATAGCCTCTTGGTACATAAACACATCGAACCTAGGACATAATGATAATCTCTTTGAGGAACAATGTCATACTTGTGTCCATGCATGATTGCCAGATCTAGGCAGTTGAGGCCCCCGCTATTCCTGTGTGTCATGTCGGCCTTGGTCTGGAGAAGGAACATGGCCACGTTGAGATGACCCTCTCTGCAGGCCAGATGAAGTGGACATTCCTGCAACAGGTGCCGAGTTGTATGTAAAGAATATCAGGTTTTAATTGTTACTGCAGCCATGTATTTAGTGGCATGCATCATTCCTGGGGAAGAGTTATCCCCCTTGGAAGTGTAAGTTTTGTTTTGGAACTGAACACACGGCAGCATGGTGCGTATCTGGTTTTGTGTTGTCCATGGTGCGAGGTCCGTGATAGTGTTTCGAGGAGCTTTACGGTACAAGAATAAAGCTTCAGTTTGTACACTACGATTCTCTTACCTTCCATGGAAATTGTTGACGGTAAAAACTGACAGCGATTGTCGCAAATTACATCATGTCACGAAAGGGTGAGTGAGTAACGTTTGACGCCGTTTTAGCAATATTCCAGCAATATCACGACGGGGGACACCAGCAATGGGCTTCACACACTGTGGTACAATGTGGGCAATCAAACCGGGGCCTTTGGCGTGACGACCAAACGCTTTCACCACCAGCCTACATCATCACACAAAGCAGATACGTTGATAACAATGACATGGGATTTCATAAACAGAAAAATAAACTCTTGGCACTTGCTAATCATTCGCCTAATGAAGGAGCAAGAAGTAGCTCTGAAACTGCGTGAAAAAGAATAGAAAAAAGTTGCTTTCAGTACAAAGTGTCATGTTTCAGTTATGTTCTTCCAACTTCTAATTGCCTATCAAAGACTTGAGATATACACTCATTTCGAACTGTTACAGACACGTATTTTTTGTAACCCGTGAGGATCCGGGGTAGAATAGGTCCTCAGCAGCCCATGCTTGCCGTAAAAGGCGACTATGCTTGTAAGAGGCGCCTAAAAGGATCGGGTGGTCAGGCTCGCTGAATTGGCTGACGGATGTCATCGTATCCCAATTGCGTGGATCGATGATCATGATGTCAATCACTGGATTGTCAGGTCCAGCCTCGAACGAACGAACGCATGCTTTGTCCCACTTACGTTGCAGCCCTTCAGCCCCGTGTGGGGGTCCTTCCTGGCCAGCATCTCGCAGATCTCCACCTCCCCGTGCTTGGCAGCCAGGTCAAGAGGGGTCATTCCGTGCACGTTCCTGTAAAGACAGTGAATAGATGTACCGCATTTTGTATGTGCATTTGCTGTTTCTGCGGGTGTGCACTGGACTGATAGATTGCCCGAAAAGAAAACACATTACGGTAGAAGATGCAAGAATAGTTACATGCTCTTTCAAACTATGTATCACGTGATGCGCTTCACATTGAGACATGGCGCGAAACGTTATTAGAACGATGAAAAAACGTTGTTTTGTTTCTCAATTAAATATATTATGATATAACACTAATGTTGAAAACTATTCAGGTACCTGCAAAACACTCTACATTATCACCTAAGTTCAAGGCAACTAAATATGTTTCAATTGGCAATAGAAATTAAATATACATCAAATTAGGCATAGGCTTTTGACTTGACAATCAAATAATTATTTATACAGAGCAGGCATAAAACGAAATTTAATTGTTAAATTAAATTTAATTCATTGTTGGATTGTTCGTGTTTTTAAACGAATAGGTGGTGAGAGGCCAAAATGCCATGAACTGTGTATTTACATTGTGAATGTGATATATTTCTCTCGATGTAATATGAATCGGTTATTTCTTGTTTGATGTGTGGAAAATTTGGTATGGAGTCGGATATGTTTGATTTGAATATGTTTTCCTTTGTTACAGTTCTAATATGATTTAAAACATCATTTCGTTTTTTGTTGATATCCTAATAAAATTGTTAATTTTGAAAATTCTAGTTCTATTCCAGTTTTGTCTTTGATCCATTTTGTAACGTTGTTCCAGATATGTTTTACAATTTTGTACTCAAAGACCATGTGCACTAAGGTTTGTTTTTCTCGTTTACCAAAATTGAAAAGAAATGATTCTATATATCCCGTTCTGTACAATAACTCGTTTATTGGTATAATTCCATGAATGGTACTGTATTGTATAAAAAAACTCTATAAGGATAAGACTAGAATGTTCCAGAAAATGTGTTTTACAGTCGTAATCATGTTTTAGGTCTAAAAGATCTCGGAAATTTCCGCTCTCGTCTATCAAATCATTTAAAGATTAATACCTTTTCCCGAGTAATGTTTATTATATACCGGAGTGTTCCAGATTCTTATATTCGTATTTTGCCATAACGGTTGTGATAATATATCTTGTTCCTCTGTGATAGAATTTCCTTTTTTCTATTGAGTTTCCCCATGCACACAGAACATCTTTCCAGAAAGCATTGGTCCTATCATTAATAACCTTTTCCGAAACATAGAATTGGCATTTTTGCAGAAAATCAATTTGTGCTGGAGTTGTAGTTGTAGTGTTATTAATCCAAAGAGTGGTAAGTTCAGAGTGTGGATGTGAATGGAACAAACGTTTAATCCAAGATATCTTTTGAGCATTGATTGTATTTATAATATCAGGCACTCTTATACCTCCCTCTTCATAAGCGTTCGAACAAGGCTTCAGTAAAGCTTTCAAAACGTTTTACGACATGTGAAGGACATTTTTTTCAAAATTTGACGCAACAGTGACAAAAATGATGTCCGATGAAATTTCCTTTTTTGATTTGTATCACATGTTCCCGTGTTTTATCGGGTGAACAATTGACTTGGACACATGGCATCGTCACTATTTGATAGTGAATCATTAACATACGCTTATGATCTAGTTGGAATCATACAATCGATTCTACCTTTAGCAGAGAGCTCTTGTGAATATGGAAACGGTTTTTTCGTTTCTAATAATATAAATTGTGTAATGGAATGAGTTTGAGTAGCGTAATGTAACCAGACTTCCGTTTGTTATCAATATAACTCACCTACGTTTAATGTTAATTATACCATGCTGCGTCCCTTCTTATTGCATGTCTCCATATTGTGATTGGCTGTAAATATTATGGAGAGAGTCTTCTCAGTTGGACAACTTGTACCCCAGTCTGCTTATCTAATAAAATATGTGTAAATCAAACAAACCAGAACAGACACACAGACACAGGCACACAGACACACACACAGACACAGGCACACAGACACAGACCGACAGACACACACACACGCGCGTCGCTATTTAAGTCCTACACGGTTTCCGTGACGCGATGCTGAGATATGATGTTTAGTATTCACATTTGGTTCATGTCAGCCCCATTCTTGACGAGAAGTTGAACTGTCTCTTTATGTCCCCCCTTGGCAGCCAGGTGTAGAGGCGTGTTGCGGTCCTGATCCTCTGCAAACACGCCTTGCTTGTGTCTTGCCACTATCACTCCCACTGTCCTAGCAACAAGAAGCAGTTTCTCAGACGTTTACCACTTCGGTGAAACCCACGATATATAGAAATACAAAAATAAAATCTTACAAGAAAATTAATCAGAACAAAATCAAACAATGTCACCCAGAAAGAACAGCTTATTGTTATCAACAGTATGAACATTGTATATGTTTGCTGTTAAGACTTTTAAAAATTATACATTTATACATATTTATTGTCTAAAATGTCTTTCCTTTGTGGAGTATAGATCAACGCTACAATGAAGTCTAGTTCAGTACTGTGTGTGTCCTTTCTCTGCCGCAAGATGGAGGGCCGTTCTTTCACTGTCGTTTTTCCGACCATGTTCAGCCTTGTGTTTTTCAAGCATTTTCTGTCAATGTACAAGAAACATTATATCTATATGTATACATTGTAGCAATACCAACAATATATTGTGACACATTTATTCTTTGTAGCTGGATACGAATTCAATATGAATCACCGAGTGTCCATTTTGTGAAACCCTACTTGTCTTGGACACAGTACATACTTACAGTTAACTCACTCACCTTCCGAATCAAAGGTGCTCATTCTGTGAAACCATGGTGGTCCAGTAGAGAGTACATGCTTACATCTATCTCACCTTCTGAATCACAGGTGCTCATTCTGTGAAACCTATTTGTCTTGAACAGAGTACATACTTACAGTTAACTCACATTCTTAAACCCCGTGTGTCTATTCTGTGAAACCCTATTTGTCTTGGACAGAGTACATACTTACATTTAACTCACATCCTGAAACCCCGTGTGTCCAGTCTGTGAAACCCTATTTGTCTTGGACAGAGTACATACTTACAGTTAACTCACATCCTTAAACGCGCGTGTCCAGTCTGTGAAACCCTATTTGTCTTGGACAGAGTACATACTTACAGTTAACTCACATCCTTAAACCCGCGTGTCCAGTCTGTGAAACCCTATTTGTCTTGGACAGAGTACATACTTACAGTTAACTCACATCCTTAAACCCGCGTGTCCAGTCTGTGAAACCCTATTTGTCTTGGACAGAGTACATACTTACATTTAACTCACATCCTAAAACCCCGTGTGTCCAGTCTGTGAAACCCTATTTGTCTTGGACAGAGTACATACTTACAGTTAACTCACATTCTTAAACCCCGTGTGTCCATTCTGTGAAACCCTATTTGTCTTGGACAGAGTACATACCTACAGTTAACTCACATCCTTAAACCCCGTGTGTCCAGTCTGTGAAACCCTATTTGTCTTGGACAGAGTACATACTTACATTTAACTCACATCCTTAAACCCCGTGTGTCCAGTCTGTGAAACCCCATTTGTCTTGGACAGAGTACATACTTACAGTTAACTCAAATCCTTAAACCCGCGTGTCCAGTCTGTGAAACCCTATTTGTCTTGGACACAGTACATACTTACAGTTAACTCACATTCTAAAACCCGCGTGTCCAGTCTGTGAAACCCTATTTGTCTTGGACAGAGTACATACTTACATTTAACTCACATCCTTAAACCCCGTGTGTCCAGTCTGTGAAACCCTATTTGTCTTGGACAGAGTACATACTTACATTTAACTCACATTCTTAAACCCCGTGTGTCCATTCTGTGAAACCCTATTTGTCTTGGACAGAGTACATACCTACATTTAACTCACATCCTTAAACCCGCGTGTCCAGTCTGTGAAACCCTATTTGTCTTGGACAGAGTACATACTTACAGTTAACTCACATCCTTAAACCCGCGTGTCCAGTCTGTGAAACCCTATTTGTCTTGGACTGACTACATACTTACAGTTAACTCACATCCTTAAACCCGCGTGTCCAGTCTGTGAAACCCTGGTGGTCCAGAACAGAGAACATAATTATATACATTGGACTTACCTTCACAATCTCTGTGTGTCCAGTCAACGAAACCCCGGTGGTCCAGAACAGAGAACATAATTATATACATTGGACTTACCTTCAAAATCTCTGTGTGTCCAGTCTACGAAACCCTGGTGGTCCAGAACACAGAACATAATTATATACATTGGACTTACCTTCACAATCTCTGTGTGTCCAGTCTACGAAACCCTGGTGGTCCAGAACACAGAACATAATTATATACATTGGACTTACCTTCAAAATCTCTGTGTGTCCAGTCTACGAAACCCTGGTGGTCCAGAACACAGAACATAATTATATACATTGGACTTACCTTCACAATCTCTGTGTGTCCAGTCTACGAAACCCTGGTGGTCCAGAACACAGAACATAATTATATACATTGGACTTACCTTCACACTCTCTGTGTGTCCAGTCTGTGAAACCCCGGTGGTCCAGAACACAGAACATAATTATATACATTGGACTTACCTTCACAATCTCTGTGTGTCCAGTCTACGAAACCCCGGTGGTCCAGAACACAGAACATAATTATATACATTGGACTTACCTTCACAATCTCTGTGTGTCCAGTCTACGAAACCCTGGTGGTCCAGAACACAGAACATAATTATATACATTGGACTTACCTTTACAATCTCTGTGTGTCCAGTCTGTGAAACCCTGGTGGCCGAGAACAGAGAACATAATTATATACATTGGACTTACCTTCACAATCTCTGTGTGTCCAGTCCACGAAACCCCGGTGGTCCAGAACACAGAACATAATTATATACATTGGACTTACCTTCACAATCTCTTTGTGTCCATTCTACGAAACCCCGGTGGTCCAGAACAGAGAACATAATTATATACATTGGACTTACCTTCACAATCTCTGTGTGTCCAGTCTGTGAAACCCTGGTGGTCCAGAACACAGAACATAACTATATACATTGGACTTACCTTCACAATCTCTGTGTGTCCAGTCTGTGAAACCCTGATGGTCCAGAACACAGAACATAACTATATACATTGGACTTACCTTCACAATCTCTGTGTGTCCAGTCTGTGAAACCCTGGTGGTCCAGAACACAGAACATAACTATATACATTGGACTTACCTTCACAATCTCCGTGTGTCCAGTCTACGAAACCCTGGTGGTCCAGAACACAGAACATAACTATATACATTGGACTTACCTTCACAATCTCTGTGAGTCCAGTCTGTGAAACCCCGGTGGCCAAGAACAGAGAACATAATTATATACATTGGACTTACCTTCACAATCTCTGTGTGTCCAGTCCACGAAACCCCGGTGGTCCAGAACACAGAACATAACTATATACATTGGACTTACCTTCACAATCTCTGTGTGTCCAGTCTGTGAAACCCTGGTGGTCCAGAACACAGAACATAACTATATACATTGGACTTACCTTCACAATCTCCGTGTGTCCAGTCTACGAAACCCTGGTGGTCCAGAACACAGAACATAATTATATACATTGGACTTACCTTCACAATCTCTGTGTGTCCATTCTGTGCTGCAAGATGCAGAGCGGTGTTGCCGATGTTGTCCTCTGTGTTGATGATGTTGTCCGTGTAGATTAGTTCCAGGAATTTCTAAAGATGAGAAGGTAGACACAATGAGTTTGTGAATGTTTAGGTAACGATTGGTTTCTGAAAGTAAAAGCAACAAAACGTTTTCATATTCAGAAGAAATCTTTGCCAAAAGCACAGTTGATTTACTGAGGTCTTTAATGTCGCAACCCAGATCAAATAACTTGTGAGCAAGAGTTGTATGACGCTCTGTGAAATCTTGGTTGTAAGAGCATGCGCTGTTGTGCCTCACAAGTACTGAAATGTAGACACCTACTTGCTGGAGCTTCTGGAATAATAACGGAAAGTTGACTATTGGAAAGTCGAAGACATCCTTCGTGTCATACAGTCTTGTGGAGAGGGTTTTTCACACTGAATCCTTATGCATAGATTCAAATATGAAACAGACGAAGCGGCCTCACTGGTCTCCTTTATTTCCTTTTCAGGTAGGTAAATCAGTGGAAGGGAATTGGCTATTTGATGGTTAGTGAACGATATCAGACCATCATGTGCCATGTTTACCCTGTCGTAGTTCCTAAACACGTCAATCGTGTGTAAAGGTCCACAGTATAGATATGTTCACGGTTAAAGTATCAATGTCGTAATTAGGTCAAGAATCTTACTCACCTTCACATAATATTTCGTTGAATCTTTCTCTTTTTCAGATGATGCCTGCTGATATGATTACATGTTTAAGCATTCAAAGAGAGTAATGCACTGGACTCAATTTGTACTCTTCATTAATTATATTAGCCAACACAAAAGAGTGATTAAGTGACTGAGTATGATTTTACGCCGCTTTTAGCAGTATTCCAGCAATATCACGGCGGGGGACACCAGAATGGGCCTCACATACTGTACCCATGTCGCGATTTTATCGAAAAATTAAAATATAATGACAGTCGAAAAATCCAAATATACAAATATACAAAAATACAAAATCCAAGCCCCCCTCTCCTCGCTGAATATTAAAAGGTAGGTCCCTTACATAACAGGTAAACATATGTCCTCTTGATCACTTACTGATTGGGGTTTAACTTTTGATGTCCTGGAGGGTCTAGCATTCTTCTCCTGTACATCGGGAGGACGTTCCTACAACAGTGCAGGTTGTAACTGGGAATCAGGCGCACTTGTCACATAAATATTGTTTTATAGTATTTTACCTAAACAGTCGCCATATTCAACTTGACCTTCTGACTGTACTAAAGCACCGGCGCCTCACCATGTGTCATATTCTGGAGTGAGTGAGTGGGTTGTGTTTAACGCCGCTTTTAACAGTATTCCAGTTATATCACGGCGTGTCATCTTAATGTGGGAGGAAAGCCTAAAGTGATGCTTGGCTCAGACCTTTACCACTTCTGTGAAACCCACGAGCACGGGTATGGTGCTGACAAACCTAGAAACATAATCGGGGCGAACCGGGATTCGAACCAACAATCATAGGTTTCTGGCGTGCTCAAGCGACGCAACTCTGCACAGCGAATCGCAGCGCATTAGACGACTGGGCCACCGTGCCCCCATCATATTTTCGAAAGATAAGAATGGTGTCAAATAGGCTTGCTAATGTTTAATTCATGACGCGTCTTGTGTTTGAAATAGTCATTGGATATTCAGGATGACTCGTCGTGGTATCAACTAGGTCCGCTCTGTGAAAAGTTAATCAGTATTCGTTCACCATCACACCGAGAATGATTTCCCTGAACTCCCCACTAGTCACGTGGTAGTCATAATAACCATTCAAACCGAACGGAAACAGTTATACGTGGAAGCTTTGCGTTTATAAATAGTTTATCAGTACCATATCGGGTTTTTTCAATGGCTGAACAAAGTACTTGAACTCTGCTGCATTGCGATATGTTTAGACTTGTTGTATCCTGGATGTGGTAGTGTTACCCCAACCCAGTCACTCAAGGTTTGCACGAGAGGCATGGAAAGTATTTCGAGACTACAATCAACACTGGGGAAATTCTCAACCATCCCAGCTACTGTCTGTTTTCATATTTTTGTTATAAAAGTATTGCCAATTTTAAATCATGGAGCAGAGGTTTGGGGATTTCATCGATCACCCGATATTGAAAATGTACACGATCGTTTCTGTAAACTTGTTCTGAGCTTGGATAGAAACACCCCTAACATAACTGCAAGAGGTATTATGAAGAGAACATCAATCAAGGTTTGCGTTATATAAACGTTATAAAATTCTGGTTATTGGTTATTGTCACAACAGGCTAATGTTATCTTAAAAGGTTCTTATGATTTTCAGTATAGAAGGGCAGAAAATAGTAAAGCTTGTTGGTCTACTAATGTTAAATATTTGCTATATACATATGGTTTTGGCGAAGTTTGGTTACAGCAATGTGTTGGGAATATAAATGCATTTATGTTGCGGTTTAAGCAAAGATGTAAAGATATCTGCCAACAAACATGGAATAATCATCTGGGATGCTATTCTCAGCTGGAATAGTTTGGCTATGTCAAGGAAAATTTTAATCATGAACATCTGACCAATTGTATTGATATAGCCATCTATCAAACGATACTTGTTAGGTTTAGCTGTTCTAATCATAATCTATTGGTAGAGGCAGGTAGGCACTATAAAATACCAAGGCCAGAACGTCTATGTCCCTTTTGTTTTCATTTTCCCGAGGCAAGTGAGTTAACTGACTATAAAAGTCTTGTTTCCACCCTTGCCGAACTAGGCTGGTATTATGGAGTTACATTTTGGCTGGACTAACGAGTCGATGCAAAACTGCCGTCCGAGAAATGTTATATGTTATCTGTCCACTCACCCACTCTTAATTTACACCCACACACGCATCCACCCACCCACTCACTCACTCTCTCACTCACTTTGGGGGGCCCGAGAGCTTGTACGATCCGGTAGATCCTCTGTGTCGGTATCCTGTCATCCACAGGTTTAGCCTCTTTCTGAAACAAGATGATGACAGTTTTCATCATTCGCATATTAAAAGACTTTGTCAAACTGATGCTACATCAAGGTGATACCAGGATAGAATTGATCCTAAGAAACCTATGCTGGTCAGGCTCGTGAACTTGGTACTCGTACTTGTTTTATCGTACACCGTCGGCGTGAATCGATGCTCATTGTTTTAATCACTAGAATGCATGGTTCACACTTAATTATTAAACAATATACCTGACATATTGCTGAGTGCGGTGTTAAGCAACAAACAAACGAATGATAGTAACAGCAATAATGCAAAGTGGATAAATGGCATTTTGTTGATTAAAGATTGACAGAAAAAGTCTTGCAGTTTAACAAAACAATGTACAATTTACCCTCTTGCCATCATCGTCCTTACCTCCAGCTTCTGTCTCACATCCTCGACCGCCTTCCGGACCTTGGAGTCTACGCTGTTTCCTTCTTGTTTTGCAATATGCTGAAATTACAAAATCTCATTCCCAGTTCAAATGTGGAATCTACACTCAAGTAAACCGGGTGGTGGGTTAGCGTTGTGATTAAAGCGTTCGTACAGCACGCTGCAGTCCCAGGTTCGATTCCCCACATTGGTAAATAGCGTGACATCAGTTGTCCCCGTGATATTGCGGGAATATCTCTAAATGTGGAGTACAAGCATACTCACTCACTCACTCACACACTCACCCTTCCACTCACTCACTCTTCCGCTCACTCACTCACTCACTGGTCACGTCAAAAAACACACTGGCCAAATGTTAATGGTTGTCACCAGACATCAGCAATGTTAGCTGTTACATGACTACCAGCCTGTTCCAGTACCACCCTGTCAGCAATGTCAACTGTCACACCCTGTCAGCAATGATAACTGTTACATCCTGTCAGCAATGTCAACTGTTACATCCTGTCAGCAATGTAAACTGTTGCACCCTGTCAGCAATGTAAACTGTTACATCCTGTCAGCAATGTAAACTGTTACACCCTGTCAGCAATGTCAACTGTTACACCCTGTCAGCAATGTAAACTGTCACACCCTGTCAGCAATGTCAACTGTTACACCCTGTCAGCAATGTCAACTGTTACATCCTGTCAGCAATGTTAACTGTTACACCCTGTCAGCAATGTCAACTGTTACACCCTGTCAGCAATGTCAACTGTTACATCCTGTCAGCAATGTTAACTGTTACATCCTGTCAGCAATGTTAACTGCTACATCCTGTCAGCAATGTTAACTGTTACATCCTGTCAGCAATGTTAACTATTACACCCTTTCAGCAATGTTAACTGTTACACCCTGTCAGAAATGTAAACTGTTACACCCTGTCAGCAATGTAAACTGTCACACCCTGTCAGCAATGTAAACTGTTACATCATGTCAGCAATGTAAACTGTTACATCCTGTCAGCAATGTCAACTGTTACATCCTATCAGCAATGTAAACTGTCACACCCTGTCACCAATGTAAACTGTTACATCCTGTCAGCAATGTTAACTGTTACACCCTGTCAGCAATGTTAACTGTTACACTCTGTCAGCAATGTTAACTGTTACACCCTGTCGGCAATGTAAACTGTACACCCTGTCAGCAATGTTAACTGTTACACCCTGTCAGCAATATTAACTGTTACATCCTGTCAGCAATGTTAACTGTTACACCCTGTCAGCAATGTTAACTGTTACATCCTGTCAGCAATGTAAAACTGTTACACACTGTCAGCAATGTAAACTGTACACCATGTCAGCAATGTCAACTGTCACACCCTGTCAGCAATGTCAACTGTTACACCATGTCAGCAATGTTAACTGTTACACACTGTCATCAATGTAAACTGTACACCCTGTCAGCAATGTCAACTGTTACACCATGTCAGCAATGTTAACTGTTACATCCTGTCAGCAATGTTAACTGTTACATCCTGTCAGCAATGTCAACTGTTAGATCCTGTCAGCAATGTAAACTGTTACACCCTGTCAGCAATGTTAACTGTTACATCCTGTCAGCAATGTAAACTGTTACATCCTGTCAGCAATGTAAACTGTTACACCCGGACAGCAATGTAAACTGTTACACCCGGACAGCAATGTAAACTGTTACACCCTGTCAGCAATGTAAAACTGTTACACCTTGTCAGCAATGTTAACTGTTACATCCTGTCAGCAATGTCAACTGTTACACCCTGTCAGCAATGTCAACTGTTACACCCTGTCAGCAATGTCAACTGTTACATCCTGTCAGCAATGTAAACTGTTACATCCTGTCAGCAATGTAAACTGTTACGTCCGGACAGCAATGTAAACTGTTACACCCGGACAGCAATGTAAACTGTTACACCCTGTCAGCAATGTTAACTGTTACATCCTGTCAGCAATGTTAACTGTTGCACCCTGTCAGCAATGTAGTCACATCCTGTCAGCAATGTTAACTATTACATCATGTCAGCAATGTTAACTGTTACACCCTGTCAGCAATGTAAACTGTTACACCCTGTCAGCAATGTTAACTGTTACATTCTGTCAGCAATGTCAACTGTTACATCCTGTCAGCAATGTCAACTGTTACATCCTGTCAGCAATGTCAACTGTTACATCTTGTCAGCAATGTAAACTGTTACACCCTGTCAGCAATGTCAACTGTTACATCCTGTCACCAATGTCAACTGTTACATCCTGTCAGCAACGTTAACTGTTACATCATGTCAGCAATGTTAACTGTTACATCCTGTCAGCAATGTAATCTGTTACATCCTGTCAGCAATGTTAACTGTTACATCCTGTCAGCAATGTTAACTGTTACATCATGTCAGCAATGTTAACTGTTACATCCTGTCAGCAATGTAAACTGTTACATCCTGTCAGCAATGTTAACTGTTACACCCTGTCAGCAATGTAAACTGTTACATCCTGTCAGCAATGTAGTCACATCCTGTCAGCAATGTCAACTGTTACATCCTGTCAGCAATGTAAACTGTTACATCCTGTCAGCAATGCAGTCACATCCTGTCAGCAATGTAAACTGTTACATCCTGTCAGCAAATTAAACTGTTACATCATGTCAGCAATGTTAACTGTCACATCCTGTCAGCAATGTTAACTGTTACATCCTGTCAGCAATGTAAACTGTTACACCCTGTCACCAATGTAAACTGTCACATCCTGTCAGCAATGTAAACTGTTACATCCTGTCAGCAATGTTAACTGTTACACCCTGTCAGCAATGTTAACTTTTACATCCTGTCAGCAATGTTAACTGTTGCACCCTGTCAGCAATGTAAACTGTTACATCCTGTCAGCAATGTAAACTGTTACATCCTGTCACCAATGTAAACTGTTACATCCTGTCAGCAATGTTAACTGTTACACCCTGTCAGCAATGTTAACTGTTACACTCTGTCAGCAATGTTAACTGTTACACCCTGTCAGCAATGTTAACTGTTACACCCTGTCAGCAATGTTAACTGTTACATCCTGTCAGCAATGTTAACTGTTGCACCCTGTCAGCAATGTAGTCACATCCTGTCAGCAATGTAAACTGTTACATCCTGTCAGCAATGTAAACTGTTACATCCTGTCAGCAATGTTAACTGTTACACCCTGTCAGCAATGTAAACTGTTACACCCTGTCAGCAATGTAAACTGTTACATCCTGTCAGCAATGTAAACTGTTACACTCTGTCAGGAATTATAATTAACTGTTACATGACTACCAGTCTGTTCCAGAAACACCCTGTCTACCAAGGTATAAATGCCCAATAAAATAGTACCACTATGTCTGCTTCTATCTGAACCGACCTGTAGCTTCTTGAATATGAATTCCCCATTCTCTTCCTCCTTGAGTTCCATGAAATCTTTTCCGTGTTTCAAGGAACGTGGATTCAGCAGGACCTGAAACAAGGATGGTTGTTCATACATAGGCTGATTCTATCTGCTTCACCTCATCTGCGCTCCGTAATGCGGAATTGCCTCTCCAAGTGTCCAAACAGAGGTATTCTCTGAAGACAGTTGCCCACTTACTGTCAATGTCACCATGTGCACAATAAAAGTAATTCTCTAAAGACCACAGCTACCCACTTACTTTCAATGTCTCTATGTGCACAATAAAAGTAATTCTCTGAAGACCACAGCTACCCACTTACTTTCAATGTCTCTATGTGCACAATAAAAGTAATTCTCTGAAGACCACAGCTACCCACTTACTTTCAATGTCTCTATGTACACAATAAAAGTAATTCTCTGAAGACCACAGCTACCCACTTACTTTCAATGTCTCTATGTGCACAATAAAAGTAATTCTCTGAAGACCACAGCTTCCCACTTACTTTCAATGTCTCTATGTGCACAATAAAAGTAATTCTCTGAAGACCACATCTACCCACTTACTTTCAATGTCTCTATGTGCACAATAAAAGTAATTCTCTGAAGACCACAGCTACCCACTTACTTTCAATGTCTCTATGTGCACAATAAAAGTAATTCTCTGAAGACCACAGCTACCCACTTACTTTCAATGTCTCTATGTGCACAATAAAAGTAATTCTCTGAAGACCACAGCTACCCACTTACTTTCAATGTCTCTATGTGCACAATAAAAGTAATTCTCTTAAGACCACAGCTACCCACTTACTTTCAATGTCTCTATGTGCACAATAAAAGTAATTCTCTGAAGACCACATCTACCCACTTACTTTCAATGTCTCTATGTGCACAATAAAAGTAATTCTCTGAAGACCACAGCTACCTACTTACTTTCAATGTCTCTATGTGCACAATAAAAGTAATTCTCTGAAGACCACAGCTACCCACTTACTTTCAATGTCTCTATGTGCACAATAAAAGTAATTCTCTGAAGACCACAGCTACCCACTTACTTTCAATGTCTCTATGTGCACAATAAAAGTAATTCTCTTAAGACCACAGCTACCCACTTACTTTCAATGTCTCTATGTGCACAATAAAAGTAATTCTCTGAAGACCACAGCTTCCCACTTACTTTCAATGTCTCTATGTGCACAATAAAAGTAATTCTCTGAAGACCACAGCTTCCCACTTACTTTCAATGTCTCTATGTGCACAATAAAAGTAATTCTCTGAAGACCACAGCTTCCCACTTACTTTCAATGACTCCATGTGCACAATAAAAGTAATTCTCTGAAGACCACAGCTTCCCACTTACTTTCAATGTCTCTATGAGCACAATAAAAGTAATTCTCTGAAGACCACAGCTACCCACTTACTTTCAATGACTCTATGTGCACAATAAAAGTAATTCTCTGAAGACCACAGCTTCCCACTTACTTTCAATGTCTCTATGTGCACAATAAAAGTAATTCTCTGAAGACCACAGCTTCCCACTTACTTTCAATGACTCCATGTGCACAATAAAAGTAATTCTCTGAAGACCACAGCTTCCCACTTACTTTCAATGTCTCTATGTGCACAATAAAAGTAATTCTCTGAAGACCACAGCTACCCACTTACTTTCAATGACTCTATGTGCACAATAAAAGTAATTCTCTGAAGACCACAGCTTCCCACTTACTTTCAATGACTCCATGTGGCCCATCTCAGCCGCCACATGTAAGGGTATCTGGCCCTTCAGGTTCTTAGCGTTGATCTTGCCTCCTTTCTCCATCAGCAGTCCGATTATTTCCCAGTGGTTGAAAAAGGCAGCTACATGTAGAGGTGTATTCGATTCGCTGTCAGTCTTTGCCACAAGGCTGCTGCTGCCATACAAACAGTGTTACTTATGTGATCTTTCTGGATGTTTAATGCCGGCAACGACTGCACTCCACTGGCACGTGTGAGTGGTTATCGCTTGATAGATTAATGATATCAGAGTGAGTGGGAGTTATTCTATATTAGTAGATGACATTGAATATGATTTAACGCCGCGTTCAGCACTATTCCAGAAATAGCACGGCAGTGGACACCAGAACCGGTTGTTGTTATATGAAGCTTTAAGAATTTTAGTGTCATTTGAACTTGATTTGATGAACAAGGTTTATTGATAGTCAATAGTTCTATTGATATACAGCTTTTTTCAATGTAGATACTAACACGTTCTCAAGCAAGTGGGGTACAGAAATGGGAAGGTGCATAACCTTTCTACTGCACATTTCTGTACATCACTTGCTTGATAACGATGTTACTATCAACACTGACACGTTGCATTCATTGTAATAGGAAGTTGTATATCCATAGATATCTCCCACGTTTTAACTGAGATCGTTACAATGTACAGTTTCAGTCTGAAATATGTCACTCATGCACATAGATGTCTCATCCGTTATAGCCCTGAACAGTGATGCTTCTCTGTGTCACGGGGGATTCGGTTGTCCAAGGCGTCGCTGTGCAGAGTTGCGTCCCTTAGATGCGCCACAAACCTGTTATCGTTGGTTCGAATCCCAAATTCGCCCTCATTATGTTTTTTTATTTGTCAGCCCACACCCATGCTCGTGGGATTGACCATGCTCGACAGAAGGCTGGCAGGCTCTGACGTAACTCAAATGACGTTCGAAGCAGCGTTAAATCAAACTCACTCACTCACTCACTGTTAACGAGTACCTTTTTTCAAGCAGGTATCTCGCAACCTCCAGCTGGTTGTACTGAGCAGCAAGGTGAAGCGTTGTTGACTCAGCCTTGTTCTCAGTATCGCGCTGGTGCAATCCAGCCTTGGACACAATGGACTTTACAACATTCAGATTTCCAGAAATGACAGCGAGGTGCACTGGCAGCATACCGTCATCACGGGCGACGAGGACCTTAGAATCTGAAACAGATGCAGCATCCCATCAGAGTGGACGACTTAGAAACAGAAAAAGGAAAGACCATCACCTCATCTCCGAGCTATCCTGGTCTTATTATCTGAAAAGGACAACCAATCCCGTCATTTCGGGCTGCGATTTAGGGATGGTTACATCAGAAACATACAATTAGGTAACAGTCCGTTAAGGTGAAGCTCACAACAGAACACTTACCATTTTGAAGCAGTTTCTGAATGATTCCTTCGTGACCGTTTTCTATAGCGATGTGCAGACAAGTGTTACCTCCCATGGCCTTCTTCTCCACCATCTGTGTCAACATATATCCCGTTATAAGATTTATATCCCTTCTCTGTGTAATTACCTCAATTGGTTATATTTGTTTGTTTGTTGTTTGACGCCGCAGTCAACAATGCCCCATCTATATAACGGCGGTCTGGAAATAATGAGACTGTCTGACCACCCGATCCCGTTAGTCGCCTGTTACGGCAAGCATGGGTTGCTGAAGACCTATTCTTACCCAGATCTTCACGGGTTCAATTAGTTATATAACGGTTTTATAGAAATACTGGATAACCACATACTCCGGATCCTACTCTAGCTTATGTTATTCATATAAAAATTCGAAACATACAGCAAACGTACCACCAAATCCCTCTCTCACAGATGAACCATAATCCTAACTTCACAATGGTATCCTTTCAAAATATTATTTGGCAGGATGAGAACATACAAAAACATTTATGGTGGTAACGTTGAAGACATTTTGTAGTTTTGTCGTTTGTCCTTCATTATTGTCACTCCCTGTTGTTCATTTGAACATTTACCTTGCCTTTGCATGTGTTTGTGACGGATGCCACCGATAGGGCGAACACCTGGCATCATCACCAACTGATTATGATGATTTCTTAGGAAAAAGGTAAGGGTTTTGTAGTTTGTTTTTACAGGGACAAGTATCGGTGACATCAATAGAATATCTAAATAGAACACTGTGGAAATAAACGTTCTCCAAATAGGAGTTTTCATTATTAGTTAGTGAGTGAGTGAGTTCACTTTGAACACGATCTGAGTCATATCACGGCGTGTCAGCTTAATGGGGAGGAAAGGCTAAAGATATGCAGGTCTTAAACTTTGGCGAAACCCAGGTACTCCACATTCCTGACATGTCTAATGCCCCCCTTTCACTACGACCACGAATCACCCCGAATTCGAGACTTTCGAAATTCGTGATGATTTGGCCAATAATGCAAACTTTCGTGGCTAATTGGGTTGAAAAATATGAAGAATGCCAGGAATGGGTTAAGAAACGTGTACGAATTACAAGATGCATGTACAGATCATGCACGAACTGTAAGAATCAGCTACGACTAAGTTACGAATATGTTGTTCTTACTTGATTCTTATATGATTCGTAGTTGCCTCGAGACATTCGTGGCTGTTTCGGAATGTTTTCGGGTTGAGGACAAGAAATTTTGGGAGACATGAATCGCTAAGAATAGCCAAGAATGCAAAATAATCGATTACGAAGCTGTTACGGAACATAAGAGTTAATCACGAATAGATTACGATACAGCCACGAAATTGCAATTCGAGGACCCTTCCACGAAAGTTTATGACAAACAAAAACTTTCTCGCCGATTCGACGAACTCACGTGAACTGTACGAATGTTTTGGAATCAAATAAGATTCATTTAAGAACTTCAAGAAATGATTGAGATTTATCTACGAACACGAAAAATGTCCTATTCTGGGTGATTCGGGTTATTCGTGGTCGTAGTGAAATGGGGCAAGGGACACTACTCTTCACAGTACTTCCGGCATCCTAGACAATTGGTCTGTTTCAGGGCGAATAGAGTACTTATATTATTTTCACCACTATTTTGCCTTTTACGCCTAAAGGAATCTGCTTCGGAGGATAATCGAGACTTCGAAATCCCTGGGCCTTATCATTCTGATAGCCAGACATTTCTTTTGTGTGAGGAATTACAATATCTTTGATTTAGAAGCACAACTTACAGTCACAATTTCGCTTTTTCCCTTGGCAATGAGGAGATTGACCATTTCTAAACATCCTGTTGAGCATGCGTAGTGCAGAGGAATAGATCCTTCCTTATCCTCTTGCGTGATTTCAGCTCCATTGTCTAGCAGAAAGTCCATTATGTCCACTTGACGGTACGTTGCTGCCACGTGCATCGGAGTCATGTCGTGTTTGTCCTTTGTCTAAAATAGAGTGAGTTAGTTTTCCAGTTATATCACGGCGTGTCAGCTTAATGTGGGAGGAAAGCCCGAAGTGATGCAGGTCTTTACCACATTGGTGAAACCCACGAGCACGGGTATGGTGCTGACAAACCGAAAAACACAGAAAGGGATCAACTCCCCACCGCGAATTGCGGCGAATGAAACTACTGGGCCAGCTGTGGCCCTTTACACACGATGAACATGTTTAGGAACTACTACAGGGTGAAAGCCCCGAGCACGGGTACAGTGTTGACAAACTGAACCCACGATCATAGGTTTCTTGCATGCCCAAGGGCCACTACTCTGCAGAGCAAATTGCGGCGCCATAGACGACTATGACACCTGGGACTCCTGTCTGGATTTGTAGTGAGTCTAAACTTGAACTGACGACAAGGAACAATCCCCTGAGGTTAATGATACAGTGTTTCCGAATAGGTTAAGGAATTAGAATTAAAATATTAATACATATTTTTCTATTCCTAATATTCCCCACACGTGGGTAACAATATCAGTTTACAAAGTTTAACAATATCATTCTTAACACGTTAGAAACCATTTATGAACACACGATTGGATACAACCGCCGATTAATCATACAGCGTCAAACTATTTGCAGGGTCTGAACTTATTGAATTGTTTACCAAAAAGAGCAAACACTTCATATACTTTCAGCAAGATGTCTTTATTGGCATATTAATAATCGAAATGCCAAGTTTATCGGGTTAGTTCATGAGATCGAAATCACTATCCAGTGTATGATACAGATGAACATAAGTTGGACGTTACATCAGTTTCAAAACTCAACCTTATCCCAATCTCAACCCGCTGCCAACCTTATCCCCATCTCATCTCGCTGCCAGCCTTATCCAAAACTCATCTCGCTGCCAACCTTATCCCCATCTCATCTCGCTGCCAACCTTATCCCCATCTCAACCCGCTGCCAACCTTATCCCCATCTCAACCCGCTGCCATCCTTATCCCCGTCTCATCTCGCTGCCAACCTTATCCCCGTCTCATCTCTCTGCCAACCTTATCCCCATCTCAATCCGCTGCCAACCTTATCCCCATCTCAACTCGCTGCCAACCTTATCCCCATCTCATCTCGCTGCAAACCTTATCCCCATCTCAACTCGCTGCCAACCTTATCCCAATCTCAATCCGCTGCCAACCTTATCCCCATCTCATGTCACTGTCAACCTTATCCCCATCTCAATCCGCTGCCAACCTTATCCCCATCTCATCTCGCTGCCAACCTTATCCCAATCTCATCTCGCTGCCAACCTTATCCCCATCTCAACTCGCTGCCAACCTTATCCCCATCTCAATCCGCTGCCAACCTTATCCCCATCTCATCTCGCTGTCAACCTTATCCCCATCTCATCTCGCTGCCAACCTTATCCCCATCTCAACTCGCTGCCAACCTTATCCCAATCTCAACTTGCTGCCAACCTTATCCCCATCTCAATCCGCTGCCAACCTTATCCCCATCTCATCTCGCTACCAACCTTAACCCCATCTCATCTCGCTGCCAACCTAATCCCCATCTCATCTCGCTGCCAACATTATCCCCATCTCAAACCGCTGCCAACCTTATCCCCATCTCATCTCGCTGTCAACCTTATCCCCATCTCATCTCGCTGCCAACCTTATCCCCATCTCAACTCGCTGCCAACCTTATCCCAATCTCAACTTGCTGCCAACCTTATCCCCATCTCAATCCGCTGCCAACCTTATCCCCATCTCATCTCGCTACCAACCTTAACCCCATCTCATCTCGCTGCCAACCTAATCCCCATCTCATCTCGCTGCCAACATTATCCCCATCTCAAACCGCTGCCAACCTTATCCCCATCTCAACTCGCTGCCAACCTTATCCCCATCTCATGTCGCTGCCAACCTTATCCCCATCTCAATCCGCTGCCAACCTTATCCCCATCTCATCTCGCTGCCAACCTTATCCCAATCTCATCTCGCTGCCAACCTTATCCCCATCTCAACTCGCTGCCAACCTTATCCCAATCTCAATCCGCTGCCAACCTTATCCCCATCTCATGTCGCTGTCAACCTTATCCCCATCTCATCTCGCTGCGAACCTTATCCCCATCTCAACTCGCTGCAAACCTTATCCCAATCTCAACTTGCTGCCAACCTTATCCCCATCTCAATCCGCTGCCAACCTTATCCCCATCTCATCTCGCTACCAACCTTAACCCCATCTCATCTCGCTGCCAACCTAATCCCCATCTCATCTCGCTGCCAACATTATCCCCATCTCAACTTGCTGCCAACCTTATCCCCATCTCATCTCGCTGCCAACCTTATCCCCATCTCAATTCGCTGCCAACCTTATACCCATCTCATCTCGCTGCCAACCTTATCCCCATCTCATCTCGCTGCCAACCTTATCCCCATCTCATCTCGCTGCCAACCTTATCCCCATCTCAAACCGCTGCCAACCTTATCCCCATCTCAATTCGCTGCCAACCTTATCCCCATCTCATGTCGCTGCCAACCTTATCCCCATCTCAATCCGCTGCCAACCTTATCCCCATCTCATCTCGCTGCCAACCTTATCCCAATCTCATCTCGCTGCCAACCTTATCCCCATCTCAACTCGCTGCCAACCTTATCCCCATCTCAATCCGCTGCCAACCTTATCCCCATCTCATCTCGCTGCCAACCTTATCCCCATCTCAACTCGCTGCCAACCTTATCCCCATCTCATCTCGCTGCCAACCTTATCCCAATCTCATCTCGCTGCCAACCTTATCCCCATCTCAACTCGCTGCCAACCTTATCCCCATCTCATGTCGCTGCCAACCTTATCCCCATCTCAACTTGCTGCCAACCTTATCCCCATCTCATCTCGCTGCCAACCTTATCCCAATCTCATCTCGCTGCCAACCTTATCCCCATCTCAACTCGCTGCCAACCTTATCCCCATCTCAATCCGCTGCCAACCTTATCCCCATCTCATCTCGCTGTCAACCTTATCCCCATCTCATCTCGCTGCCAACCTTATCCCCATCTCAACTCGCTGCCAACCTTATCCCCCTCTCATCTCGCTGCCAACCTTATCCCAATCTCATCTCGCTGCCAACCTTATCCCCATCTCAACTCGCTGCCAACCTTATCCCCATCTCATCTCGCTGCCAACCTTATCCCAATCTCATCTCGCTGCCAACCTTATCCCCATCTCATCTCGCTGCCAACCTTATCCCCATCTCAACCCGCTGCCAACCTTATCCCCATCTCAATCCGCTGCCAACCTTATCCCCATCTCATCTCGCTGCCAACCTTATCCCCATCTCAATCTGCTGCCAACCTTATCCCCATCTCAATCCGCTGCCAACCTTATCCCCATCTCAACTCGCTGCCAACCTTATCCCCATCTCAACTCGCTGCAAACCTTATCCCCATCTCAACTCGCTGCCAACCTTATCCCCATCTCATGTCGCTGCCAACCTCATCCCCGTCTCAACTCGCTGCCAACCTTATCCCCATCTCATCTCGCTGCCAACCTCAGAGCTGCCCTACTGCCCGACTGCCCTAGTATACCACTGACTAATCACTGACCTTAGATGACGGAATATTTAGATGCACAGATTCCCGGAAAAAATGGCATGATATTATAATGAGGTTATCACACTTGTGTGTCTGGGATGGTCACAAAACTACATTGGTATAAACACTATGTATTTTGTTTATCAATTGCGAGAATGTATCTAGAACAACCATTTATGTATATGAGCATGGATCTCTAACCACCACTTACACGTGTGAGCAGGGATCAAGAACCACCACTTACACGTGTGAGCAGGGATCAAGAACCACCACTTACATGTGTGAGTAGGGATCTAGAAACACCACTTACACGTGTGAGCAGGGATCTAGAACCACCACTTACACGTGTGAGCAGGGATGAAGAACCGCCACTTACACGTGTGAGCAGGGATCAAGAACCACCACTTACACGTGTGAGCAGGAATCTATAAACACCACTTACATGTGTGAGCAGGGATCAAGAACCACCACTTACACGTATGAGCAGAGATCTAGAAACAACACTTACACGTGTCAGCAGGGATCAAGAACCACCACTTACACGTGTGAGCAGGAATCTAGAAACAACACTTACACGTCTGAGCAGGGATCAAGAACCACCACTTACACGTGTGAGCAGGGATCTAGAAACAACACTTACACGTGTGAGCAGGGATCAAGAACCACCACTTACACGTGTGAGCAGGGATCAAGAAACACCACTTACACGTGTGAGCAGGAATCTAGAAACACCACTTACACGTGTGAGCAGGGATCTAGAACCACCACTTACATGTGTGAGCAAGGATCTAGAAACACCACTTACATGTATGAGCAGGGATCTAGACCCACCACTTCCATGTGTGAGCAGGGATCTAGAACCACCACTTCCATGTGCGAGCAGGGATCTAGAACCACCACTTACGCGTGTGAGCAGGGATCAAGAACCACCACTTACATGTATGAGCAGGGATCTAGAAACAACGCTTACACGTATGAGCAGGGATCAACAACCACCACTTACACGTGTGAGCAGGGATCAAGAACCACCACTTACATGTATGAGCAAGGATCTAGAAACACCACTTACACGTGTGAGCAGGGATCTAGAAACACCACTTACACGTGTGAGCAGGGATCAAGAACCACCACTTACACGTGTGAGCAGGGATCAAGAACCACCACTTACACGTGTGAGCAGGGATCAAGAACCACCACTTACACGTGTGAGCAGGAATCTAGAAACACCACTTACACGTGTGAGCAGGGATCAAGAACCACCACTTACACGTATGAGCAGGGATCTAGAAACAACACTTACACGTGTCAGCAGGGATCAAGAACCACCACTTACACGTGTCAGCAGGGATCAAGAAACAACACTTACACGTGTGAGCAGGGATCAAGAACCACAACTTACACGTGTGAGCAGGAATCTAGAAACAACACTTACACGTCTGAGCAGGGATCAAGAACCACCACTTACACGTGTGAGCAGGGATCTAGAAACAACACTTACACGTGTGAGCAGGGATCAAGAAACACCACTTACACGTGTGAGCAGGGATCAAGAAACACCACTTACACGTGTGAGCAGGAATCTAGAAACACCACTTACACGTGTGAGCAGGGATCTAGAACCACCACTTACATGTGTGAGCAAGGATCTAGAAACACCACTTACACGTATGAGCAGGGTTCAGGAACCACCACTTACACGTGTGAGCAGGGATCTATAACCATCACTTTCATGTTTGAGCAAGAATCTAGAAACACCACTTATGTGTAAGAGCGGGGATCTAGAAACACCACTTACATGTGTGAGCAGGGATGTATAACCACCACTTACATGTATGAGCAGGGATCAAGAACCACCACTTACATGTATGAGCAGGGATCTAGAAACACCATTTCCATGTGCGGGCAGGGATCTAGAACCACCACTTTCATGTGTGAGCAGTGATCTAGAACCACCACTTACATGTATGACCAGGGATCTAGAAACAACACTTACATTCAAGAGCAGGGATCTAGAAACATCACTTATACGTATGAGCAGGGATCAAGAACCACCACTTACATGTATGAGCAGGGATCTAGAAACAACACTTACACGTATGAGCAGGGATCAACAACCACCACTTACACGTGTGAGCAGGGATCAAGAACCACCACTTACATGTATGAGCAAGGATCTAGAAACACCACTTACATGTGTGAGCAGGGATCCAGAAACACCACTTACACGTGTGAGCAGGGATCAAGAACCACCACTTACACGTGTGAGCAGGGATCAAGAACCACCACTTACACGTGTGAGCAGGGATCAAGAACCACCACTTACACGTGTGAGCAGGAATCTAGAAACACCACTTACATGTGTGAGCAGGGATCAAGAACCACCACTTACACGTGTGAGCAGGGATCTAGAAACAACACTTACACGTGTCAGCAGGGATCAAGAACCACCACTTACACGTGTGAGCAGGGATCTAGAAACAACACTTACACGTGTGAGCAGGGATCAAGAACCACCACTTACATGTGTGAGCAGGAATCTAGAAACAACACTTACACGTCTGAGCAGGGATCAAGAACCACCACTTACACGTGTGAGCAGGGATCTAGAAACAACACTTACACGTGTGAGCAGGAATCTAGAAACACCACTTACACGTGTGAGCAGGGATCTAGAACCACCACTTACATGTGTGAGCAAGGATCTAGAAACACCACTTACACGTATGAGCAGGGATCAAGAACCATCACTTACACGTGTGAGCAGGGATCTATAACCACCACTTTCATGTATGAGCAAGGATCTAGAAACACCACTTACATGTGTGAGCAGGGATCTAGAAACAACACTTACATTTAAGAGCAGGGATCTAGAAACATCACTTATACGTATGAGCAGGGATCTAGAAACAACACTTACACGTATGAGCAGGGATCTAGAACCACCACTTACACGTATGAGCAGGGATCTAGAACCACCACTTCCATGTATGAGCAGGGATCTAGAACCACCACTTACACGTATGAGCAGGGATCTAGAACCACCACTTACATGTATGAGCAGGGATCTAGAACCACCACTTACATGTATGAGCAGGGATCTAGAACCACCACTTACATGTGTGAGCAGGGATCTAGAACCACCACTTCCATGTGCGAGCAGGGATCTAGAACCACCACTTACACGTGTGAGCAGGGATCAAGAACCACCACTTACATGTATGAGCAGGGATCTAGAACCACCACTTACATGTATGAGCAGGGATCTAGAAACACCACTTACACTTGAATTTGTGGTCAATTATATCTATCAACGACTCATATGTTTGAAAAAAGAATTTATAACCACCACTAACATGGATGAGTTGCTCTTGTTTCGGGTTCTTGTCCTTCTTAATTAATATCCGGACACTGTCGAGACTACCTGACATTACAGCAAAGTGCAGAGGGGTCTGCCCGTGCCTTTTTTCTTTCAAATATATAAGCTTCATTTTGGTCTCCTTTTTCCCCGGCTCCTTGCCTTCCGCAACGTTTTGTTCCATATCCTTGTAAATGAGAATCTCAAGACACGTGACTGCGCTCTTGTCATCACTAGAAATAGACAGCTGTTTCTGAAACAAACAAACAAACCAGTTATGGTATATGTGTAGTTGGTACCGAGAAGGTAGGGGAAGGCGGTGCTGTTTGACACTGCTCTCTTTAAAGGAGTGAGTGAGCGTCTGCGTTGAACGCACCTTTTAGCAATATTCCAGCAATATCACGGCGAAGACACCAGAAATGGACTTCACACATTGTACCTATGTAGGGAATCGAACCCTGGCCTTCGGCGTAACGCGCAAACGCTTTAACTTCCAGTCAACCCCACTAGCTTCTCTTAAAGGAAAATATAGGCTGTTTACATATGAAAGAAAAAAGATCCATATCAGAACATAACGTACAAAGCATTTTCTTTATTCATAAAATATAGGTTGTATTTATATGACAAAGTAGACACAATTTATGGATTTCAACTTCTTTAATACTGTAAAGGCAACGTTTCGGTATAGATCATCAAACCGTTGACAAGCAAGACTAAATGAGGAACATTGTACAGAATATATACTGATCCGCAAAAGAAACGTCACCATGGATAGATATATGATAAACCTTATTTGTCCAAACACTGTAAACATACTTTGAAACATATTAAAAAGATAAAACTTGGCAAAACTGATCATCAAGGTTGAAATTCAAGTGTCAAATGTTCTTGAAATAAAACACAACACTAGTCTCTGAGAAAATGGCATCACAAGACAGTATCTCGTGTGTCCGCCATGTGCATTGATGACACGTGCAACGTCGATACATGGAATGGAGTAAGGCGGTTGTTGAAGGCCATAGGCTCTGAGGAACGCCTGATGCAGTTCAGCTACAGTTGTCGGCCTTGGTCCGACGTCATTCAGCCGTCTTTGAGTCTCGCCCCACAGGTGCTCAATGGGATTTAAATCGGGACTGAGGGCAGGCCACTGCATGGTTCTGATGGAGGACGTCTCTTTTTGCTCTCGCAGTGGGGACACGGGCGTCATCATGCTGAAACTCGTGGTTGCGGCGACGTGCCAAATGAGGTATGGCGTGTGGTCTCAAGACTTGATCAATGTACCGAGCTGCTGTGACATCATTGCCTAGTGCCTCTCCCGATGTTCTGGAAGACCACAGGGCCGACTCTCTGTGAAAGACCAATTCCACCCCACACCATGATGCTCCACCCCACGACACAACAACACAAGCATCCGAATAACGTTTTCCACGGCGTCGCCAGACTCTCTGCCATCTGCTGTTGAGATACAGTAACGGCTCTCGTCTGAGAAGATGACTCTTCTCCACTGCTGGTGGCGCCAATGCTGGTGCTGTGTTGCCCACTGAAGTCGGTCCCGGCGATGACTTGGTGTCAGAATGGGTGCTCGGTGTGGCCTGTGACAGTGGAGGTGTCTGCTCATCATTCGTTGATGCACGGTGTCCGCACGGTGTCGCTAGTGTGTCCCCACGGTCTGTCGAGCAGTTTCCGCAGCAGTAACAAAGCAATCCTGACGATCCTGACGTTGGTTTGAAACCCTTGGTCTTCCACAACGTGGTCGGTCATCTTTAGTGTTTGTGGTCTGGTACCGGTGCTGGAGCCTGTATATGGTCCTTTCGTGGACTTGAAATGTATTGGCTACTTGCCGGGCGGTGTGTCCAGCTTGCAATCGTCCAAGGGCTGTGATTTCTTTTCAATCTTGGCATGTGGTAGCATTTCAATAACGAATGAATGTTATCCGATCTGGGTGGAATTTTAAAAGGCAAGAAATGGAGCCACGCATGTGCATTTCAAGTTGCACGGAACTCACGTGCATCGGGTTACGATGGCCGTTGCCGTGATGCGTTTGGGCGATCGGTTTTATTGTCATCTGCATCATCAAATTTCATTTTTCCGGACAAGGCAATGTTAAATTTTAGAAACTTTGACAAAAATTACCCAGATATTTAAATGACAACTAATTTATTTATACAATGTTACTTGGGGTGACGTTTCTTTCTTTCTTTCTTTGGAGATTTAACGTGCGCTTTCCGACTGATGCGTATTTCTCACACGGGGTGACGTTTCTTTTGCGGTTCAGTACATATAGTAGGTGGAGGATGAATAGTAGAGGATTAACAGTAACAAAAATTGCATACATGAGTGGGATAACATGAGTAAGTAATGACAACAGAAGGATAGTGCTGCCACAACAAGATGGACAGAGAACAAATAGGTGGAAAGCCAATGGGACATGAAGCCTATTAAACAGGTAGGTGTTGTGATTATTGCTTAATGAGTTCGTAGTAGGCGGATGAGATGAAATAGCCTTGATCTCTGTTGATTGATGACTGTTGGCGTCGAATGTGGACTGCTTCTGTTAGTTTTATTTTAGTGTAGTCAGGGAGGTTGTTGGAGAGGATTCAGTCGTGCTTGACAACGGTATAAGGATCTATACCGAAACGTCGCCTTCACAGTATTAAAGAAGGAAGGGAAAATATGGATGTCAACTTCTTTGTTACGAGGAACACAACGTTTCGGAGTATATGCTTACTCCTTCATCAGGTGAAATGATGGTGACATGGCTAAGACTGTGGTTTAGAAATAATGGATCCAATCAGAAAGGGTTTCGCGCTCCATTGAATGGACTCGGTTCGCGTGTTTGACATTGGCCATCTAGGGTACATTTCTGAATATTGATCTCATCTAAGTAAAGCAATGTCGTAACTTTCATACTCTAAGATAGACTTACGACAGTCGTGACGCGAAGATCACTTTGTGGAACAGGACCCAGAAATATAACTTGTACGAAATGAACACACAGGCATGTACCCTTGTTCGCTTTGCGGAACAGGATGCTGGACTATTCCTGGACCCTACACGTCAAAGGCCTCGCGCAGTAATGCTTGTTACTAACTTACTGAGTAGCGTCGGTCATCTTTTCCAGAATCATTGTAAGTATCTGGGGCGTTCCTGGTGGTACCTCTGACACTCTTTGTTGCATAGTGGGCCAGAGAGAGGCCGTGTTGGTCCTGTATCAGGTGGTCTGTGGACAAAAACATATCCTTCTGATGTATCTTTCCGGAAATACAATTACTGGAGGGGGTTCATTCAGGACATAAACCTCTCGTGCACACAATGTATGATAATAAGAATAAGGAAAAAGTTAAGTGAATGAGATTTACGCCGTTGTAGAAAGATGCCAGGACTTCCTCTCGCAGGTCACACTATACATGGGTTTCACATATTGTGAACCTGGTCCAGGTTTCGAGCAAACGCCTGAACTACAAGGCTATCTATTCGCTTCTGTACAATACAGATAAAGACGGAACAGGGGGCAACTATAGAATAGGGTTGGATTTCACGACATTAGGACATTAGAATGAAGCTTCATTGATGAGAATTAGGATTGGTCTTCATAGAAGCGTGTGTCAGTTGGGTTTAACGCCGCGTTCGCAGTTTTTTAGTTTCATCACGGCGTGTCAGCTTGATGTGGAAAGAAAGCCACAGTGCTGCAGGTCTCAGGCCTTTACTACTTTGGTGAAACCCTTGAGCACTGGTTAAGTGCTGACAACCGTTGGGACATAGTCAGTGCATATGTGAGACTATTCGAACCCACGACCATAGGTTTCTGTCTCGCCTAAAGACCCCAACTCAGAAGAAAAAGGAGGATGCAACAGCGGCAATGTTAACAGTTCAGTGCAATATACTGACTTGCGGGTTTCTCCCAGTTAACCAGGAGCCTGACCACCTCCGGCCGGTTGCACTTGACGGCATGTTGAAGTGCAGTTAATCCTTGGCCGTCTTTCTCATCAATGTCCGCAATTGCCACTCCGCGTCTTCTGTCCCCCAAGGCATTACGCAGTTTCTCAACCTCTCCCTGTCTGGCCATCTGAAGGAACATCACAAGTACCAATGTTAAACAGAGTATGACAACTTATTTTTAACACTAAAGGGCAACCCTTCACACGTTATATAACCTATGAGCGGGGGGGGGGGGGGGGGTCTATAGCTGAAGGGAGGGGTTAACACAGACACACCACTATATCAGCACTGAAGCGCGGGGTTAACACATACACACACTATATCAATATAGAGGGACGAGGTTAACACATAACACATACACACACCAGGTCACATTGAAGGGAGGGGTTAATACATAACATACTATATCACATTGAAGGGAGGGGTTAACACATACACACACTATATCAACATTGAAGGGAGGTGTTAACACATACACACACCACATCAACGCTGAAGGGCGGGGTTAACACATACACACACTACATCAGCACTGAAGGGCGGGGTTAACACATACACACACTACATAAGCACTGGAGGGCGGGGTTAACACATACACACACTACATAAGCACTGGAGGGCGGGGTTAACACATACACACACACTACATCAGCACTGAAGGGCGGGGTTAATGCATAAACACACTATATCACATTGAAGGGAGGGGTTAACACATACACACACTACATCAGCACTGAAGGGCGGGGTAAACACATACACACTAAACATCAGCACTGAAGGGCGGGGTTAACATATACACACACTATATCAATATTGAAGGGAGGGGTTAACACATACACACACTGTATCAATATTGAAGGGAGGGGTTAACACATACACACACTATATCAGCACTGAAGGGCGGGGTAAACACATACACACACTTCATCAGCACTGAAGGGTGGGGTTAACACATACACACACTACATCAGCACTGAAGGGTGGGGTTAACACATACACACACTACATCAGCACTGAAGGGCGGGGTTAACACATACACATTATATCACATTGAAGGGAGGGGTTAACACATACAAACACTATATCAATATTGAAGGGAGGGGTAAACACATACACACACTATATCACATTGAAGGGTGGGGTTAACACATACACACACTATATCACATTGAAGGGAGGGGTTAACACATACACGCACTACATCACATTGAAGGGAGGGGTTAACACATACACACACTATATCAATATTGAAGGGAGGGGTTAACATATACACATACTATATCAACACTGAAGGGCGGAGTTAACATATACACACACTATATCAACACTGAAGGGCGGGGTTAACACATACACATACTATATCTAGATTGAGGGGCGGGGTTAACACATACGCACACTGAATCAAGATTGAGGGGCGGGGTTAACACATACACACACTGAATCAAGATTGAGGGGCGGGGTTAACACATACACATACTGTATCAAGATTGAGGGGCGGGGTTAACACATACACATACTGTATCAAGATTGAGGGGGGGGGGGTTAACACATACACACAATGTATCAAGATTGAGGGGCGGGGTTAACACATACACACACTATATCAAGATTGAGGGTCGTGGTTAACACATACACACACTGTATCAAGATTGAGGGGCGGGGTTAACACATACACACACTGTATCAAGATTGAGGAGCGGAAGCAATGCCTACACACATGTATCGACACTGAAGGGCGCTGTCAACGCCTGTACACACTATATCAACCGACATTGACTCTTCTATTTTAGACAGTATGCAAACAGGACATGCCAAAATATGGGCTAGTAGAAAAGATTAACGTGTTGAATGTCTTTCAATGCGTGATGTTGCCATTGGTAAAAAGAACAAACTGAAAAAGAGGAAACGGAATTGGAATAAGCCCATTCTCTCCCATTCAGCTGTCATATGGCGTCACGAATAGTTTGTACATGTCCCCACTGACAAGGCCTCAAATAACAGAATCATTATTTGCAAGCATCGCTACATTCATTGTTTGATCAAAGAACCTGTTATAAGTAAAACGACACGTGATGCCACATGGCCAGTCTGTTAACTGAGGAAAACATCTGCCAAAATCATGCATCTTTACTATCAACATTTGACTTGACGCTAAAACCTGAAGATATGCCCATTCACATTTTGTACTGGAATCCTTAATACAATCAAGGAAGGACTTTTTCACATTCACAGAATGTATTTGAGATAAGTGAAATTAATGCCATATGAATTCTCAAAAACTCAAACGATTTGGTTGAATGTTTACAATCTATTAAAAGAGGCAAGTTCAATTTTGTCAAAACATTTCAACGTTGTACACCAGTATCCCACATGAAAAACTTTATTCCTTGATCCATGAGACATTGGTCCCCAAAGGTGGTGACCACAGACATAGTTGCACAGCCCTATTTAAAGGTTTAGGACAATTTGTCAATAATGAAGCAAATGTCTTCTGAAGTTTACTGAGAAAACAATGAGTTTAGTGCTGAACTTTCTCGTTGAAAAGATCTTTTTCTGTATGGATATGAAGCAGAATGTCTCCTCGGATAGGCAAAATAAAAATAAAGTTGTTTGCTTTGCTTTAATGAAAATGATATATTGAAGCTGGTATTTTTCTCGTTAAATATTTAGAAGCCTACTCTGTGCGTGCCCTGGATATATATGCGAGGTGTGGCCGTTACCTTTCTGTCCTTGTTATGTTGTGTTACACAACCAAATAGCCCACGGTGAATGGAACAAGCAACAATCGTAAATCTGCTATTCATTATAGGAATGATGAAAACATTCCATGTGATTAAATGAGGATATCTCAGTTGAATGTATGGTTAGCTTTTGGTGTGTTTTCAAACTGAGTTTTCCTATTATCGACCTGCATATTATGTAACATTCACGTCACGAAAATCTCTTTTTTCCAACTGTGTATACTTTCATAAATACGGTGTATTGAGCCTTACATACAGGGCCGTCACGCACGACCACCCCCTAACGTGCTGACGGTGTTGTGTTATCTGTTGCCATAGGTGACTGTGGATCAAGTCATGGTGCATTCAGTGAACAGTCATGCGTGAATATGCAGTTGCACAGTGTCGGCGAAACCTGTGCAGGTAATTTGTTTGCTATGATGTTTCAAGGCGGGTTATGGTGATAAGCAAGCTTGTAACGCCTGTATGCGCTCTCCTGCCGACCTAACCGCCTCCGTGGTCTAGTGGTAGAGCGCATGCACGTCGCTATATAAGTGCAATAATCTTGGACGCGACGTTAAACCCCATTTCACCTCACCTCACCTCACCTCACCTCACCTCACCTCACCTCACCTCTGCCGACCCCGCGCTACCCTGCATTGCCGACCCCTCCTACCCTGCATTGCCGACCTGCCTTGTCGACCCCGCGCTACCCTGCCTTGTCGACCCCGCGCTACCCTGCATTGCCGACCCCTCCTACCCTGCCTTGTCGACCCCGCGCTACCCTGCCTTGCCGACCCCGCGCTACCCTGCCTTGCCGACCCCACGCTACCCTGCATTGCTGACCCCTCCTACCCTGCATTGCCGACATGCCTTGCCGACACCGCGCTACCCTGCCTTGCCGACCCCGCGCTACCCTGCATTGCCGACCCCGCGCTACCCTGCATTGCCGACCCCTCCTACCCTGCATTGCCGACCTGCCTTGCCGACACCGCGCTACCCTGCATTGCCGACCTGCCTTGCCGACACCGCGCTACCCTGCCTTGCCGACCTGCCTTGCCGACACCGCGCTACCCTGCATTGCCGACCTGCCTTGCCGACACCGCGCTACCCTGCCTTGCCGACACCGCGCTACCCTGCATTGCCGACCTGCCTTGTCGACCCCGCGCTACCCTGCATTGCCGACCTGCCTTGCCGACACCGCGCTACCCTGCCTTGCCGACACCGCGCTACCCTGCATTGCCGACCTGCCTTGCCGACACCGCGCTACCCTGCATTGCCGACCTGCCTTGCCGACACCGCGCTACCCTGCCTTGCCGACACCGCGCTACCCTGCATTGCCGACCCCGCGCTACCCTGCATTGCCGACCTGCCTTGTCGACCCCGCGCTACCCTGCATTGCCGACCCCGCAACGGTGCAGTGATGCGTTGACAAATGTTTCCATTGATTGATATATTTGTAGACTTGGTTGCAGCGTCCACCTACTGTGTATTCTATTTTGTGATGCTAAGCATCTGTACAAACATGTCATGTAAATCAATAGGAAAATCTGAAAGTGTTGCTATTTCTGTTTCCTACCAAAATAACATTGCATACATTGTTTAGTATTTGTAACGACCGTTATTCTTGACATTGTGAATAATTAAAAGAACTATTACTATACTATGAACACACAATGCCATTTAGAAAGTGATCAAATGTAACAAATATTATATTTGGGATACTGATTCTCGTACTTTTTGGGAGAGAGGCACCTATTCGCCAGCACATCGGAGCCGTGGGCCGTGGGAGCCGTGCCAATTTACACATGTCAGAGGGGTACACAAAGTACGTGATCTAGACTACCAGTTGTCGGACTTTCATTTTTGTGGAAGCTTCGGTTGCTGAGTGGGTTAGATCGCTGACTTTGTGTGCTGGCGATAAGGTGCCTCCGTCCTACCAGCCCTATTCCACACCACGAATGCCTCTCACAATGAACAAGTCGACAACGGAAGGTATCTTCAAAGTTGACATAAGTTGTGGTCACCATTATCAAATGGATGAGAAGACAGAAAAAACAGTAATGCTATTAAAAAGTCCGGGAATGAAGCAGGCAGAGTCGGCGCGTTCCCGATCGTTGTAATTGCACATCGCGTCAAACACCCGTTTAACCCCAGTGGCGGATTTTTTGTCGTTTTGGGGGACGATTTCTTTTACGCAATTTATGATTTTTTCAAAATAAATTTGGTTAAATATTTGTGATACGCATGTCTTAAAATATTAAAATCTGTAAAGTTGGTATACTGAGTTTACTTGCTATTGCCGCGAAAGGTGTGCGGCCGACTATGACCGCGAACGCAGTGCTGGTTTGTTGTGCGACCAAACGTGTTTGGTATTTAGTAGACAAAAAGCACGTTAATGTAATTAAATATTCTTAAGGTTCTTATCTAATTATCAACAACTATTCAGACTGAGCTGATACCTACGGTAAACAAAATACAGTGTTTGCTCAATACCCCTGGCTTTCCTATCCAATGAACTGGCCATGCTAAGTTAACCGTGCTGGAAATCAGTGGTTGTGAGTTCGAATCCCATATTCTCCCTGCTTATACTTGTAGGTTTGTCAGCACCTATGATCGTTAGTTTCACCAAACTGGCAAATGTAAAGGCCTGTTGAACTTTCCTCCCACATCAAACTGACAGCCTTCCATGTGTCGTCACTGCCAACTCACTCTCTCACTCACTCACTCACTCACTCACTCACTCACTCACCTTGTGGATGTCGGGTTTCTCAACATGCTGTACTATCTGTGGCTCTTCATCCGACTCATCCGACGACGTCGACGACGACATCCCCGACGACATGTCCCAGCGTTGGCGTGACGCCCCCTACTCCTGGTGCGCGTGAGTCTTTACTTACGTTATGACAAACAACACTGCAACCACCCTCCCTAACGCCATGTGTGGGTAACAATAGGCCTCGGGGTATGTTTCTTGGAAATACCATTCAACGCCCCACTATGATTACCAAGAAATACATACACAGCCGACATGTCCTCTATTCACCTGTATCTATTGTCAGTTTATTACACGACTACTGTGCACAAACTATGATAGCGTTCCTTTCACAGTAGAGTAAAAGAGACACCTAAAAAGACCCTCATGCTATTGAAAGGTCGATGGCTATTTAATATATTGTCAACAGCATAGCCGCGGACTGCCTGTCTTGGGTGTCGTTCCACCGTCCCTATTGACGGGTACATTACACTGATCGCCCACAGTCAGTTGCTGGGGGTGGTGGAGGCTCGGGACGCAGGGGTGGGGGTGGGGGTGGGGTGGGGTGGGGGGTGGGGGGGTGGGGGGGATGTTAAAATATGGATTATGTCTGGGCCATAACGTTACATGTTCTCATACTGTTAGGTTTCTATCGCTATACAGTAATAAAAGTTTACAACATACTAACTCGAAATATAATTTGTGTACATTTATCAATTATTGCTCCTTGCCCTTTCCATATTCATAACAGATATCATCACCAGTCCATTGTACGATTCCGACTGTATTATTAGCATGAAGTCCCATCAAATTGGGATGACGCCAAGCGTTCGCAAAACGGTGAGTATTCTGCTCCACCGTGGTACCCGTCACAAACACATGCAAAGGCAAGTCAATGTTCACCCGAAGAAACACGGGAAGAAGGCTCGTTTGGGGATAGAGCAGGGTTGAGAATGAACGCGCGATGGGCACTTATCCTTTCGAAACATTAGGGAAGTGAAATGAAAACTGTTTTAATGACAGTATACATACAATGAACTCTTTTACACATTGACACAATAACACTCTTAAAACATAATTAGTTTGTAATTCAAATTAATTCGACGTAACTGACTTCAAAGACCAGTGGAACGCTCTTCACATACCTTCAGAATAGAGAGTGGGCCAACTATAATGAGGTGAGGTGAAATTGGGTTTAACGTCGCGTCCAAGATTATTGCACTTATATAGCGACGTGCATGCACGTGTATGTGTGTGGCTGCTTGTACTAGTCCGGACTGATGCCGATTTATAGTGCTAGCTCACTGAGATACCATGCCGCAGTTTAACATGAATACCCCACTCAGACACAGTATACTGACTCCGAGCCGACCAGTCCTTGTTTTAGCCCCTTAATGCCGAGCGCCAGACAGGGTAACAACAAGTACAATCTTTTAACGTCTTTTTGTATGACGCGGCCCGGGATCGAACCCTGGACCTTCCGCTCTCCGGGCGGACGCTCTACCACAAGACCACGGAGGCGGTCCCAACTATAACGAAACTGTGCGAAGGGTACAACTGTAGGTTTATGTGTATTTACATTTACTGATGTCGTCCCGGCAACACATGAAATAATTATCATCACACGAAGTGGGAGGCAGATACAGTATACCGTTACTTTTGCGATGTGAAAAGTATTAAGCCTATCTGGACTCTCATTTTCCAGCACCATAACCGTTCTTTGGATTCACCAAAGTTCAACAGCTGCGTCACATTGTGCTTTGACCGAGGGCATCTGAACATGGAACTGAAATCTTACGGGTACAATCTGTCCACCCTTTCTTTCCTATGTGTGCCTCTATGAACGTGAATAATGGGAGTTAGATGGGGCTGAACGTCGTGTTCAAGACCATTGCACTTTTTTAGCGACGTACATGCACTCGTGTTTGGCTGCTTGTACTGGTCCGAACTAATGCCGGTTTCATAGTGTCAGCCCACCCTGCCGCTGTTTAACATGAAATAACCAACTCACACACAGTATACTGAGTCCGAGCCAACGGTCATTGTTTTTCCCCATTAATGCAGAATGCAAGGCAGGGTAACAACAAGTACCATCTTCAAATATATATTTTTTATGAGACGGGCACGGGATCGAACCACCGACGCCTTTTCCAACCACACAAAGGATTAAACACACAATTTAATTAAAACATCTTACTCAAACCTTGCTCAAATAAACTACATTTATTGTTACAAAGTGACCAATCTCATTAAAATCAGATCTTAGTTCTCGCTACCGCTAAACAAAGATCTGAGGACATCCCATTACGGGTCACGTCAGAACTTTGACCGACCAATGGAATGACTTATCAGAAGGTAGCTTTCTCGTGCTTTACGACTTTAATTTCAAATTGGCGACAACGCTTCGAAACATATTTTGACAAATTCTCGATTACAAATTTGAAACTTGAACAAAAGAACATTCTGGAATGGCTAATAGATGATCCAGATTGTATGGATGCAGTCGTTAAACCCATAACTATCGTTCGGAGTTACAGTTTTCGAGGCTGCATGATCAGAAATCACATTCCGACTGTCACTTTCATAATCTGGTAAGCGATGCTCTGCTTCGTCGGATGAAAGGTCGTTCTGACGTGACCCCTAATGGGATGTCCTCAGATCTTTGTTTAGCGGTAGCGAGAACTGAGGTCTGATTTTAATGAGATTGCAATGTGACATATTTCAGCACAACAGTTTTCCTTTCACACAACTGCTTTACCTAGAAGTGAGTGAGTGAGTGAGTTAACATTTCAGCCATATAGCGATGACTTTACATAGACGGCATCGCAGGTATTTATTCTAGGAAAAGAAAACATTTGTGAAATTGCTGTCAGTAGAATATTCAGTATAAACTATGACACTCCTAGTTCCTGTTCGACTCCATTTAGCCGGGTTTGTCATGGTCACAGTGTTTCAGCAGTGTCAACACGTCTCTCTTCAGCGTCACAATCAGCCTCTCCAGCCGCCTCTGTTGCTGGGCAACGTCATCAATAGATACCTGAAATAGAAACCTGAAACTTAATCAGATGATGATGATGATGATGATTACCAGGAGATAAACATAACCTATTCTATAATGTAGAATAAATTTTTTTGAACATACAGCACTACACACGGGTTGGGAAACACTGTGCAGCACAACACACGGGTAGGATATCACAGTGCAATACTACACATGAGTAACATATCACTGTACAGCACTACACATGGGTAGGATATCACTGTACAGCACTACACATGAGTAACATATCACTGTACAGCACTACACACGGGTAGGATATCACTGTACATGACTAAACACGGGTAGCATATCACTGTACAGCACTACACACGTGTAGGATATCACTATACAGCACTACATACGTAGGATATCACTGTACAGAACTACACACGGGTAGGACATCACTGTACAGCACTACACATGGGTAGGACATCACTGTACAGGACTACACATGGGCAGGATATCGCTGTACAGAACTACACATGGGTAGGATATCACTGTACAGCACTACATACGGGTAGGACATCACTGTACTGCACCACACATGGGTAGGACATCAATGTACATGACTACACATGGGTAGGATATCACTGTACAGGATTACTCACGGGTAGGATATCACGGTACAGAACTACACACGGGTAGGATATCACTGTACAGCACTACACACGGGTAGGATATCACTGTACAACTCTAAACACGGATAGGATATCACTGTACAGTACTACACACGGGTAGGATATCACTGTACAGCACTACCCACAAGCAGGATATCACTGTACAGCACTACACACGGGTAGGATATCACTGTACAGCACTACACACGGGTAGGATATCACTGTACAGCACTACACACGGGTAGGATATCACTGTACAACTCTAAACACGGATAGGATATCACTGTACAGTACTACACACGGGTAGGATATCACTGTACAGCACTACCCACAAGCAGGATATCACTGTACAGAACTACACACGGGTAGGATATCACTGTACAGCACTCCACATCAGTAGGATATCACTGTACAGCACTACACACGGGTAGGATATCACTGTACAGCACTACACATAGGTAGGATATCACTGTACAGATAATGTACGTGGATATTGATCCTGGCTACATTTTGTTCATAACAGATACTTTCACCTCAGGGACATAACGTATCGGGGCGCATGTCGTTGCTCAGTCATTCTAGTATTTGATTGGTGTTTGTGAACCCTGACCATTATTTCACTAGTTTCGCTATATTCATATTTGTATTTGGATTATGTTTTAAATGCACAGAGGAGAAAAACGTTTCTTCTGTTGTAATATCATATACAGAAATATTTTAGCACCAAAAAGACCCTCATTTAAGATATTAAATTTTCTGACTCAATTCATATGCAGATGATAATCTATTTTGTTAAACGAACGTTTGCCAGGTCAGAAGTTGGGACATTGTTGTTACTCAATGGGACTAGCCACTCTCAACTGATGTAGAACAAATTATAAAGTTACCGCAAAGTCAGGAAATTAATTCCCTGTAGTATTCCGAAGAGCAGGAAAGGGCAACAAGTGCTTTTTAACATTCATGGAGGTAAGCAAACGTTTGGTATGGGGAGCAGTTCCGATAGCGCCACGCTAAAATCTGTCGCCTTCATGTGCTTGCCTTGTCATGAAATGACATTAACTGTGAACACAGCATGTATGGCGTCACATTACCATAGACTGATGTACGTGGCACACCATGTAGCTGGCCATGCCACAATGACCAAATAGAAACGGTTTGTCCTTCACTTGCATCCTGATGTATCTCATCATTTTCACTTGTTTGTTTGTTTGTTTGTTTCAAGATGATGTGGTTCTAATTTCTGATAATGTAATAGGTTCACAAAGGTGCATTAAAACATTGCAGGCAGTTTTAATAAATTAAAACCTTCTCGTTTGTCCAGATCAAGTAAGATTGTTCTTTACAAAATGGAGGAGTCGTTTCTAAATGTGAAAAGTGGTATTTTAGGAAAATGCTTATTGAATGTGTTACCTCATATACGTATTTAGGCATAAACGTCTCAAGAAATATGTCTTGGAATAAGCACTTTGGTAAACTATTTTGCATTCCAAAAGGTTTTTATTCGGTATCTCTTCACCAAGCAACTGTTATAAAATGTTGGACCTGTTTCATTGTAAAAATAGTTGGTCTTTAAAACGACTGGATGTAAATATGACTTAATGTTCATGAACAAAACTGGCATGCCTCATTAACAGGTCGTTCTAAAACTTTGTAATACCCATTTATTAAACATAGAAACAGGTCGGTATAGTATAAATAACCAAGAGAAGAAAGAATATGTAAAGTATGGGTATGTAGAAAATGAGTATCACTTGTTTATCAGGCTTCTGATATGCGTCAAATGTATCATCACAGGAAATACTTTGTACGTCACACTTAACAGAAATATAATAAACTAATTTATGTTGTTAACACTGAAATTGTTACACATTTGGCAATGTTAGTACTTCATGCAATGCAAATAGGAACGGTTCCATTGTAACTTAAGCTGTGTGCCGATGGCCTATGTCCTTGCTGAAATTATCTCCGTGATAAAGATCTGTTATTAGGACCATGTTTATTAAAACGGGACCGAGATGTTTGTTTATTAATGTTTCTTGGGTACATCGTCATGTTATTAGGCCTTGAGCCCTTAAGCCCAGCAATGAACTGAGAATTCTTGAAATATATTATTGTATCTTCTTTCAGGGATTATACATACACGCACATCATTCGATTTAACAATTCAACAATACAAGAAACGTTGTTATAACCAAAGCAGAGACCCCTTTCTACCTCTTTCTACATGTGGGTTTCGAAAGATTCCAGAAATATCACGGCGGAGGACTCCAGACTTTGGCTTCATACATTGTACCAATGTGGGAATCAAACCTGTGTATTCGGCCTACATGACCTGCACAGACGAGAAGGCCTACATGGCCTGCACAGACGAGAAGGCCTACATGACCTGCACAGACGAGAAGGCCTACATGACCTGCACAGACGAGAAGGCCTACATGACCTGCACAGACGAGGAGGCGTACATGACCTGCACAGACGAGAAGGCCTACATGACCTGCACAGACGAGAAGGCCTACATGACCTGCACAGACGAGAAGGCCTACATGACCTGCACAGACGAGGAGGCCTACATGACCTGCACAGACGAGAAGGCCTACATGACCTGCACAGACGAGAAGGCCTGCATGATCTGCACAGACGAGAAGGCCTACATGACCTGCACAGACGAGAAGGCCTACATGACCTGCACAGACGAGAAGGCTTACATGACCTGCACCAGGCGAGAAGGCCTACATGACCTGCACCGACGAGAAGGCCTACATGACCTGCACAGACGAGAAGGCCTACATGATCTCCACAGACGAGAAGGCCTACATGATCTCCACAGACGAGAAGGTCTACATGACCTGCACAGACGAGAAGGCCTACATGACCTGCACAGACGAGAAGGCCTACATGATCTCCACAGACGAGAAGGCCTACATGATCTCCACAGACGAGAAGGTCTACATGATCTGCACAGACGAGAAGGCCTACATGACCTGCACAGACGAGAAGGCCTACATGACCTGCACAGACTAGAAGGCCTACATGATCTCCACAGACGAGAAGGCCTACATCATCTCCACAGACGAGAAGGTCTACATGACCTGCACAGACGAGAAGGCCTACATGACCTGCACAGACGAGAAGGCCTACATGATCTCCACAGACGAGAAGGCCTACATGATCTCCACAGACGAGAAGGCCTACTTTACCTGCACAGACGAGAAGACCTACATGATCTCCACAGACGAGAAGGCCTACATGATCTCCACAGACGAGATGGCCTGCATGACCTGTACAGACGAGGAGGCCTACATGACCTGCACAGACGAGAAGGCCTACATGATCTCCACAGACGAGAAGACCTTCATGACCTGCACCAGGCGAGGTGTGACGTACACAGGCGTTGTCATGTTATAATTACGGAAAACTGCAGCTGCAAAATGGATTAAAAACTGATACAGTAGAGAAACGCGTGGACAATAAGCATCTTCAACTTTGACTTGGTTGTTATAACAGAAATTACCTCAGTTATTATTTAGTCGTTTGTGTTTCTGGTCACACACTCATCACACTCTTCGACATCGCCAAGTGAAGTAAAGCAGGCAAGAGGTGAGGGCAACTGGGGTTTAACGTCGCGTCCAAGATTATTGCACTTCTTTAGCGAGGTGCATGCATGTATGAGTGCGCGCGCGCGTGCGTGTGTGTGTGTGCATGTGTGCGTGCGTGCGCGCGCATCTGGCTGCTTGAACTGGTCTGGACTATTGCCGAGTTTATAGTGCTACCCCACAGACACCATGCCACAGTTAACAAAGAATACCTAACTCTAACATAGTATACTGAGCCGACGAGTCCTTCGTTCAGCCTCTTAATGTCGAGCATCAGGCAGAGAAACAACAAATACCATCTTTTAACGTATCTTGGTCTGACGGGGTCGGAGATCGAACCCACGACCTTCCGTTCTCAGCACACCAGAGAGATACGTGGATGGCCACATATTGCCTGGTGAAAACCTCGACAGTGAACGTCCGGGAATCAACCTTGTGTCATTGCTGCATTGCACAGGCTGGTGAATCACAAATACATCTATGATTGTAAATTCAAACACAACTTACAGAGACCATAAACAGGAACGTGTTCTGTGGACATATTGCAAAGGTCACTGCCGGTCATAAGTATAACGGTCTGATCCCGATGCGGCGTGAAATATCAAATTCAGGAAACCGTTGATGGCTAGGCCAGATGGTAATAAAGTCGAGTCGGATATCTCGAACCCAGGATAAATCTGCCTATTTCTTTAGTCTTGTCTGAGTTCGAGACAACGTGGTTCAACTATATGTCCAACAAAGGAAATGTATTCAGTAGACATGATCAAGTCGTGTGTGGCGGACTGACAGGCATGCAAGTCCTCGTTGTTGACGCTACCACGCTTCTATATTGCATGTGTTCACTGTCTGTATAACGTAGATGTCCAAATTCAAGCCATATCCCAAAGTTTGATGTAGAACAATTTTATTTTCCATGGCAATGTACAAAATACTTCTGTAATGATTCAATGTGTTGCACAGGGAATACAAAACACGCAGTGGAACCAGTCCTTAGTGACAGCACTCAGTGACATTTCACTCCCAGTGTTAGAACAGTCAGAGATGTGTTTGTATCACGGTAATATTAAACCGCTCGTTTGTATGTCAAAGATACAATATGTTTCGGAAATGACCAAGTCTAGGTTATCCCACACTCAAGTTGTCATGTTGTTTGAAGCAAACTCAACAGTCGAAACGTGGTGATATCATGTGTGATTTATAACAAAGGGCGGCCTAGAGACGACATGCCACGAGATCACCGTCATAAGTCACATATACGAAAAGCCGTACCTAAAGCATAGTCTGATTTGTATTATGTGCACTTACAGGAAAAAAATGTCGCTGTCTTGGTCCTGTATCTTTACGCCAACTTAATTGAAATGACATTGTTTTTGACAACTTTCTGATCATCAGAGCCACTAAGAAGTGTCAAAACATCATTCATGTTGGGGTACTTGACTAGGAAGTATTGAAACATGTGATTTTATGAGTTATTTAGCCTCTGCTCTTCAAAAGATAATTTTACGCTTCAAAGGTTGAATAATGTATTAAAAAGCAAAACACACAAGTAACTGTAGCAAGCATTTCATGAAATAAACATGCATGCCCAGGAACTATATGAAGCTGGACGTTACGGAGAAAGGACAGGAATCATATCGCACCTGCATAAATATCTCAATATCCAATTATAAGACAAACAAACACAACATAGGACATAGAATGCACGAACAAGATGGCGGCTCCAAGAATGCAGGACCAAGATGAAGGCCCAAAGAATGCAGGACCAAGATGGCGGCTCCAAGAATGCAGGACAAGGATGGAACCTACAAAAACCCAAGATCAAGATGGCGGCTCCAAGAATGCAGGATCAAGATGGCGGCTCCAAGAATGCAGGACAAGGATGGCACCTACAAGAACCCAGGATCAAGATGGCGGCTCCAAGAATGCAGGATCAAGATGGCGGCTCCAAGAATGCAGGACAAGGATGGCACCTACAAAAACCTGGGATCAAGATGGCGGCTCCAAGAATGCAGGATCAAGATGGCGGCTCCAAGAATGTAGGATCAAGATGGCGGCTCCAAGAATGCAGGACAAAGATGGCACCTACAAGAACCCAGGATCAAGATGGCGGCTCCAAGAATGCAGGATCAAGATGGCGGCTCCAAGAATGCAGGATCAAGATGGCGGCTCCAAGCCTGCAGGATCAAGATGGAGGCTCCAAGAATGCAGGACAAGGATGGCACCTACAAGAACCCAGGACCAAGATGGCGGCTCCAAGAATGCAGGACAAGGATGGCACCTACAAGAACCCAGGACCAAGATGGCGGCTCCAAGAATGCAGGATCAAGATGGTGGCTCCAAGAATGCAGGATCAAGATGGCGGCTCCAAGAATGCAGTATCAAGATGGCGGCTCAAAGAATGCAGGACAAGGATGGCACCTACAAAAACCTGGGATCAAGATGGCGGCTCCAAGAATGCAGGATCAAGTAGGCAGCTAACAGAATGCAGGACAAGGATGGCACCTACAAGAACCCAGGACCAAGATGGCGGCTCCAAGAATGCAGGATCAAGATGGTGGCTCCAAGAATGCAGTACCAAGATGGCGGCTCCAAGAATGCAGGATCAAGATGGCGGCTCCAAGAATGCAGGATCAAGATGGCGGCTCCAAGAATGCAGTATCAAGATGGCGGCTCCAAGAATGCAGGATCAAGTAGGCAGCTAACAGAATGCAGGACAAGGATGGCACCTACAAGAACCCAGGACCAAGATGGCGGCTCCAAGAATGCAGGATCAAGATGGCGGCTCCAAGAATGCAGTATCAAGATGGCGGCTCAAAGAATGCAGGATCAAGTAGGCAGCTAACAGAATGCAGGACAAGGATGGCACCTACAAGAACCCAGGATCAAGATGGCGGCATTTCACATGATATCAAAGTTGTATCGGGTACATCCGCTGATCCGCCGTAAGTGCTTCCTATGCTATTCTTTTAAACCGATGGTGTAAATTATATAATTCAATCTAGTTACTTCAAGCAGAACTGCAATGCATTAAAATGCTAATGGTGGCGTTTAGTACTTAAAACATAATCACAAGTTCATAATTAAACAGCGATTTCATTTACAGCATTCTTAATACAACTACTTTCAACATTATTCAAAATATTGTTATCGACGATTTAATTCTTCAATATATTATTATCGACAATTTAACTCACATGAAAACAAAGCAAAATTTACAAGTACTTAGTCATAAGGATTATCAACATCACTCACTCACGATAAACGAAACTGCTAACGTGAGTAAGGGTGGGAATATAGAATATATACACCACTGTCAGCTAATACAAGTCAATGATGCAATTACGTGCATTGTGTTTGATTTATCCAAGATGGCGGACGTTTGCGCACGAAAACGTGTAAAACGAACAACGGATATTACGAACTGACTTCTTTGCTCCCTTGTAGTTCGTTATATCCATGTTCTACTGTACTTTGTCAAAATGATTATCCACAGTTTCACTTAGAATGCAGCGATCACTCACTCACGGAAAACGAAACTGCTAACGTGAGTAAGGGTGTGAATATGGCTGTACACCACTGTGAGCATTATTCCATGCATAAGGCGGGGGAGGGAGGGGGGACACCAGACATGGATTTCAAACATTGGCACGAGCATTCCAGTATCAACGAGTAAATGGGTAAGTGCGGCTCTACAGTTATATCGCAGCGGGTCAGTTGTATGGAGGATCGAACCCTCGATCAGCTGAGGTTGGCACGACTGAAGGCAGCAAATCTACACAGCAAATTACGATGCCTGAGACAAAGAGGACACTCAGGCCCTCCCAGTCTCTATGCGTGGTGCAAAGTGAGGCTGTTGGCCTCCTTCTCCAATTCGGCGTTATGACTGCTCTCCGCCTTCTCGGCATCCCCCTTGACCTGTAGGAACTTCTCCATCCGGCGGTTCTGAGCCAGCAGCTCCTTGTTCATCCCCAACAGCAGCTCATGCAGCTCTTCTTGACGCTTTATGAGTTCGGGGATACATTTCTGAAAAACAACATTCCGTGGGTCAAAGGCTGCCTCAGATCGGAATACATTTCTAGAATACATGAGTCAGTGAATTTGAAGTCATGTGCATATGTATAGAGTTGAGATTATGAAAATACTTTTAAGAACAGCGTTTTATGAATTTCATCTTGTTTAAATCAACAATAAACAGGTTGACACCCACAAAACGTTCTCTCACAAACATTAAGTTCCCATACAAAGCATTACTGATAAGATCTATGGTAGAACACGTCAACAGTTTGAGAGGAGAGATACAACATACTGACAGAATGATTCATAGGCACCTATAGTTGTGGAAAACACTGGAGCATATTGAAATACTTTAGTTCGTTCATAAGTTAACCAATGAAGGAACGTTGTCCACCATTAACTATATATATATTTACTCTCGCCAGTTTTAATTTCTCCTTCTATATAAATAATATCTTTTATTCTCAAAAGTATATCTCAGTGTATCTTTGGAGAAGGTAGTTCATCTTATTGCTTGTGGGATCACCCTATTTGATTAGATAGTCAGTCAGGTGTACTAACCAGAATAGCATTTTCATCTGTCTCCACCTGTTGATTCCACCACCAGATGGGCAGATGTTTCAACCAGTGCCAGAACCCGCGCTGTTTGACTTTATCCTGGGCCACACATTTCCTCCGCATACGGTAACACCCCTTCCGTAGGGTTTTATGGAGAACTTTCTCTACATCTAAAACCATGTCAACCTGCCAATAAATATCAACACATGCTCTTTAATAAAATGCTAAAAAAAAAAGTACGATAAAAGGACCAGGACACAGCTACTCGTGAAGATATATTTTCCTCAAAATGTTTTGCGTGATTACTTTGTTTGTGAGGAATATATATTTCTCGTGATTAACGAAAAAGGGTTTGTTGTCGAAAGGTTTCTTCTCAGTATTGTTTGGTAATGCCATCACTCCCAATCAAATGACATCACTTCTATTCTAATGACATCTTTTCAGGTTTGGGAAATGGCCAGTGCAGTACAATGTTAACTCAGAAAGTTCAATTCCTCTAATAGGAAAGTTATAACCCCTTCTGGTTCATTGATTTCACTTCTGGTTGATGAAAATATGTCATATGCAATGTAGCTTAAAACAGGAAGTACAACGCACGTTATTAACACGTTTCTTGGACATACAGTAAATTCTTCGCGAGGTTTTATACGACAATGACCTTAATGGTGACCTTGACCCTTGACATACGATATCAATGTGTCAAAACAATTACCCATGGCTATAAAGGACATTATCTTGTCTAGGAGTGTCAAGTTGTTATAATTAGGTGAGTTTCCGGCAGATGTTTTACCTGAGAGATCAGCATCAAAGAAGTACAACACATACTTAACATATTTTACTCACATGCATTGACGTCCTCTCGAATGCCGCCTTTCGGGTAATGGCTTTGATGTCATCTACTGCCAGTCCAACCTGCAAACAAGTATGATAGTGTCATTCCTTGCTGTAGTTTCAATCTGCAAACAAGTATGATAGTGTCATTCCTTGCGGTAGTTTCAATCTGCAAAAAGGTATGATATTGTCATTCCTTGCTGTTGTTTTAACCTGCAAACAAGTATGATATTGTCATTCCTTGCTGTAGTTTCAACCTGCAGACAAGTATGATAGTGTCATTCCTTGCTGTAGTTTCAATCTGCAAACAAGTATGATAGTGTCATTCCTTGCGGTAGTTTCAATCTGCAAAAAGGTATGATATTGTCATTCCTTGCTGTAGTTTTAACCTGTAAACAAGTATGATAGTGTCATTCCTTGCTGTAGTTTTAATCTGTAAACAATTATGATTGTGTCATTCCTTGCTGTAGTTTTAACCTGCAAACAAGTATGATACAGTAATTCCTTGCTGTAGTTTCAACCTGCAAACAAGTATGATATTGTCATTCCTTGCTGTAGTTTCAATCTGCAAACAAGTATGATAGTGTCATTCCTTGCTGTAGTTTTTATCTGTAAACAAGTATGATAGTGTCATTCCTTGCTGTACTTTTTACCTGTAAACAAGTAGGATAGTGTCATTCCTTCCTGTAGTTTCAATCTGCAAACAAGTATGATATTGTCATCCCTTGCTGTAGTTTCAATCTGCAAACAAGTAGGATAGTGTCATTCCTTGCGGCAGTTCCAACCTACAAACAAGTATGATATTGTCATTCCTTGCTGTAGTTTTAACCTACAAACAAATATGATATTGTCATTCCTTGCTGTAGTTTCAACCTGCAAACAAGTATGATATTGCCATTCTCTGCTCTAGTTTATACCTGCAAACAAGTATGATATTGTCATCCCTTGCTGTAGTTTCAACCTGCAAACAAGTATGACAGTGTCATTTCTTGCTGTAGTTTTAACCTGCAAACAAGTATGATAGTGTCATTCCTTGCTGTAGTTTCGGTCTGCAAACAAGTATGATAGTGTCATTCCTTGCTGTAGTTTCAATCTGCAAACAAGTATGATAGTGTCATTTCTTGCTGTACTTTTTACCTGCAAACAAGTATGATACTGTCATTCCTTGCTGTAGTTTCAACCTGCAAACAAGTATGATACAGTAATTCCTTGCTGTAGTTTCAACCTGCAAACAAGTATGATATTGTCATTCCTTGCTGTAGTTTCAATCTGCAAACAAGTACGATAGCTCGATTCCTTGCTGTAGTTTTAACCTCTAAACAAATATGATAGTGTCATTCCTGGCTTTTAATCTGGAAACAAGTATGATAGTGTCATTTCTTCCTGTAGTCTTACCCTGCAAACAAGTATGATAGTGTCATTCCTTGCTGTAGTTTTAACCTGCAAACAAGTATGATAGTGTCATTCCTTTCTGTAGTTTTAACCTGTAAACAAGTATGATAGTGTCATTCCTTGCTGTAGTTTTTACCTGCAAACAAGTATGATAGTGTCATTCCTTGCTGTAGTTTTAACCTGCAAACAAGTATGATAGTGTCATTCCTTGCTGTAGTTTTAACCTGCAAACAAGTATGATAGTGTCATTCCTTGCTATAGTTTCAACCTGCAAACAAGTATGATAGTGTCATTCCTTGCTGTAGTTTCAATCTGCAAACAAGTATGATAGCGTCATTCCTTGCTGTAGTTTTAACCTGTAAACAAATATGGTAGTGTCATTCCTTGCTGTAGTTTCAATCTGCAAACAAGTATGACAGTGTCATTTCTTGCTGTAGTTTTAACCTGTAAACGAGAATGATAGTGTCATTCCTTGCTGTAGTTTTAACCTGCAAACAAGTATGATATTGTCATTTCTTGCTGTAGTTTTAACCTGTAAACGAGAATGATAGTGTCATTTCTTGCTGTAGTTTCAACCTCCAAACAAGTATGATATTGTCATTCCTTTCTGTAGTTTTAACCTGTAAACAAGTATGATAGTGTCATTCCTTCCTGTTGTTTCAACCTGCAAACAAGTATGATAGTGTCATCCCTTGCTGTAGTTTTAACCTGTAAACAAGTAGGATAGTGTCATTCCTTCCTGTAGTTTCAATCTGCAAACAAGTATGATATTGTCATTCCTTGCTGTAGTTTCAATCTGCAAACAAGTATGATAGTGTCATTCCTTGCTGTAGTTTTTATCTGTAAACAAGTATGATAGTGTCATTCCTTGCTGTACTTTTTACCTGTAAACAAGTAGGATAGTGTCATTCCTTCCTGTTGTTTCAACCTGCAAACAAGTATGATAGTGTCATTCCTTTCTGTAGTTTTAACCTGTAAACAAGTATGATAGTGTCATTCCTTCCTGTTGTTTCAACCTGCAAACAAGTATGATAGTGTCATCCCTTGCTGTAGTTTTAACCTGTAAACAAGTAGGATAGTGTCATTCCTTCCTGTAGTTTCAATCTGCAAACAAGTATGATATTGTCATTCCTTGCTGTAGTTTCAATCTGCAAACAAGTATGATAGTGTCATTCCTTGCTGTAGTTTTTATCTGTAAACAAATATGATAGTGTCATTCCTTGCTGTACTTTTTACCTGTAAACAAGTAGGATAGTGTCATTCCTTCCTGTAGTTTCAATCTGCAAACAAGTATGATATTGTCATCCCTTGCTGTAGTTTTTACCTGTAAACAAGTATGATAGTGTCATTCCTTGCTGTAGTTTCAACCTGCAAACAAGTATGATAGTGTCATTCCTTGCTGTAGTTTTAACCTGCAAACAAGTATGATAGCGTCATTCCTTGCTGTAGTTTTTACCTGCAAACAAGTATGATAGTGTCATTCCTTGCTGTAGTTTCAACCTGCAAACAAGTATGATAGTGTCATTCCTTGCTGTAGTTTTAACCTGTAAACGAGAATGATAGTGTCATTTCTTGCTGTAGTTTCAACCTGCAAACAAGTATGATAGTGTCATTCCTTGCTGTAGTTTTTACCTGCAAACAAGTATGATAGTGTCATTCCTTGCTGTAGTTTTAACCTGCAAACAAGTATGATAGTGTCATTCCTTGCTGTAGTTTCAACCTGCAAACAAGTATGATAGTGTCATTCCTTGCTGTAGTTTCAACCTGCAAACAAGTATGATAGCGTCATTCCTTGCTGTAGTTTTAACCTGTAAACAAATGTGGTAGTGTCATTCCTTGCTGTAGTTTCAATCTGCAAACAAGTATGATATAGTAATTCCTTGCTGTAGTTTCAACCTGCAAACAAGTATGATATTGTCATTCCTTGCTGTAGTTTCAATCTGCAAACAAGTATGATAGTGTCATTCCTTGCTGTAGTTTTTATCTGTAAACAAGTATGATAGTGTCATTCCTTGCTGTACTTTTTACCTGTAAACAAGTAGGATAGTGTCATTCCTTCCTGTAGTTTCAATCTGCAAACAAGTATGATATTGTCATCCCTTACTGTAGTTTTTACCTGTAAACAAGTATGATAGTGTCATTCCTTGCTGTAGTTTCAACCTGCAAACAAGTATGATAGTGTCATTCCTTGCTGTAGTTTTAACCTGCAAACAAGTATGATATTGTCATTCCTTGCTGTAGTTTTTACCTGCAAACAAGTATGATAGTGTCATTCCTTGCTGTAGTTTCAACCTGCAAACAAGTATGATAGTGTCATTCCTTGCTGTAGTTTTAACCTGTAAACGAGAATGATAGTTTCATTTCTTGCTGTAGTTTCAACCTGCAAACAAGTATGATATTGTCATTCCTTTCTGTAGTTTTAACCTGTAAACAAATATGATAGTGTCATTCCTTCCTGTTGTTTCAACCTGCAAACAAGTATGATAGTGTCATCCCTTGCTGTAGTTTTAACCTGTAAACAAGTAGGATAGTGTCATTCCTTCCTGTAGTTTCAATCTGCAAACAAGTATGATAGTGTCATTCCTTGCTGTAGTTTTTATCTGTAAACAAGTATGATAGTGTCATTCCTTGCTGTACTTTTTACCTGTAAACAAGTAGGATAGTGTCATTCCTTCCTGTAGTTTCAATCTGCAAACAAGTATGATATTGTCATCCCTTGCTGTAGTTTTTACCTGTAAACAAGTATGATAGTGTCATTCCTTGCTGTAGTTTCAACCTGCAAACAAGTATGATAGTGTCATTCCTTGCTGTAGTTTTAACCTGCAAACAAGTATGATACTGTCATTCCTTGCTGTAGTTTCAACCTGCAAACAAGTATGATAGTGTCATTCCTTGCTGTAGTTTCAACCTGCAAACAAGTATGATAGCGTCATTCCTTGCTGTAGTTTTAACCTGTAAACAAATGTGGTAGTGTCATTCCTTGCTGTAGTTTCAATCTGCAAACAAGTATGATATAGTAATTCCTTGCTGTAGTTTCAACCTGCAAACAAGTATGATATTGTCATTCCTTGCTGTAGTTTCAATCTGCAAACAAGTATGATAGTGTCATTCCTTGCTGTAGTTTTTATCTGTAAACAAGTATGATAGTGTCATTCCTTGCTGTACTTTTTACCTGTAAACAAGTAGGATAGTGTCATTCCTTCCTGTAGTTTCAATCTGCAAACAAGTATGATATTGTCATCCCTTGCTGTAGTTTTTACCTGTAAACAAGTATGATAGTGTCATTCCTTGCTGTAGTTTCAACCTGCAAACAAGTATGATATTGTCATTCCTTGCTGTAGTTTTAACCTGCAAACAAGTATGATATTGTCATTCCTTGCTGTAGTTTTTACCTGCAAACAAGTATGATAGTGTCATTCCTTGCTGTAGTTTTAACCTGTAAACGAGAATGATAGTGTCATTTCTTGCTGTAGTTTCAACCTGCAAACAAGTATGATAGTGTCATTCCTTGCTGTAGTTTTTACCTGCAAACAAGTATGATAGTGTCATTCCTTGCTGTAGTTTTAACCTGCAAACAAGTATGATAGTGTCATTCCTTGCTGTAGTTTCAACCTGCAAACAATTATGATAGTGTCATTCCTTGCTGTAGTTTCAACCTGCAAACAAGTATGATAGCGTCATTCCTTGCTGTAGTTTTAACCTGTAAACAAATGTGGTAGTGTCATTCCTTGCTGTAGTTTCAATCTGCAAACAAGTATGATATAGTAATTCCTTGCTGTAGTTTCAATCTGCAAACAAGTATGATAGTGTCATTCCTTGCTGTAGTTTTTATCTGTAAACAAGTATGATAGTGTCATTCCTTGCTGTACTTTTTACCTGTAAACAAGTAGGATAGTGTCATTCCTTCCTGTAGTTTCAATCTGCAAACAAGTATGATATTGTCATCCCTTGCTGTAGTTTTTACCTGTAAACAAGTATGATAGTGTCATTCCTTCCTGTTGTTTCAACCTGCAAACAAGTATGATATTGTCATTCCTTGCTGTAGTTTTAACCTGCAAACAAGTATGATATTGTCATTCCTTGCTGTAGTTTTTACCTGCAAACAAGTATGATAGTGTCATTCCTTGCTGTAGTTTCAACCTGCAAACAAGTATGATAGTGTCATTCCTTGCTGTAGTTTTAACCTGTAAACGAGAATGATAGTTTCATTTCTTGCTGTAGTTTCAACCTGCAAACAAGTATGATATTGTCATTCCTTTCTGTAGTTTTAACCTGTAAACAAATATGATAGTGTCATTCCTTCCTGTTGTTTCAACCTGCAAACAAGTATGATAGTGTCATCCCTTGCTGTAGTTTTAACCTGTAAACAAGTAGGATAGTGTCATTCCTTCCTGTGGTTTCAATCTGCAAACAAGTATGATAGTGTCATTCCTTGCTGTAGTTTTTATCTGTAAACAAGTATGATAGTGTCATTCCTTGCTGTACTTTTTACCTGTAAACAAGTAGGATAGTGTCATTCCTTCCTGTAGTTTCAATCTGCAAACAAGTATGATATTGTCATCCCTTGCTGTAGTTTTTACCTGTAAACAAGTATGATAGTGTCATTCCTTGCTGTAGTTTCAACCTGCAAACAAGTATGATAGTGTCATTCCTTGCTGTAGTTTTAACCTGCAAACAAGTATGATACTGTCATTCCTTGCTGTAGTTTTTACCTGCAAACAAGTATGATAGTGTCATTCCTTGCTGTAGTTTCAACCTGCAAACAAGTATGATAGTGTCATTCCTTGCTGTAGTTTTAACCTGTAAACGAGAATGATAGTGTCATTTCTTGCTGTAGTTTCAACCTGCAAACAAGTATGATAGTGTCATTCCTTGCTGTAGTTTTTATCTGTAAACAAGTATGATAGTGTCATTCCTTGCTGTACTTTTTACCTGTAAACAAGTAGGATAGTGTCATTCCTTCCTGTAGTTTCAATCTGCAAACAAGTATGATATTGTCATCCCTTGCTGTAGTTTTTACCTGTAAACAAGTATGATAGTGTCATTCCTTGCTGTAGTTTCAACCTGCAAACAAGTATGATAGTGTCATTCCTTGCTGTAGTTTTAACCTGCAAACAAGTATGATATTGTCATTCCTTGCTGTAGTTTTTACCTGCAAACAAGTATGATAGTGTCATTCCTTGCTGTAGTTTCAACCTGCAAACAAGTATGATAGTGTCATTCCTTGCTGTAGTTTTAACCTGTAAACGAGAATGATAGTTTCATTTCTTGCTGTAGTTTCAACCTGCAAACAAGTATGATATTGTCATTCCTTTCTGTAGTTTTAACCTGTAAACAAATATGATGGTGTCATTCCTTCCTGTTGTTTCAACCTGCAAACAAGTATGATAGTGTCATCCCTTGCTGTAGTTTTAACCTGTAAACAAGTAGGATAGTGTCATTCCTTGCTGTAGTTTCAATCTGCAAACAAGTATGATAGTGTCATTCCTTGCTGTAGTTTTTATCTGTAAACAAGTATGATAGTGTCATTTCTTGCTGTAGTTTTTACCTGTAAACAAGTAGGATAGTGTCATTCCTTGCTGTAGTTTCAATCTGCAAACAAGTATGATATTGTCATCCCTTGCTGTAGTTTTTACCTGTAAACAAGTATGATAGTGTCATTCCTTGCTGTAGTTTCAACCTGCAAACAAGTATGATAGTGTCATTCCTTGCTGTAGTTTTAACCTGCAAACAAGTATGATACTGTCATTCCTTGCTGTAGTTTTTACCTGCAAACAAGTATGATAGTGTCATTCCTTGCTGTAGTTTCAACCTGCAAACAAGTATGATAGTGTCATTCCTTGCTGTAGTTTTAACCTGTAAACGAGAATGATAGTGTCATTTCTTGCTGTAGTTTCAACCTGCAAACAAGTATGATAGTGTCATTCCTTGCTGTAGTTTTTACCTGCAAACAAGTATGATAGTGTCATTCCTTGCTGTAGTTTTAACCTGCAAACAAGTTTGATAGTGCCATTCCTTGCTGTAGTTTCAACCTGCAAACAAGTATGATAGTGTCATTCCTTGCTGTAGTTTCAATCTGCAAACAAATATGATAGCGTCATTCCTTGCTGTAGTTTTAACCTGTAAACAAATATGGTAGTGTCATTCCTTGCTGTAGTTTCAATCTGCAAACAAGTATGATATAGTAATTCCTTGCTGTAGTTTCAACCTGCAAACAAGTATGATATTGTCATTCCTTGCTGTAGTTTCAATCTGCAAACAAGTATGATAGTGTCATTCCTTGCTGTAGTTTTTATCTGTAAACAAGTATGATAGTGTCATTCCTTGCTGTACTTTTTACCTGTAAACAAGTAGGATAGTGTCATTCCTTGCTGTAGTTTCAATCTGCAAACAAGTATGATATTGTCATCCCTTGCTGTAGTTTTTACCTGTAAACAAGTATGATAGTGTCATTCCTTGCTGTAGTTTCAACCTGCAAACAAGTATGATAGTGTCATTCCTTGCTGTAGTTTTAACCTGCAAACAAGTATGATAGCGTCATTCCTTGCTGTAGTTTTTACCTGCAAACAAGTATGATAGTGTCATTCCTTGCTGTAGTTTCAACCTGCAAACAAGTATGATAGTGTCATTCCTTGCTGTAGTTTTAACCTGTAAACGAGAATGATAGTTTCATTTCTTGCTGTAGTTTCAACCTGCAAACAAGTATGATAGTGTCATTCCTTGCTGTAATTTTTACCTGCAAACAAGTATGATAGTGTCATTCCTTGCTGTAGTTTCAACCTGCAAACAAGTATGATATTGTCATCCCTTGCTGTAGTTTCAACCTGCAAACAAGTATGACAGTGTCATTCCTTGCTGTAGTTTCAATCTGCAAACAAGTATGATAGCGTCATTCCTTGCTGTAGTTTTAACCTGTAAACAAATATGATAGTGTCATTCCTTGCTGTAGTTTTAACCTGTAAACGAGAATGATAGTGTCATTCCTTGCTGTAGTTTTAACCTGCAAACAAGTATGATAGTGTCATTCCTTGCTGTAGTTTCAACCTGCAAACAAGTATGATAGTGTCATTCCTTGCTGTAGTTTTAACCTGCAAACAAGTATGATAGTGTCATTCCTTGCTGTAGTTTTAACCTGTAAACAAGTATGATAGTGTCATTCCTTGCTGTAGTTTCAATCTGCAAACAAGTATGATAGTGTCATTTCTTGCTGTAGTTTCAACCTGCAAACAAGTATGATAGTGTCATTCCTTGCTGTAGTTTTTACCTGCAAACAAGTATGATAGTGTCATTCCTTGCTGTAGTTTCAACCTGCAAACAAGTATGACAGTGTCATTTCTTGCTGTAGTTTTAACCTGTAAACGAGAATGATAGTGTCATTTCTTGCTGTAGTTTCAACCTGCAAACAAGTATGATAGTGTCATTCCTTGCTGTAGTTTTTACCTGCAAACAAGTATGATAGTGTTATTCCTTGCTTTAGTTTCAACCCTGCAAACAAGTATGATATTGTCATTCCTTGCTGTAGTTTAAAATGCAAACACATATTCGGCTATGTCATCCAGTACAGACCAACTGTTGATGTGAGTAGGGCAACAAGATGTGCGTGAGAACCAAGAGTGCTTGAGTGAGTGATTGAGTTGGGTTTAACGCCCCTTTTAACAGTATTCCAGTTATATCACGATGTATCAGCTTAATGTGGTAGGGAAGCCCGAAGTGATGAAGGTCTCAGATGTTTACCACGGGTATTACTAACCAAGAGGTTCATCAGTACTATACAGGCCAGTAGGATGAAGGTGGAGAACATGACAGATGTTGCTGCCGGGTAGATTAGGTTGTTGTCCTTCCCATAAGCATCGCCAGTAGCGTTGACACCAGCATTGAATATGTCATTATAGTCTATTTCCCCGATGAACATTACCGATGTTCGGAGGATGGAGTTGGCAACGTCCCGAAAAGGAATCTGTAACAAACACAAATATTGCGATACCCACTGCATATCGACATTTCTCAAATCGGATTACTGCAAATTGTACTATAGATTATGTACACACAATCAATGACTTAACTAGGCGTTACACTAAAAGCGATGTTACTTCACAGCGAGAAGTGAGCTCACATGACATGCAGTTTGAAGACCAGCTACACATTGACTGACACAATGTGTCACAGCAAGGGGGGCGGTTGAGGGCAGAAGAACAGAAACACATATTGGCACTACCGATTACTGGTTGCAATCAGGAGTAAATAAAAAATAAGTGGCGCATGTCACAGGTGGGACGCCCAGTACCATCACTATTTGATATTGATTCCGAAACATATGCTTTTCATATAGTCGGAATTATACAGTAGTATGACTAAGGAAATGGTTCTGTCGCCATTCACTTTGTTCTGATGGGAAAGTGTTTACCCATTTCTGAAATTATACATGTGTACCTGGTCTGAGAGAATAGGTAAGTACCTGGTTTTGCAACAGTGTATGGAAACCGAGCGCAAAAGCTCCAATCAGGCAGAAGAAGACCACAAACACCTTGAGAAACGTCCGACAGACGACCTGGAACATGATGACATACAAGCCTAAGGCGGTGAAGGCCTTGAGGTACAGGACCAGGTCAATCCAGGAGAAGAAGAGGGCGAAAGCGCCCAGAGACCACTGCCATTCCTGGAATTAATGTGTAATGTACAGGTTTGTGTGTCTCCCACCCATCTCGAAGGAAAGAGCTCTTGTGGGAATGAAGGACAAAATTAGCATTGCTGTTCCGGAACATTCAACAATAACACAATGAGGGGAATACCTGCTCTGACATTACAAGAACAACGATGAAGGGAGTTTACATGAGGTGTGTAATTGAAATAAAAAATATAGGCTACATGTATCTCTCTGAAACCTCTTTAAGCGTAGCAGTAATGAAAATAGATATAGGCTACACATATCTCTCTGAAACCTCTTTGTGCGTAGCAGTAATGAAAATAGATATAGGCGCTACACGTACCTCTCTGAAACCTCTTTGTGCGTAGCAGTAATGAAAATAGATATAGGCTACACGTACCAATCTGAAACCTCTTTGTGCGTAGCAGTAATGAAAATAGATATAGGCTACACATATCTCTCTGAAACCTCTTTGTGCGTAGCAGTAATGAAAATAGATATAGGCGCTACACGTACCTCTCTGAAACCTCTTTGTGCGTAGCAGTAATGAAAATAGATATAGGCGCTACACATACCTCTCTGAAACCTCTTTGTGCGTAGCAGTAATGAAAATAGATATAGGCTACACGTACCAATCTGAAACCTCTTTGTGCGTAGCAGTAATGAAAATAGATATAGGCTACACATATCTCTCTGAAACCTCTTTGTGCGTAGCAGTAATGAAAATAGATATAGGCGCTACACGTACCTCTCTGAAACCTCTTTGTGCGTAGCAGTAATGAAAATAGATATAGGCTACACGTACCAATCTGAAACCTCTTTGTGCGTAGCAGTAATGAAAATAGATATAGGCTACACATATCTCTCTGAAACCTCTTTGTGCGTAGCAGTAATGAAAATAGATATAGGCGCTACACGTACCTCTCTGAAACCTCTTTGTGCGTAGCAGTAATGAAAATAGATATAGGCGCTACACATACCTCTCTGAAACCTCTTTGTGCGTAGCAGTAATGAAAATAGATATAGGCTACACGTACCAATCTGAAACCTCTTTGTGCGTAGCAGTAATGAAAATAGATATAGGCTACACATACCTCTCTGAAACCGTTTCGTGCGTAACAGTAAGTGAAATATATATATATATAAATACAGGCTGCACATACCTCTCTGAATCCGGTATATGCGTAGCAAAGGTTGAAATCGAGAAGGAAAATGAAGGAAAGGATGAAGACAACCCACTCAACATAATTCTCCAGGCTGGTGAAGTAGGCGGATCTTGAGGTGTAAATCTGGAGGCACTGTAGGTGCAAAACTACCCGTTATGATCAATCGATGAATCTCTAACACAATACTGTTAATGTGAAAGTATCCCTGCAAAACTAACAACAATACTGTCAATGTGAAAGTATCTCTGATAAACTAAGAATACTGTCAATGTGAAAGCATCTCTGTTAAACTAACAACAATTCTGTCAATGTGAAAGGATCCCTGTTAAACTAACAACAATACTGTCAATGTGAAAGTATCTCTGTTAAAACATGTGCAAAAGTGAGCGTGGCTCACTAATATCCCCGACCTGCTTAGTGTGTCAGTAGTTACAAATTAAATAGCTGGGATAGGGTTAGGGTTTGAAAAACTCATAAAAAAATGGAAAATTACTAAAAACATTTTTTTTCTTTTGACTGCACCCCTCCATATGACACAGATTGTATGTACTAAGTTTGAGATGAATCCACTAAATAGTTTTCGGACGGACGGACGGACGGACGGACGGAAACTTGGTATAACTATATGCCCCCGACATTTTGTAGGCGGTATAATAGCAATAATACTGTCAATGTGAAAGTATCTCTGTTAAACGAACAATAATACTGTCAATGTGAAAATATCTCTGTTAAACTAACAATACTGTAAATGTGAAAGTGTCTCTGTTAAACTAACAACAATACTGTCAATGTGAAAGTATCTGTGTTAAACTAACAACAATACTGTCAATGTGAAAGTGTCTCTGTTAAAGTACACAACAATACTGTCAATGTGAAAGTGTCTCTGTTAAACTTACAACAATGCTGTCAATGTGAAAGTATCTCTGATAAACTAAGAATACTGTCAATGTGAAAGCATCTCTGTTAAACTAACAACAATACTGTCAATGTGAAAGTGTCTCTGTTAAAGTAACAACAATACTGTCAATGTGAAAGTGTCTCTGTTAAACTTACAACAATGCTGTCAATGTGAAAGTGTCTCTGTTAAACGAACAACAATACTGTCAACGTGAAGCGTCTCTGTTAATGTAACAACAATACTGTCAATGTGAAAGTGTCTCTGTTAAAGTAACAACAATACTGTCAATGTGAAAGTGTCTCTGTTAAACTTACAACAATGCTGTCAATGTGAAAGTGTCTCTGTTAAACGAACAACAATACTGTCACCGTGAAAGTGTCTCTGTTAAACTAACAACAACAACAACACTATTAATGTGAAAGTATCTCTGTTAAACTTACAACAATACCGTCAATGTGAAAGTGTCTCTGTTAAACTAATAACAATACTGTCAATGTGAAAGTATCACTGATAAACTAAGAATACTGTCAATGCTAAAGCATCTTTGTTAAACTAACAGCAATACTGTCAACGTGAAAGTATCTGTGTTAAACTAACAACAATACTGCCAATGTGAAAGCATCTCAGTTACACAAACAACAATACTGTCAATGTGAAAGTATCTCTGTTAAACTAACAACAATACTGTCACCGTGAAAGTGTCTCTGTTAAACTAACAACACTACTGCCAATAAGAAGGTATTTCTGTTAAAGTAACAACAGTAATATCACCGTGAAAGTATCTGTGTTGATCTATCAACAATACTGTCAACGTGAAAGGATCTCTGTTAAACTAACAACAACACTGTCAACGTAAAAGTGTCTCTGTTAAACTAACAACAATACTGTCAATGTGAAAGTATCTGTTAAACAAACAACAACACTGCCAATGTGAATGTGTCTCTGTTTAACTAACAACAATACTGCCAATAGGAAAGTATCTCTGATAAACTAAGAAAACTGACACCGTGAAAGCATCTCTGTTAATCTTACAACAATACTGTCAACATGAATGTGTCACTGTAAAACTAACAACACTGCCAATGTGAAAGCATCTCTGTTAAACTAACAACAATACTGTCAACGGGAAAGTATCTGTTAAACTAACAACAATACTGTCAACGTGAAAGTGCCTCTGCTAAACTAACAACAACAACACTGTTTATGTGAAAGTATCTGTGTTAAACTTACAACCATGCTGTCAATGTGAAAGTGTCCCTGTTAAACGAACAATAATACTGTCAATGTGAAAGTATCTCTGCTAAACTAACAACAATACTGTAAATGTGAAAGTCTATCTGTTAAACTAACAGCAATACTGTCATTGTGAAAGTATCTCTGTTAAACAAATAACAATACTGTCAGTGTGAAAGTATCTGTGTTAAACTAACAACAATACTGTCAATTTAAAAGTGTCTCTGTTGAACTAAAATCAAAATTGTTAATGCGAAAGTATCTATGTTAAACTAACGACAATACTGTCAATGTGAAAGTGTCTCTGTTAAACTAATAACAATACTGTCAATGTGAAAGTATCTCTGTTAAACTAACAACAATACTGTCAATGTGAAAGTATCTCCGTTAAACTAACAACAATACTGTCAATGTGAAAGTGTCTCTGTTAAACTAAGATCAAAATTGTAAATGTGAAAGTATCTCTGTTAAACTGACAACAATACTGTCAATGTGAAAGTATTTGTTGAACGAACAACAAAACTGTCAATGTGAAAGTATCTATGTTAAACTAACAACAATACTGCCAATTTGAAAGTATCTCTGTCAAACTAACAACAATACTGTCAATCTGAAAGTATCTGTGTTAATTTAACAACAATACTGTCAATGTGAAAGTGTCTCTGTTAAACTAAGATCAAAATTGTAAATGTGAAAGTATCTCTGTTAAACTGACAACAATACTGTCAATGTGAAAGTATTTGTTGAACGAACAACAAAACTGTCAATGTGAAAGTATCTATGTTAAACTAACAACAATACTGCCAATTTGAAAGTATCTCTGTCAAACTAACAACAATACTGTCAATCTGAAAGTATCTGTGTTAATTTAACAACAATACTGTCAATGTGAAAGTATCTCTGTTAAACTGACAACAATACTGTCAATGGGAAAGTATTTGTTGAACGAACAACAAAACTGTTAACGTGAAAGTGTCCCTGTTAAACTAACGACAATACTGCCAATTTGAAAGTATCTCTGTCAAACTAACAACAATACTGTTAATGTGAAGGTAGCTATTCTGAACTAACAATACTGTAGACAATGGGGCAAGGGGTTGAAGCGTTCGAAAGTCATTCCTATGCCTCGGCTATGATTCCCAACACGGGTACAGTGACGTTATTAATGGATGTGACTGATAAGCTAACAATTGTTTGTTAAAACAATCATAGTACCAACTCTAAACGAAACACTGTCTTGTTGGTAGCTTTGTATTGGTTATGGATTAAAAACAATACAGAGGAACATAGTAAACATTATGTCTATTGTAACAATTTTGGGATAACACTTTCTTTGTAAAGGACATATTCTTGAGCTTTTTGGGTTGAGTCCCGTCAGGGATTCGAACCCACACTGCCAGAGTGAGGCACCTTATCGCCAGCACACGAAGTCTCAACCAAAAGGTACAAGAATCTGTACTTTACAAAGGAAGTATTATCCCAAATATAACATTTGTTACATTTGACCACTTTCCAAATGGCATTGTGTGTTCATTATGTCTCGTGTTATAGTGCGCAAAGAAGCGTATGATACAGTGGCACTGCTGATTGTCTTGTACAATGTCGAGTGGTATTGCACGTGGAGCTTACTTCAAAGATAACGCCGATCACCATCAGGGCGTACATGATGCCCTTCTCTGCAACCAGCCAGTCATTGAGGTCTGTCTGGTCGATTACCGATCTACACGAGTCGCTTCGTACACTCTCAATCTCATAGGAAAGGCTGCAAGGGAAAGGCAGTGGGTATGTCAGTGAAAGCAGATGATACAATAATCATGACAGATCGAACAGATGGACTCAAACACTAGCGCTTGAATTTATTGTACACTTAAAATACAACTTACTCCGAATATATTGAAATATGTGCGTGCAGCATTTATGATGTCATTATGTACATTATCCTTCCACGCATGTAAGTTTCGGTTGTATCAATGAATGTGAGGTGTTTAAGATTTAAGAGAGGCATCCAAACTGATGGGCATAAAACCACTTATATATAGTAAACTACGTTTATAACGAACACGCTTATAACGAACTGACCGTATAACGAACTTGTTTTTAGTCCCGACCATTTGTTGTATAAATGCTGTATGTATGCTTATAACGAACTACGGTTATTACGAACTAAAATGAGTGGTCCCATCGAGTTCGTTATAACCGTAGTTTACTGTAGCAAATGTGAGACTTTCATATAAGATTTTATCCGCAGTGTCTGAAGGTCAAGGTCACAAAACCGGAGAAAACACTCTATGTCAGTTTTAGTCAATGAAGTAGATAGTGCCTTACTATTCATGCGGTGGCTTGCTCATCAGGACGACTCTCGAGAGAAGGATGAGGAAGCAGGTGTGAAAGAGAGCCGTCGCCAGGTAGTAGCACCACCCGAACTGCCACCACAACGTCATGATCAGATTCCTCACCACCGGATGCTGCAGCAGCTCGTCGCGGCCATATTTCACCTGCGAACATTGAGTACAGGAGGGCTGCTTGTAGGGGCCCATATACCAATGTCAGTGTCAGGTGTGGCAGATAATTATGTAGCGTCCCGCCATGACACACAATAATGCCTCTCCTGTCTCATGTAACATTCTGCCATGGCAGACAATTATACCTCTTCTCCAGTATGTAACATCATGTCGTAACAGACAATTATACCTCTCCTGTCTCCTGTAACATTCTGCCATGCCAGACAATAATGCCTCTCTTGTCTCATGTAAAATTCTGCCATGGCAGACAATTATACCTCTTCTCCAGCATGTAACATTCTGCCATGACAAACAATTATACCTCTCCTGTCTCATGTAACATTCTGCTTCCATCAGAATGCCACCGCTCCTCCATAATGTAACATCGTGCCATGACAGACAACTACACCTCTCCTGTCTCGTGAAACATTCTGCCATGGCAGACAACTATAACTCTTCTCCAGTATGTAACATCATGTCATGACAGACAATTATACCTCTCCTGTCTCATGTAACATTCTGCCATGACAGACAATTATACCTCTCCTGTCTCATGTAACATTCTGCCATGACAGACAATAATGCCTTTCCTGTCTCATGTAACATTCTGCCATGAAAGACAATTATACCTCTCCTCCATTATGTAACATCGTGCCATGACAGACAACTACACCTCTCCTGTCTCGTGAAACATTCTGCCATGGCAGACAACTATAACTCTTCTCCAGTATGTAACATCATGTCATGACAGACAATTATGCCTCTACTGTCTCATGTAACATTCTGCCATGACAGACAATTATACCTCTCCTTCATTATGTAACATCATGTCATGACAGACAATTATACCTCTCCTGATTCATGTAACATTCTGCCATGGAAGACAATAATGCCTCTCCTCCATTATGTAACATTCTGTCATGACAGACAATTATACATCCCCTGTCTCATGTAACAGTCTGTCATGACAGACAATAATACCTATCCTGTCTCATGTAACATTCTGCCATGGTACACAATTATACCTCTCCTGTCGCATGTAACATTCTGCCATGGCACACAATTATACCTCTCCTGTCGCATGTAACATTCTGCAGTGACACACAATTAAACCTCTCCTGCCTCATGTAACATCATGTCATGACAGACATTAATGCCTATCCTGTCTCATGTACCATTCTGCCATGACAGACAATTATACCTCTCCTCCCTTAAGTAAGATCCTGCCATGACAGAAAATTATGCCTTACCTCCCTTATGCAACATCATCTCATGACAGACAATTATACCTCTCCTCCCCTTTGTAACATCCTCGAGTTGTAACAGAGAAGAACTCCATAGTAAACCAGCACATCCCTCCTGCTGTGTGCGTATTCAGCTACTGGACATGAGTAGGGTTGGCACTCTTATAGTGATGGTGCAAAGAGTGGTGTGTACGACCAACTGTAGGACAATATAACATAAAACTAAGGCATTACCATGATCTTGAGGGGGTGGTTCTTCTTGAAGGTGCGAGCTTTCTTTGTATAAGGGGTCAGATCTTTGTTTTCTTTCTTTTTTGGTTTGTCCTTGGACATTTTGCCATCGCTGTTTTTTGGATTACCTGAATCAAAAACCAGTACGTTTAGAATGTCAACCCTCAGGATAGCGTTCAGTTTGTCAATATAATACACATTATATAATCAAAAGATGTTTCCTTGTGATTGACAATGACATATATTATAGTTCGTTTATCTGCATCTCGTCGCATGTACATTTTTAAAAGTAATTAAATGTTCCAGAATCTACATTTGTACCACAGGAAATTCATTCCTGCATGATATTTCGATTCTTGGACAGTAGATCATTTTTGTTTAAATTCCATGTTTATACAGTTATCAGAAATAATTCATTTGTCATCACTGAGACATAAGCCAAGGAATATTCACAGGGAAAAAGATCAAAATTCTGTTTAAACGTTCAGTGTATGTATATTTGCAAGTTGTGCTCGTTGAAAGCGTGACGTCTAATCGTGTTGGCAGAACAATGGACACATGTGCTGTGTGTGTGAACATGTGTGGTGGCCATGCCGAATATTTGGCTTCTTTCTTCATTTCACCATATTAAAATTAGTTTAGTTTACAAAGACTTTCTGAATGTTACAATGCACCAACATCGCACAACTTCGGAGTGATTGTATTTGCATGGTACTGAGACATTTATTTGGCTTCCACAACTACATAGAAAAACTGGATATTGGATAATTAAAAGAGTGATGGTTGTTTGGCAAAACGGAATACCTGTAGAAATCCAGGACTCGTACAGATCATCAATAAACTGATAGTCATACAGGGGCTGCTTGGACGTCGATGTGGGGTCGATACATTTGTCCAGAACCTCATAGGCAACATCTACAAACACACATAATGAGAGACGACGTCATTATACAGCGTGCACGTTGTAATAGCTAGACGGTCACGAGAGCAAGGACAAATACCTAACCATGCAACTCCTTCAATGAATCCCGGTACTAGGGGGGAGATAATCTCAGAACAGTCAATGTGCACGCATCTGTCTCGGAAGCCTCGAAACAAGCATAAGATAATTATTTGTCATGGGATCACCACGACATACATTATATATCTCTCAAAGAATATGCGCACCTCTGTTTCTGAATCCTAACGATGAGAATTTTAACATGATATTTTCACTCCGATGTCCCGGAATCCGACGATACACGTGGTATATAATCCATTCTACCATGAAATTGGAAATTACAAGAATCTGACTGGTCAATCAGAGGCTATTAAATCACAATAAACTCCTTTGACTGAAACAGCTGGTTTGACGGTCGCCTCACCGCGGAAGCTAATATTCATAAAATAGTGCCTTTATTCAGTCATTGTCGGTAGGTATATATAAATAATTATATATTATAAAGGTTACAAAACGCAAAGTTGCGGTTACTACAATATTCAAAGGATGTGTGGCAATACATTTCGTACAGAAAACACAATAGAAATCTACAAAGAGAATGTATTTTAAGTTTTTGGGGCTACAGAGAGCTTAGAATTTGGCGTTTTTCTATATACGACCGTGACGTCATATCTTTTGCGTCACAACGAGCGATATGACATCATAATGGTGACCTGCGGTGTAGAACGAAAACTTTGCAAAGCTTGCTCCGTTTTCTTAGGGATGCCACCCTCATATATGTTAGCTTACCAAGTTGTCGTGCTTATATGCTTTCAATGCCTGGCACATGTTCGAGTGAAGAATTACGGTGTAAACAAACTGCTTGACAGCGCCATATTTTGTTTAAGGCTGTTGTCGGTGATTCCGTAATTCAGATCGACAGCCCACTCAAAACACTGGACTCAACCAATGCTGCTTCACTCAGTATATTTGCTAACACCAACGAGTTCGCGTTTTATTCATGGTAGTCATGGTAGAATGGAGATAAACATACTGTGCTGTGCTACAGGTAACCTAGCTCTACATTGAAAACACATTTTTTATCTCCTTAATATATCCCGGAACATTCCTTCTTTATTCATTTTTTCCGGTTTTGTCGAACCTTCGGATAACTCGAAGTATTTACGTTAGTCCCCTTACTTCGACACAAAGGTGTTTGACTATGTTAAACGATGTCAAGAGTACAATGTTCTTTTTCGTCGACGTACTCCGACGTAGGTTATGTGGTCAGGATTCGCAAATTATGCGACTGCATGCATCAAAAGATGTAATCAGATACCTGGCATTTTCTTTATGAGTCGACGCATGGGTGTGTCAACACTGTTCCTGGACTTTTTAACACACGCGCAAGACAACTCGCAGGTGCAGCTACCCTTTGATGCTTTAACGCTGTTTTTAAGAGCATCTTTCCATTGGGTGGACCGGATGATGTGGCGAGCGACGTCTCTAGAAACATAAACATAATTTTAACACCAACAAGCACAGAAGACTCAAATCTCTTACCACAGAAGCTGCCATAGCCCTGTTCCACAAAAATTTATCAAGAAACTGACGGAAACTGAACAGTTTTTGAATATTGTGCCAGAAACAAAAGTGGCCTATGGAAGGACGGCGCGACAACATCCATGATTCATATATCCCCCTCTCCCTTCGTGGCGGGGCATAATGATGCAGATTAACAGGATTAGGCAGGATTAATATAGATTATTACATGAGTGTGCGTTACTAGTTTTGCAACACTAATGTCAGAATTGACGGTAGAAATACATCACTCCTGACACGAATGTAATAATCTCTCTATCATCAACACTTCATGATGTCACTGGTGGCGATATTATCGTCTGTAGTTCAAATCATATCCTGAAGCTGAGATGGTTAACATGACGTCAACAATGATACTATTTGGTGTCATATACATTGTGACGTCATTAAAAATGACGTCAACAGGGGTTTCTACATCACAATGCAAAAGAGGACGTGAATTTATGTCCTCCTAATGGATTCGTCGTAACTACCTTACTTGAACAAGATGGATAATACAAAGGTGTGTGTGTGAGGTTGTATTTTGAGCGCTTCTCGATCCCGTGTCCTTAATCTTTTTAACGATAACGCCCACGTTGGATGCATTCAGTTTACCTGTGTTTATTGTCCACAGCAAGGTCAAGGCAATTCAGTCCACTTTCGTCCTTAACATTGACGTCGCCATCGTTCTCTAACAGCAGTTTTACCACTCGAAGGTGTCCATTTTTGCACGCCAAGTTCAGGGGGCTGGTCTGACAACAAAACAAATTACCGTCACTAGACGTCAGCATTGGGTATTACTGCAGCCCGTGGGGAGTACGGGTTAGATCAGCGAGTCTGGTGGTCGGGTGGTCGGGTGGTCGGGTGGTCAGGCAGTGTGGCTTGGTTGGTGGCGTGCCGTCGTACCCGAAAGCGTGGTTCGTTGTTTATAATATCAATCACTGGATTGTCTGCTCCAGACTCGATAATTTACAAGCCCACGTAAAAGATCAGGATTATTGCCGAGTGCGGCGTTATACAAAAAGATCACACATAGTACACAGTATACCACACAGGGACAGTCTCCGTGGTGTGGATGATAGAGCGTCTGCCTGGAGAGCGGGAGGTCGGTGGTTCGATCCCCGGCCGTGTCATGGGCTGCGACATTAAGGGTCTAAAACTCGGCTCGGAGTATACTGTGTCTGAGGCATGGTATCTTAGTTGGCTGGCTGTGTAAAACTGGCATTCGTGCCCCGTCCAGTGAGGCGAGGTTAAATGGGGTTTAAATCGTGTTCAAGATTACACATAGATATAGTGCCAGCCCACTGAGATACCATGCCGCAGGTTAACATGAATATCCCAATCAGACACTGTTAACCGACTCCGAGCCAACCAGTCCTTGTTTCATTCCCTTAATGCCGAGCGCCAGGCAGGGTAACAACATGTATGACGCGGTATCTCTTGATCTTGGTATGACCCGGCCGGAGATCAAACCCCCGACATTACGCTCTTTGAGCAGACGCTCTATCACCAGACAACGGTCCAATTAATGTCTGCTACTGGGGGATCAGATGTCTGACTTGGCTGTTTGCGTGTCATCGTACTTAGCCAAAGCGGATAGTTGATGATATATCAATCACTGGATTGTCTGATCAAAGCTCGATTATTTACAGACCGTCGGGAAATGGTTGGAGTGCCACTGACTGTCAAGTGAAACAACACTGATTGACTCACTTTATGATGTAGATCTTCCTTGGCGTGTGAGTCGAACCGAATCAATATGTTACAGGTCTCTTCACACCCGCTTGAGGCGGCCAAGTCCAATACATTGTGGCCTGATGCATTCCTGAAAACATTCAAACATTCCTGTGATAACGAATGAAAAAGTGTAGTTTCCTGCCAGTTACAAAGTCCTAATGTTTTGCGACCGGTTAACAGCCTCACATGTGTTCTTGTATCTGCTACAAGCCTTACTTGTGTCTTTGCTCTGTAACAAGCTTTGCTTGCCTTTCGTGTCAGTTACAAGCCATTAAATGCCCGTTGCGTCTGTAACAAGCCATTAATTGCCTGTTGCGTCTGTAATAAGCCTTGCTTACCTTTGTGTCAGTTACAAGCCATTAATTGCCTTTTGTGTATAACCCAGGCCTAAATTGCCTTTCGTGTATATCACAGGCCTTAATTGCTTTTTGTGTCAGTTAGAAGCCTTTCTTGCGTTTGGTTTCATCACAAAAGCTTTATTTCTCTGTTAAAAGTCCATCCTGTGTCTGGTGCGTTACAAAGGCTTACTTGTGTTTTTATGCCTGTTACAATCCTTAGTTGTGTTTTAGTGCCTGTTACAATCCTTACTTGTGCTTTGTGCCTGTTACAATCCTTACTTGTGCTTTGTGCCTGTTACAATTCTTACGTGTGTTTTGTGTCGGCTCCGTGGAGAAGAAGTAACTGTACGGTGTCCTTGTGTCTCCCCTGAGCGGCCAGGTGGAGGGGGGTGTTTCCGCCCTGATCCTCGGCAAACATGGCGTTCCCGCTCCCCTTCACTATTACCTCCGCGGACCTGTTCATCGACAACTTAGTGTTACAAATATCTGATAAGTTTAATGTTATATCAACTATTTCTGCTCTGTCCACTTTCACAATCGTTGTCATTAAATATAGAAGGGACGAGGACCCTTTCTTGCCACTGGAGATGTTAAATCTTAAAATTACGATGAATTTGAAGTATTGGTATAATCCTCAATTGTATGAACACAGATAACTTTCAATACGATTTCTAATGGTTTTGCTCTTTCCTTAAAACAATAGTCAGATTTTGTTAGCAAAATTGTTTGGCAACAATATGTTCGCTGATACACAGACATGTAACGTATGGTGCTACGTACCTAGTGTTTCCCTTGATGGCAGCCAGATGTAGCGCTGTTCTCTCCGAATTATTCTTTCGGTTTGGGACCACTGAATAATTTCTCAAGATGCACTGGAGTATAAAAACAAGGTACAGCATATCCAACAAGGCATGGTGTTCAACTCATACCGAACCACAACTACTCCAGTAGACAAAGCATCTGGTGGAAAGAACAGATAAAATATAACCAGCAACGCCGCCCCGTGAACGGATATAAATGGCTAAATATGCTTTAAAACAACAACAGGGAAACGTACCAGACACGGTGTCTAGTTGTGCAACAGAGACAGTGTCTAGCATTGAGGGGAGAAACAGGTAAACCTTCCAGACACGGTGTCTAGTTGTACAACAGAGGCAGTGTCTAGCATTGAGGGGAGAAACAGGTAAACCTTCCAGACACGGTGTCTAGTTGTACAACATAGACAGTGTCTAGCTTAGAGAGCAACAGGTAAACCTTCCAGACACGGTGTCTAGTTGTACAACATAGACAGTGTCTAGCTTAGAGAGCAACAGGTAAACCTTCCAGACACTGTGTCTACTTGTACAACAGAGACAGTGTCTAGCTTAGAGAGCAACAGGTAAACCTTCCAGACACGGTGTCTAGTTGTACAACATAGACAGTGTCTAGCTTAGAGAGCAACAGGTAAACCTTCCAGACACTGTGTCTAGTTGTACAACAGAGGCAGTGTCTAGCATTGAGGGGAGAAACAGGTAAACCTTCCAGACACGGTGTCTAGTTGTACAACAGAAACAGTGTCTAGCTTTGAGAGCAACAGGTAAACCTTCCAGACACTGTGTCTAGTTGTACAACAGAGACAGTGTCTAGCTTTGAGGGGAGAAACAGGTAAACCTTCCAGACACGGTGTCTTGTTGTACAACATAGACAGTGTCTAGCTTAGAGAGCAACAGGTAAACCTTCCAGACACGGTACCTAATTGTACAACAGAGACAGTGTCTAGCATTGAGGGGAGGAACAGGTAAACCTTCCAGAAACGGTGTCTAATTGTACAACATAGACAGTGTCTAGCTTAGAGAGCAACAGGTAAACCTTCCAGACACTGTGTCTAGTTGTACAACAGAGACAGTGTCTAGCATTGAGGGGAGGAACAGGTAAACCTTCCAGAAACGGTGTCTAATTGTACAACATAGACAGTGTCTAGCTTAGAGAGCAACAGGTAAACCTTCCAGAAACGGTGTCTAATTGTACAACATAGACAGTGTCTAGCTTAGAGAGCAACAGGTAAACCTTCCAGACACTGTGTCTAGTTGTACAACGGAGACAGTGTCTAGCATTGAGGGGAGGAACAGGGAAACCTTCCAGACACGGTATCTAGTTGTACAACAGAGACAGTGTCTAGCTTTGAGGGGAGGAACAGGTAAACCTTCCAGACACGGTGTCTAGTTGTACAACAGAGACAGTGTCTAGCTTCGAGAGCAACAGGTAAACCTTCCAGACACTGTGTCTAGTTGTACAACAGAGACAGTGTCTAGCTTCGAGAGCAACAGGGAAACCTTCCAGAAACGGTGTCTAGTTGTACAACAGAGACAGTGTCTAGCTTTGAGAGCAACAGGTAAACCTTCCAGACACGGTGTCTAGTTGTACAACAGAGACAGTGTCTAGCTTAGAGAGCAACAGGTAAACCTTCCAGAAACGGTGTCTAGTTGTACAACAGAGACAGTGTCTAGCTTTGAGAGCAACAGGTAAACCTTCCAGAAACGGTGTCTAGTTGTACAACAGAGACAGTGTCTAGCTTTGAGAGCAACAGGTAAACCTTCCAGAAACGGTGTCTAGTTGTACAACAGAGACAGTGTCTAGCTTAGAGAGCAACAGGGAAACCTTCCAGACACTGTGTCTAGTTGTACAACAGAGACAGTGTCTAGCTTTGAGAGCAACAGGTAAACCTTCCAGAAACGGTGTCTAGTTGTACAACAGAGACAGTGTCTAGCTTAGAGAGCAACAGGGAAACCTTCCAGACACTGTGTCTAGTTGTACAACAGAGACAGTGTCTAGCTTTGAGGGGAGCAACAGGGAAACCTACCAGACACGGTGTCTTGTTGTACAACAGAGACAGTGTCTAGCTTTCAGAGCAACAGGTAAACCTTCCAGACACGGTTGTCTTTTCTTATTCCGGTGGTGACCTTGCCCTTCGTTCGAAGCTGTCACTAACATGCAAGCAGACTTGAGTTTGTTAATTTTCGCGTCTTCGGTATAGGGTGGTACAGATAACATGAATGTCTTTGTCGAACACTTTGATTTCCCTCTTCCAAAATGGTACGGACAGGATATAAATTCACCTGATAGATTAAGAAATCTGGACCATTTTGATTGCACAGACGGGACCCCGGCAGTGCGAGCGACCGGCCGTTGGTCCGATATTCATAGTGAGTGAGTGAGTGAGTGAGTGAGTGAGTGAGTTGGGTTTAATGCCGCATTTAACATTATTCCAGTTATATAACGGCGTGTCAGCTTAATGTGGGAGGAAAGCCCGAAGTGATGCAGGTCTCAGACGTTTACCACTTCGGTGAAACCAACGAGCACGGGTATGGTGCTGACAAACCTAGAAACATAATCGGGGCGAACCAGGATTCGAACCCACAATCATAGGTTTCTGGCGTGCCCAAGGGACGCAACTCTGCACAGCGAATCGCGGCGCCTTAGACGACTGGGCCACCCGTACCCCCTCCGATATTCATATGTGACTTCTATAATTTTCTTATAGGTGTCCTGAGTACCAACAACAATGCGCTTGAATTACCATAAGTTGAAGAAATTCTTACAAAAGGATCTTTTGTGTCGGTGCTGTTATGTTTGCAGAAACATGTTTTTAATGCGTAATTATGCATAGAAATGTCAACAATGCCCATATTTGGGCATATATCAATATTAATGCGCAACCAGATTTTGCAACCGGTTTCAATTTGGTCAGTCAACGAACGCAATTTATTATTTATTTACACTTTAATATATATTTAACATGACAAGTAAATAAAATACCACACTCATTTTCGTTAGATACCTGTTTTTACGAAACTCTCGCTCGGTCATATACCATAGAAGTCCAGTCGTTTCGTAAAAATGGTTCCTAACGAGAATGAGTGTGGTATTGTCTATTTACGCTCTAACCGTAACAATATCCTCTTGGCCACTGGACGCCGCCAGGTGTAGCGGTGTGTTCCCTTTCTGGTCCTCCGAGTTGATCCAGATGTGAGCGTGAAGCAGTCCCAGCAGCGACTGCAACAACGGTGATACGGTGACAACTACAGCAGTAACATCAACGAATGTAACAACGGTGGAACGGCCATAATCACAAGAGTAACATCAACGACTGCAACCACGGTGATGCGGTTACAACCACAGCAGTAACATAAACGACTGTAACAACGGTGATGCGATTAATATTACAACAGTAACATCAACGACTGCATCCACGGTGATGCGGTTACAATCACAACAGTAACAGCAGTGACTGTAACAAAGGTGATGCGGTTAATATAACAACAGTAACAGCAGCGAGCATAACAACGGTGATGCGGTTACAATCACAACAGTAACAGCAGCGACTGTAACAACGGTGATGTGGTTAATATTACAACAGTAACATCAACGACTGTAACAAAGGTGATGCGGTTAATATAACAACAGTAACAGCAGCGAGCATAACAACGGTGATGCGGTTACAACCAGAACAGTAACAACGACTGCAACCACTGTGATGCGGTTACAGCTACATTAATAACATCAACGACTGCAACAAATACGTTCACGCACAATAACTCAATACATAAATCAATCAGATATCACAAGAGTTAACGTGAGAAACAAGTATACAGTCTACCTCATATGGTGCTACTGGCGCACTCCCCCCTCTGCTGCCCCTATTCAGTGGCTGAAACCAAACCAAAGGACATCATTCAGTTAAGTAAACTACGGTTATTACGAACTCAAAGGGACCACTAAGTTTAGTTCGTTATAACCACAGTTCATTATAAGCATATAAAGCATATGTACAGCAAATGGTCGGGACAAAAGAAATAAGTTATATCCGTCAGTTCGTTATAAGCGTGTTTGTTATAATCGTAGTTTACTGTAATGTGAAAATAACGGTCTAAACAATTATAATGTCCGAAAACAGTGATTATCAAAGAGAAGCAAGGAGAGACTGATTGTCAGAGAATTTCGTGCGTGAGGGGTGGGGGTATGGGAGGGTGGGTGTGTGATGTGTGCGTGAGGGGTGGGGGTATAGGTGGGTGGGTGTGTGGTGTGTGGGTGGGTGGGTGGTGTGTGGGTGGGTGGGTGGTTGGTTGTGGGTGGTGGTGGGGGTCTGACCACCCGATCCATGCAATCGCCTCATATAAGCATAGATCACTGGACATCTATTCTGACCCGGAATCTCCACTAGGGAGTGGATAGCAGGCTTTGCCAATGGAAGACTGAGGTGTCTGAAACTACAACAACTTGAACTGAACGCAGCACCTGTCAAAAATACGTGGCAGACATTGTATCACTATGACTACGACACTATGCTTACGCGACTGTTACTGTGACAAGAGCACCAAGCGGTTAACAGGAGAATCACACGTACCTGTACAGAGTTAGTTCCCTTGCTTTGTCGTCTGACGTTTCTCTCGTTCTGTGGATTGAGATGAAGCTGTAGTTTACTGTATGACTCAGTGTGACTGTTGTACATATGACCCTCTTGATCTTATTCACTTTGTATGTACTGTATTGTAAATACACATGTCTATACATACCGCTAGGTTGCTTCCAGACTGTGATGTTTTGGCCGCGCGGCTCTTCCATCTTTTCACATCGACAACCAACTACAGAAGAGGACAAAATGTACTTCCTGACCAATCAAATCACCTTTTGGGCGGTCAAATATTCCTAATCTACTAAATATACATCACCAGGAATGTTTGTGGAAAGTCAGCCTCGTGTTGATGCTGGTAACAGTGTTTAAGTAATTTACTTTTCTACCAACACTAACAGAGCAATGGTGAATCAGAGGTTTGAATTAAAATTGACGTTCACAATGTGTGAGTTTATTGGCGTATGAACCTACTCCAATGAGTTCCCAATAAACTCTCACAAAGCGAAAGTCAATTATTATGTTTTTTATGTCACTATTTTATACCTCGAGGGATGTATTACACAATTGCTTGTAGTCCGTGTGACATGTTTACACTGACAGTCATTCAACAACCAACTGTAACGCGGAATAAAATAGATCATCAAAAGGAGAGGTAACATAAGCAGATGTATGCTCAACTTGCTCAACAGGAACATTTATTGTAGTTTTGTTACAACATATAGGTCCAAATATGGAAAAGGTCTCTCAAGTACTACCACAGTCAGTCACTTTGACAGCGCGTAGTAATACATTGGCATCAAATACGAGACGTCAAAATGGCCGACACTATGAGTCTGACGGCACAGATTTCCGAAGTTGTTTATGAAACCGTGGCGATTACAAGTGTTAGTCATCATTGAACAATTTGCCGATCATTGAAAGGCGATTATAATAATGTCTTAAATAGATACTAAGGTATATTTATAAATTGCTGTGGACTATCACTTGCCAATCTAGACACGGATTGAGTAGATAGTTGGATGCGCATTTCTTCGTTTTGTTCACTAGGACGGGGCGTAGTGAGGATATTCTTAAACGGACATTCGTTCAAACTCTCTGACCTATCCCAATGAATGCTAAAACGCAGTGTTCAAAATTAAGGAGTCGAAATGATCAGAATGAACGCTTTCGTAGGTATTCGTGCTTGGGAATTCTCAGGCGTTTCCCCGGGAATGTGGAAGTAGTCCCTCAGTGTTTACGTCATTTCAAGAATACAGTCTCGTGAAAAACGTGTGAACGTCAAAATGTTTCGTTCATACACTTATGAAAGTCAGTTTCGCGGTCATGTGACCGACCTCTCCTCCAACAGAATAATCGCATGTTGTGTAAACTTCACATTAAAAAATGATATAACAATTATTTCCTCTGGAAGGGAATCATCACGATAAATGGTAATATTTTATAATTATTTCCAAATTTCGGGTCTCTAGTAATTACATACACTGACAGTACACATGCCAGTGCCATCTAGCGCGTTATGTTCCAAATCAATTTAGAGGTTTCAAATAAACGTCAAAACTCAAAAATTAATAGCTCTAATCCAGAGATACTGCTTTTCAAATATATCACGATTCTCGACATGAAAAACGCTGACTGTGACGGAGAGAGCATTCCTCACTCTCATCATCGTGAGATAAAAAGAGATATTTTCTAAGCTGCAGTTAATAAGATGCTCTATACGAAGTTCGTATCTGTATAAATACTGTGACTACCGTTACCTCTACAACAGTTTGCAAGTTACCCTGACAATATGCTGGAAGCGTTTCCCTGCGTCATCTTCATCAAGAGTCAAGACTCCGTGTGCTTCCTGAAATACATCATATCATTGAATAGGTAAGATCTATCCATAAACTTGTGTCTACCTTGTAATAGGTAAGATGTATCCATAAACTTGTGTCTACCTTGTAATAGGTAAGATGTATCCATAAACTTGTGTCTACCTTGTTATAGGTAAGATGTATCCATAAACTTGTGTCTACCTTGTAATAGGTAAGATGTATCCATAAACTTGTGTCTACCTTGTAATAGGTAAGATGTATCCATAAACTTGTGTCTACCTTGTAATAGGTAAGATGTATCCATAAACTTGTTTCTACCTTGTAATAGGTAAGATGTATCCATAAACTTGTGTCTACCTTGTAATAGGTAAGATGTATCCATAAACTTGTGTCTACCTTGTGATAGGTAAGATGTATCCATAAACTTGTGTCTACCTTGTGATAGGTAAGATGTATCCATAAACTTGTGTCTACCTTGTGATAGGTAAGATGTATCCATAAACTTGTGTCTACCTTGTAATAGGTAAGATGTATCCATAAACTTGTGTCTACCTTGTAATAGGTAAAATGCCTTGAACATTTCCCCTCACCGGTGAAATTTTAGGTTCCTTCTTTCAATGTTGAGACCCGCATCACTTTGAGCGTTCCACATGCATGACGGGCCGTACAAGGGCGGACCGACATGTTCTGAGCCCCACATAGAAAGAATTGCGTAATATTGAAATCTTCTGTTGTGGGCATTACATGATGTCATAGAGGTATATCTGCACAAACTTCAGCCAACTGTGCAAATTCTTTCGCTGTGACAAGTCGGTTAGCAGAGATATGTGACCTTTAGAAAATGACCACCCTTGAGGAACATGCATTGATCAAGTACATGAATAAAAAGGATCACCACCAAAAGTCAACCAAGAAGATATGAGTACTACACTAGGAAAAGATGTCCTTTCCCATTCTACCTTAGCGAGGTTGGCAGCAGAGTTCAAATGTGACAGGTAAATCTATCCCGAGAATCCACGATACGGTGAACCAGAGTGCCATAGTGCTAGTTGAGTAGGCATTTCACAGGGGAGAGGACAAACCATTATAACAGAAACTTTAGCCATGAAGAAAGTATCAGCTCGGAGAGTTCCAAAGTTTGACATCTGATCAAACACGTGATAATCTAGCACTGTTTGAAGCTAATCAAGGAAGGTTCTTGTAACGATTTGTGAATACAGATGGAACCTGGATTCAACACTTCAAGTCGGAGACTAAACAACAATCAAAACAGTAGAAGCACTTCACATGACCGCCACTAAAGAAGGCAAAGAGTGTCTCGTCAGCTGGACAGGTTATGGCCTCCGTCATCTGCGATGCCGAGGGTGTCATCATGGTGTACAATTCTTTAAAAGGCCAGACAGTAAACGGAACATACTAGGTACACACACAAGGTACTAGCACACAAAGTAAGCGATCTAACCCACTCACAAAGTCAGCAATCTAACCCCCTGAGCCACAGAGGCTTCCGCAAAAGTGTAAGTCCGACAACTGGTAGTCTAGATCACGCACTTTGTGTACCCCTCTGACAAGTCTAAATTGGCACGGATCCCATTGCCAAAAGCTATGAATGCACAATGCTATTTAGAAAGTGGTCAAATGACTAAACCCCAAAAAGTACGAGAATCTGTAAATTGCAATTTCTGTTATCCCAAAAATAACATGTTATTCTAATGGTGCGATGATGCCTTCCATGTCACCTAAACTGAAGTCCCTATGATATTCTGCACCTTCCTGGTCATCTTACCTAAAGTATCTATGATATTCTGCCCCTTCCTGGTCATCTTACCTAAAGTATCTCTGATATTCTGCCCCTTCCACGTCATCTTACCTAAAGTATCTCTGATATTCTGTCCCTTCCACGTCATCTTACCTAAAGTATCTCTGATATTCTGCCCCTTCCTGGTCATCTTACCTAAAGTATCTCTGATATTCTGCCCCTTCCACGTCATCTTACCTAAAGTATCTCTGATATTCTGCCCCTTCCTGGTCATCTTACCTAAAGTATCTCTGATATTCTGCCCCTTCCACGTCATCTTACCTAAAGTATCTCTGATATTCTGCCCCTTCCTGGTCATCTTACCTAAAGTATGTCTGATATTCTGCCCCTTTCTGGTCATCTTACCTAAAGTATCTCTGATATTCTGTCCCTTCCACGTCATCTTACCTAAAGTATCTATGATATTCTGCCCCTTCCTGGTCATCTTACCTAAAGTATCTCTGATATTCTGCCCCTTCCACGTCATCTTACCTAAAGTATCTCTGATATTCTGTCCCTTCCACGTCATCTTACCTAAAGTATCTATGATATTCTGCCCCTTTCTGGTCATCTTACCTAAAGTATCTCTGATATTCTGCCCCTTCCACGTCATCTTACCTAAAGTCCCTCTGATATGCTCCCCCTTCCACGTCACCATACCTGAAGTCCCTCTGATATTCTCCCCCTTCCATGTCACCATACCTGAAGTCCCTCTGATATTCTCCCCCTTCCTATCACCATACCTGAAGTCCCTCTGATATGCTCCCCCTTCGACGCCATCTTACCTAAAGTCCCTCTGATATGCTCCCCCTTCCATGTCACCATACCTGAAGTCCCTCTGATATGCTCCCCCTTCCATGTCACCATACCTGAAGTCCCTCTGATATTCTCCCCCTTCCATGTCATCTTACCTAGAGTACCTCTGATATTCTGCCCCTTCCACGTCATCTTACCTAAAGTATCTCTGATATTCTGCCCCTTCCACGTCATCTTACCTAGAGTATCTCTGATATTCTGCCCCTTCCACGTCATCTTACCTAAAGTCCGTCTGATATGCTCCCCCTTCCACGTCACCATACCTGAAGTCCCTCTGATATTCTCCCCCTTCCATGTCACCTTACCTGAAGTCCCTCTGATATTCTGCCCCTTCCATGTCACCATACCTGAAGTCCCTCTGATATTCTCCCCCTTCCATGTCACCATACCTGAGGTCCCTCTGATATGCTCCCCCTTCCACGTCATCTTACCTGAAGTCCCTGTTATATTCTCCCCCTTCCACGTCACCATACCTGAAGTCCCTCTGATATGCTCCCCCTTCCACGCCATCTTACCTGAAGTCCCTCTGATATGCTCCCCCTTCCACGCCATCTTACCTGAAGTCCCTCTGATATGCTCCCCCTTCCACGTCACCATACCTTAAGTCCCTCTGATATGCTCCCCCTTCCACGTCATCTTACCTGAAGTCCCTCTGATATGCTCCCCTTTCCACGTCATCTTACCTGAAGTCCCTCTGATATGCTCCCCCTTCCACGTCATCTTACCTGAAGTCCATCTGACATTCTCCCCCTTCCATGTCACCATACCTGAAGTCCCTCTGATATGCTCCCCCTTCCACGTCATCTTACCTGAAGTCCCTCTGATATGCTCCCCCTTCCACGTCATCTTACCTAAAGTCCCTCTGATATGCTCCCCCTTCCACCTCATCTTACTTGAAGTCCCTCTGATATGCTCCCCCTTCCACGCCATCTTACCTGAAGTCCCTCTGATATGCTCCACCTTCCACGTCACCATACCTGAAGTCCCTCTGATATGCTCCCCCTTCCACGTCACCATACCTGAAGTCCCTCTGATATGCTCCCCCTTCCACGTCATCTTACCTGAAGTCCCTCTGATATGCTCCCCCTTCCTTGTCACAATACCTGAAGTCCCTCTGATATTCTGCCCCTTCCACGTCATCATACCTAAAGTCCCTCTGATATGCTCCCCCTTCCTTGTCACAATACCTGAAGTCCCTCTGATATGCTCCCCCTTCCATGTCACCATACCTGAAGTCCCTCTGATATTATCCCCCTTCCATGTCACCATACCTGAAGTCCTTCTGATATGCTCCCCCTTCCACGTCATCTTACCTAAAGTCCCTTTGATATTCTCCCTCTTCGGCGTCATCTTACCTGAAGTACATTTGATATTTTCTTTATCAAACTTTCCTTTTCTTTGGTGTCTTTGACATCAACCAGAGTCTGCAGGAATAAACGGGAAACATGATTCAGTGTAGTTGTGACAGAAGGCTACATACTGTTGATCTCAAAACATTACTCATTCATTCTGTGGTCAATTAGAAACGGGACTATATGTCGGTGAACATTTAACTCTGCACGCTCTATCTTACGACCTTAACCTACCTAACCGCCTACGTGGTCTAGTGGTAGAGTGTCCGCCCGGAGAGCGGAAGGTCCAGGGTTCGATCCCCGGCCGCGTCATACCAAAAGACGTTAAAAGATGGTACTTGTTGTTACCCTGTCTGGCGCTCGGCATTAAGAGGCTAAAACAAGGACTTGTCGGCTCGGAGTCAGTATACTGTGTCTGAGTGGGGTATTCGTGTTAAACTGCGGCATGGTATCTCAGTGGGCTAGCACTATAAATCGGCATCAGTCCGGATTAGTACAAGCAGCGACACAAACACACACACGTACATGCACGTCGCTATATAAGTGCAATAATCTTGGACGCGACGTTAAACCCAATTTCACCTCACCTCACCTTAACCTACCTGTATCAGTTGTGCAGCCTTCTGTCGTGTAACGACGTTCACACCTGACTGTTTTTTAGAATCTGCTGTTTTGGGAGAAGACAAAAGAATCTGGAAATGAAAGATCATTATGTATATTTTCTTTAGGTTTGCAAGATAACATCATTTATAATGTATTTATCAGAGACAATAAAACTGATATCCCACTCGAGTGCATTTACACAATGTTCCGGAACTTCTTCCAGTCTGCCTCAGTGACACCATGGTTTAGACAGCAACATCGTAAGAAAGACAATACATAATAAATAGAACGTATGTCCTCTCTTGTCCTGAACATGTTGACATTTTACTCGAAGCTGTTCATTCGGTCATTCGATAAGATAAACATGCCATTTGACCAAAAAGCCACTTATTATCTATAATTCCTTAGATTGGTTTCCTAAACACCGTAGCTCACCTGCAGTACTTCTGAAATTGATCCTATGATTTTCTCCTTCTCTTGTGGGTCTCCTGCACCGACCAAAGACTGCAGGAACAGAACATACATGGACGTGATGGTGGGAAGTGATACTTGTCTTTATATTTTATTTATATACGCAACTCCCTTAACTAACGTTTTGGGGCTCCTTCCAACATTAAACGAAAACACGGTAATACATTTATTTACAACAATTCAAAATCTTTAAATGTTTCTTTAAAACCCCAACATACCTCCAGGAGTTCAACAATTTTCTTTTTCGTCTCAACGTCCACTTTCAGAGATTCGCTTGAATTGGTGGGATTAGAAGGCGTCAAAAGCACCTGAAATAAAATGTGGCATTTTTACATGTAATGCCCTTTCCATAATCATGAGAAACCTATTGCGCGATTCCAACTATATAATAAGCAAGTGTGTATGAATCACTTTCAAACAGTGATGCTTCCCTGAGAACATTTATCTCCCCAAAACACAGTGAGAACAGTCTCTCCAAACTCCCTTGAGAATACATGTCTCTCAAAACTCCCTTGAGAACATATGTCTCTCCAAACCCGCGGGAACACATGTCTCTCCAAACTCCCATGAGAACACATGTCTCTCCAAACTCCCTTGAGAGCACATGTCTCCCCAAACTCCCAAGAGAACACATGTCCCTCCAACCCCTCTCTAGAACACATGTCCCTCCAAACTCCTTTGTGAACACATGTCTCTCGTAACCCTCTAGAGAACACATGTCTCTCGTAACCTTCTAGAGAATACATGTCTCAACTGTCTCATCAAAGTCCCCGATCCTCGACAAGTGCTCCGACAAGTTCGTCAATGTTAACCATTGGTAGCGTAAGGAAGAGTCTACTGCCTACAAGTGCCACTTTACGTACGTTGAAGGTGTCCATGTGTCCGTGCTCTGCGGCAGCATGTAACGGTATCTGTCTCTGGACGTTGGTGGAGCTGATATCAGCCCCTCTGTCCATCAGACTTCTCACCAGCTTTGTGTGTCCATATCTGGCGGCTATATGGAGGGCCGTGTTTCCGTCCTTATCTTTTCGCCCGAGCGAGCCATCCCTTCAAATAATCAGTAACATTAGTATGTCTAAAAGTATACTCCACATTGTATGTAGCAGTTCAGACTATTAAGTTTGTACGCGTTTAAAATTAGACTTTGATTATATACAAAATGAAACCCTTCCATCATCTGACAAGCATCAAATTAGACAATTGGATTCGAACGCCAACATAATAAACACAAACGCCACTGTTCCCATGATATCGAACTTCAGTTCAGGACAAGGGTTTTAGCGCTACGACAGACGTATGGCTATGTTAAAGAATCGGTTCCTGCAGTGGTAGTGTAAAGATCACTTCAGGGACAAGTCTCCGCTCACTTTTGTTGCAAGATGTAGTTGGCGATGTCGCAGCGGTTGTACTGGGCAGCGATGTGGAGTGCCGTGGAGTTGTGCCGGTTTGTCCTGTTGAAGTCCTCAGGTTGACTTGTCAGCTCCTCCACAATAGACAGTTTACCAGAGGCGGCCGCCAGGTGGACGGGCCACATACCGTCATTCCTCGCCTGTGTCAACTTGACATCTGTTGGGATGGAGTCAGTCAGTCGCATCATTCAACACTAGTTCCGTTTATTTTCGCCGATTTGAGCAGACGTTCAGTGACGTTGCCGCTACCAAACTATTTCAAACCGACAGAGAGGTAGTACGTTTTTCCCGATGTGCGAGTGTAATGTCATAAGACCAAAATTATGTATATATTTTTCAAGTAGAATAAGAAAAGTTAAAGGTACATACCTATACCCTTGCTGAGCAAGATATTTGCTACTTTCTCGTGTCCGTTCTCTGCAGAAAGGTGGAGTGCCGTGTTTCCCTCTTTGTCCTTTTGGTTCACGAGCTGTTGACAAATAGGTAGTCAGATGTGAGACGCCAGACCGCACACACGAAACAAGTAGTTTGGAAATAAATCAACTGGCACACGAGTTCGGAAAATTCCAATGGATATAAACATTTATAGTATAATCACTGTATTATCCATCAGGGTCGACATGACGTAACAATGATATGCTGTGACGTCATTGTGTTTGCGAAGTCATTAATCATGGCGTCCAAATGTGGTGTCTGTCATACTCTTGTACAATGGTATTTGCACTTTGTGAAAAATGTTGCATAGCCATTTTTTACATCTATGTTTCGTATGGATTTATATGAATTGATATGTATTTAGGAGATATAACATACTGTTCGGTTCCAAATTCAAAATAGCACGGTTAATTCTACAGGTACCTATAGCTCTACAGTGAAAACACAGTATGTTTATCTCCATTCTACTACGACTAAATTAAACGCGAACTCTTTGGTGTTCGCAAATATATTGAGTGAAGCGGCATGGGTTGAGTCCAGTGTTTTGAGTTGGCTGTCGATCTGAATTACGGTGAGATGAGGTGAAATTGGGTTAAACGTTGCGTCCAAGATTATTGCACTTATATAGCGACGTGCATGCACGTGTGTGTGTGTGTGTGTGTGTGTGTGTGTGTGTGTGTGTGTGGCTGCTTGTACTAGTCCGGACTGATGCCGAATTATAGTGCTAGCCCACTGAGATACAATGTCGCAGTTTAACATGAATACCCCACTCAGGCACAGTATACTGACTCCGAGCCGACAAGTCCTTGTTTTAGGCCCTTAATGTCGAGCGCCAGACAGGGTTACAACAAGTACCATCTTCTAACGTCTTTTGGTATGACGCGGCCGGGGATCGAACCCCGGACCTTCCGCTCTCCGGGCGGACGCTCTACCACTAGACCACGGATCTGAATTACGGAATCAACGACAACACCACTGAGCTTTGGAGCAAAATATGGCGCTCTATATGCTCAAACAGTTTGTTTACACTGTAATACTTCACTCAAACATATGACAAGCATTGAAAGCAACTTGGAAAGCTAACCTGAAGAAAACTAATCAAGCTTTGCAAAACTTTCGTTCTTCGCCTCGCGTCATCATTATGACGTCATATCGCTCATTGTGACGCCAAAAATGTGCCTTAATGATATATACACACCAAAAAGAAGAAGTTAAGCACACCCTAATATCATTATTGTTTGGCTCCAATACTTGCAAGTCATGAAAGATATAATTACGGGAAGAATTATTTTTTCTCGAGATGATGTAATCAGTCATGCTCAGACTGGTGATGTACAGGGCCGTCCCATATCCGGAAGACCTCCCGTGACGACACATCGCGAAGACATGGACCTTCTTCGTCTCATACGCCGAGAACCCTTTTAACAAGTACTCGTCTGAAACAGATGTGGCTGCCCAATCGTCGTTTAAGCACCAGAACCGTCAGGAACTGGCTGAAACCAGCAGGACTGAGGGCTAGACGAGTCATAAAGCGTCCCTTGTTGAGAGATCACCACAAAGCTCTTCGTTTAGCATGGTGTATTGCGCGACAGAACTGGAATCTGAGAACTTGGAGACGGATCCATTGGTCAGGCGAAAGTCGCTTTCTGCTCCACGTCACTGATGGCAGAACGAGAGTTTGGAGGCACCGGAACACGGCCTACACCCCCAGGAATATTAAGCCGACTGTTGCATACGGCGGGGGCTCGGTATTGGTTTGGGGGTGTATCGCTCATGATTGCAGGTTGGACTTTGTCACCATAAGGGGCAACTCAACAGGGGCTCAGTACATCCGAGACGTGTTGAGGCCAGTCGTCGTTCCTCATTTTGTCAACCGCCCTCTTGCTACTCAACCTCAGTACATGGATGACAGTGCCAGGCCTCATCGTTCGCTTGCAGTCTTGGATTACATGAGGGCCAATGCAATAACGACTCTACCCTGGCCAGCAATGAGCCCAGATTTGAACCCCCTTGAACATGTTTGGGATATTCTGGGGCGGCGCATAGTACAGGAGATCCTCCTGTACAAGATTAATTGGAAGCAGCATTAAAACAGGAGTGGTTGTTGTTGACCCATCAACAGATCCAACGTCTGACTGGAGGCATGAGGCGTAGGGTGGAATGTGTCATCCGGGCATGTGGCGGTTATACCCCCCTACTGATCTGTTTCACGTGTCATGTCAAGTAGAGACTTTAATGAACATTTTCACATGAAATATCAAATGTAACTCGTTTACTTTATCCTGCAGCTCCATACTTTTTTGAGGTATTGTCTAAGGTCAAAAATAGTACCTGTATTACCATGCTGTTTTTGTCAGTAAATTCATATCACAACTCCCAGCAATTGGGATACGATGACATGCATCTACCAAGTCAGCGAGCCTGACCACCCGATTCCGTTTGTCGCCTCTTACGACAAGCATAGTCGCCTCTTACAAGCATGGGTTGCTGAAGACAGTAACACATATATCATGCAGGTAAAATGCAATCAGAGCTGACGATACATTTGTTTATAGCTGACATTACCAACATAGTCCTGTAGCAGATATATAACGTTATCGTACTGTATTCACAATATGTCCATTTGTTACATCAATTAAAAAATTTCGTGTGCACCAAGAGAGGCCTCGTTCTACAGTCCGTTTGATTCCATCTGAGACGGATGAACTCCGGATGAATTGCCCAACTCAAAATCTAATAATTGCAACAAAACCAAAATGTGCACAGCGACATGAATTGGACAGACCAACTCTGATAGTTTGTCTCATAATTTTGACACCCGAATAAAAAAATAAAAAATTGTTTAACAAACAATCATCATATTGTTGACATTTTTCGCCATCCCATACCAGGGAGGACCAGTCGCTCATGGAACAGCCAGGTAATGAACAAGCGTGTGCACCGTATATGGCGGTCATCTCAAAAGCCGTTTTGGGTGTTCAATCGGAGTCACTGTTGCAGGTTTCTGAAGCCGTGACAGTGCATTCGGAATCGGTGTCGCTGTTGTCCGAATCGCTATCGCCGCTGTCCGAGTCTACCCTGATGATCACTGGCTTGATTGTGGCATGGTCCAATCCACTATGATCCCAATATTGTCTCTCTATTTCATTCTCAACTTTCTCAACACACTTTTGCCACGTTTCCTGCTTGATGGTGTCTATTGATTGTTGAACCAGTTTCTGTACATCCCGCAGTTTGAATGTTGTATTTTGCCTGGCCCCAAATTAGTTCTATTGGGTTTAAATCGCAATGATAGGGCGGCAATCGTAAAACTGATTGGCCATGTTCTTTAAAGATACTCGTCAACTTTAAAGACAGGTGTGGTGTAATTAGACTTTATAATATCATACAGAACAGGTTTCGCTGCTTTTTGTGGATATGGTATTGCTTTGTGTGTCAACCATTCTATCATATCGCCCTTCCTACTGTTAGACGTTGGGGCTTTGTGATAGGTACCTGAACGCAATGATATGGAGCATTATCCATGACAACCAGACTCTTGGGGGGCAATACCGGTACCAGTTGAGTTTTAACCCATTCTAGGAATACCGCTCCGTTCATTTCGGTATGATAGTCTGGGTTGTCCTTGGATTTTGCCTTGAAGACTAGCGAACAGCCTGGTAGGAATCCCCGACTCTTGCAGCCAGCATGGAGCACAATAAGCCGCTCACCCTTGCCAAGTGGCAATTTCCTGGCACGGAAATCAGAAGAGGAGCTAGGGAACCATTGTGTTCCGTGGTATGGGAAGCGTTTACCCACGTTTCGTCCAAGTATACGGGCTCATAACCCTCGTAACGTTTTTCTCGTATTGTGCGTAAGAAATGGTTCCTTAGTCGAACAATATCAGACCTCTCGCATAATGCATGTCTATTTTCGGAGCCTACTTTTTTGTAACGGAAACAAAATTGGTGTAGCAATTTCCATAACTGATATTTTGAAATGGTCAAAGAATGATTTGTCTCCATATAATTTGGAGTACGGAGAGAGACATAGATATTTAGTTTATACAGAGTCTTAATGGCGTTTCTAACCATCTCTTGTTGAAATGAATCGACTTTAAAACATCGCTTGGGTTTTGAGATGGTCCCCTCAGGTGTGTCACTGCAGGTTGAATCAGTACACTTTTTTAACATAGTTTTTAACTTCCCTTCTGTTATCCCAACTGCACGTGCAGTTCGTATAAACGATACTTTTTCAAAGCATATTGTGGTCTACCTCTTTCACATTCTTTTCTAAAAAAATTGAAGACGATGCAAATAATTGACTTCGCGTCGAGTGATGTTCTCATTATTTCAGGTATAGCAATCACGCATCTATGGTTTGCTCAGCAAGCCTTACGTCACTTTCGCACTTGAAACTCGCCCACCTGGCTGTTCTATGAGCGACTGGTCCTCCCTGGTATGGGATGGCGAAAAATGTCAACAATATGATGATTGTTTGTTAAACAATTTTTTAATTTTTTATTCGGGTGTCAAAATTATGAGACAAACCATCAGAGTTGGTCTGTCCAATTCATGTCGCTGTGCACATTTTGGTTTTGTTGCAATTATTAGATTTTGAGTCAGTGGGCAATTCATCCGTCTCAGATGGAATCAAACGGACTGTACCTGCCCTGACAAATGACCTACTTCAGTGACATTTTCTGTCCTCTCCAGGAACAGGTTGGTCATGTCCAGGTTGCCGGCCGCGGCTGAATAGTGCAGAGGGGTGGAGTTGTCGCCGTCCAGGGACAGGCTGCTCGCATTTCGGTCCAGCAGGTACGGGGCTATCGTCACCTGACCATATTTGGCAGCTACGTGGAGAGGGGTCATGCCATGGCGGTCTGCACTCTGGAACACGTGACATGCCCTCGGTAATTCTGGGAGTTGTGACAGTACAGACAGTTCATCATGAGTTCTACCACATGGGGGATCTCAGGTTAGAGTAGGTCCCCAGCAATCTATGTTGTCGTGCTAGGCGTCATCGTACTGTGCAGATCATTGCTAATAATATTCACATGATTAATAAATAGAGGTTATCACGCGAATGTGTTTGGGGATGGTAAATATCCTGTATTAGGAACAAACACTATGTATTTAGCTCGCCAAGGCTCGCTAAATACAATGTTTATTCCTAATGCAGGATATTTACCATCCGTAAAAACACACAAGCGTGATAACCTCTTTATCATATAATGTCATTCTTTAATTCTGTGCTTGAAAATCGCTTTCACTCTCACAAACATTACCTAAACTTTGCGAGTTTTCCTGGAATGCGCGCATTAATATTTATTACGTCACAGGGTAAGTGATGTGTCAGCCGGACAGTGACAGTAGCCAATATAGTTCCAACTGAAATCTGTTTCTTACACAGTGGCGAAGCAACATATACGCAAAACAACAATTGTTTTCACTTGCATTTCGCGGCAATTCATCGGTCTGTCCGCTAGAGTAACTGCCCTTTGTCAAAGGGAAGCTACTCCAACACTAGTCTATGAGGCGTCACGGCCACGCTCAGACGTTGTTGACAGTCGGTCTGTCCTGTCATAACGTTAAGAAGTGCAATCAGATGTACACACAGCGACAAAACGAAACATGGTAACAATTCGAACATATTTCGGCCAAATCCAACTTTTTTAATTTGTGGAGAAGGATTCAAGCCGCAGAGGTCTATATTGACTATAAGCACAGATATTGCTACTGATCCCGCTTGGCTAGCTAGGTCTCGTGCCCTCGCAAAATTGTTTCGAAATTTATATCTCCAAAGTTGCCCAAACTTATAAAATGCCTTAGCTACGTCTCAGTTAGACACTGATTTTCATTATATTAGACTGTTCGTTTGATAAAGATAGCAATTATCCCTGTAGTTTATCCAGATTCCCGATGGTTAATTCTGACTCGATCGCCGAATGACGAGGGCGACGCCATGTTTGTTAAAAAAAACAGTGAAAGTAGTCCCTACTTGACCTTTGATATTTGCATCTCTACCCGCATATCACCCAAACGGATATCGTTTTTATCCGTTGGCTTTATCCTGCCGAGAAACCTACCCATTATATGATAAATGGATAGACCAGACTATATACAGGCCGCCGTTACACAAGTAGAATATGGCTGAGTGTGGCGTTAAAAAACAAACAAATACAGCAAAACAGATCGGATACCATGATATCGTAGAAGTCTTCGGACTGGTCCCTCAGTGGAATATTAACTATTGGAACGAAAATACTTCTCTGAAAGCTCCTATTTCTTCAAAACACTTTTTCACAAAATATGCAATGCAAAATGTTGCTGGGTCGTCCGGAAGGTACTTTAAAGAAGTGTTGTAAAATATTTTGGACAGAAAACATGACAGAGAAGGATTAAAATAGGGTATAGTAAAATTCAGTCGGAGATATATGTAACATATTTACCTGTTCTTTCATCGTGAATTAGTACACTTAGGACATGTGGGTTGTCATAGCTACAGTCGGAGATATATGTAACATATTTACCTGTTCTTTCATGGTGAAGTAGAACACTGAGGACATGTGGGTTGTTATGAGTATCAATATAATGTGAAAACGAACTCGTTAGCTACATTTAACACACATCATTATAATTTCCATAGTGTCATGGGAGATTCGATACCACCTGTCTACAAATCAGAATGTAGGACACATCATAGTGGAACCATTCATTGCAGGGGTTGCTTCATGTCCTTTGGGTGGATGTGTAAATAATGGAACAAGGACATCACTCTACACATTTTCTGGAATGTTGCTCTACGTACATATATGAGTTTTTTCTTGTCATCTTGCCATTCTGCCGTCTTTTCATGTCTGCTGTCGGGGTTCGAGGTGTCGTCGTTGTCGTTCAGAAGTTCAACGGCGTGTTTGTTCCCGGACATGACGGCGTAGTGCATGGGTGTCTGTCCCCCGAGATCTCGGCTATACATCAGCAGCTTCTCCTCCCGCTTCTCCGCATCTTCCTCCAGGGTCAGCCTCTTGCGTCCGCTCTTCTTCCTCCATTTTCTTTTCTGTACTTTGTCACTGTCTATGATGACTTTCAGGCAAGACCTCCCCTGTTTTGAAGCATGTTTGATATACAGTCTATTCCCCTACCTTGTCGGGGGCACGGATGGCCCAGTCGTCCAAGGCGCCGCGATTCGCTGTGCAGAGTTGCGTCCCTTGGGCACGCCAGAAACCTATGATTATGGGTTCGAATCCCGGTCCGCCCTGATTACTTTTCTAGGTTTGTCAGCACCATACCCGTGCTCGTGGGTTTCACCGAAGTGGTAAACGTCTGAGACCTGCATCACTTCGGGCTTTCCTCCCACATTAAGCTGACACGCCGTGATATAACTTGAAAACTGTTAAAAGCGGCGTTAAACCAAACTCACTCACTCACTCACCCTACCTTGTCCATCCCACAGAATATCTACCTCCCATCTGCAGCACATGTCATATGCATAAACATACATATATAAACTCGCTGTTTCTCAGCTTAAATGTAGAATGTCAAACTATCTCTTCCTCGAAGTTGACCTCAAACACAAGTCATTTCGAATGTTCAATCTTCAAAATAGAAAATGGAACTTCTTTTTGATAGCTTGAGATGAGGGCATTGATACAGTTGAGAAAGTTTTATTTCTGTTTTACTTCAATGAACATTACAATGAACTATATCTCACCTCCTCGCCGCTGTCGCGACGGACCACGCTGCCGTCGATACAGATGCCGGGATTAATGTTCCCCCGGACAGTCTTGGCTGCATAGTGTGCCAGGGACAGACCCTCGCTGTCTCGCACCTGGCGGGCACTTTCTGATTAACACAATGAAGCAGATAAGAATAGCTTAGGGACTGATGTGATAATAAATCCTGTCTCTTACACAAATCCCCAAACCTCCACTGAATATTTAATGGAAGGTTCCTCACAAGACTGTGCAATATGGCAACACGATATTCAAACGTGTTAGACGTCCTGAGACACTCGGGTCAATTGAGATCAGACATACTTCAGGCACCATCGAAGTCACTTCCTCGATTATCCAGTGTATCGTATCTCCATTCAAAAATGATAAAACCCTGGACCAACTGGCCACGATAATTATTCTTTGGAAAGTGACCTCGTCTTCCACATCTATCTCATCACCAACTTCGCACAGGATTTCTCTCGCTCATGAGTGTAATATGATTGGACGGCTATTTATTCGAAATGTGTTCAAAACAAAGCTATAGAAGCGAATGGGCCCAGACTATGAATGATAATATAACGGAGACATACTACTGGATAAACGAGGATGTCAAAGGCATATAACTCACTCGATGTATCGCCTTGTTGATGTTTAATAATTCGAGTCAAAGGCTGAATAATACACATATACCTTATCTGTGCATCTATGCATGATCAACTAGATGATCATGACTATACAAGGTATGCAGAACAAAGGTAACTGTTATTGTGTTCCCTGTTGCGATTTCGGGATGTGCATGTCCCTTCAGCATAATATAACCCTACAGCGTGCACCGACACACATGCCGCCTGTCACTGATGTATCTGGTCTTGATTCGATGTCAATGCAACCGCGTTTCTATTTTGTGGTGTAATGGACATGTGGGTTGTGGTGGCTACAGTCGGAGATATATGTAACATATTTACTTGTTCTTTCATCGTGAAGTAGTACATTAAGGCATGTGGGTTGTCATGGCTACAGTTGGAGATATATGTAACACATTAGCTGTTTTTTCATCGTGAAGTAGTACACTGAGGACATGTGGGTTTATCATGGCTACAGTCGGAGATATATGTAACATATTTACCTGTTCTTTCACCGTGAAGTAGTACACTGAGGACATGTGGGTTGTCATGGCTACAGTCGGAGATATATGTAACACATTTACCTGTTCTTTCATCGTGAAGTAGTACTCTAAGGACATGTGGGTTGTCATGGCTACAGTCGGAGATATATGTAACACATTTACCTGTTCTTTCATCATGAAGTAGTACATTGAGGACGTGTGGGTTGTCATGGCTACAGTCGGAGATATATGTAACATATTTACTTGTTCTTTCATCGTGAAGTAGTACACTGAGGACATGTGGGTTGTCATGGCTGCAGTCGGCGATATATGTAACACATTTACCTGTTCTTTCATCGTGAAGTAGTACACTGAGGACGTGTGGGTTGTCATGGCTACAGTCGGAGATATATGTAACACATTTACCTGTTCTTTCATCGTGAAGTAGTACACTAAGGACGTGTGGGTTGTCATGGCTACAGTCGGAGATATATGTAACACATTTACCTGTTCTTTCATCGTGAAGTAGTACTCTAAGGACATGTGGGTTGTGATGGCTACAGTCGGAGATATATGTAAAACATTTACCTGTTCTTCCATCGTGAAGTAGTACACTAAGGACATGTGGGTTGTCATGGCTACAGTCGGCGATATATGTAAAACATTTACCTGTTCTTCCATCGTGAAGTAGTACACTAAGGACATGTGGGTTGTCATGGCTACAGTCGGCGATATATGTAACAAATTTACCTGTTCTTTCATCGTGAAGTAGTACACTAAGGACATGTGGGTTGTCATGGCTACAGTCGGAGATATATGTAACACATTTACCTGTTCTTTCATCGTGAAGTAGTACACTGAGGACATGTGGGTTGTCCCAGATGACTGCACACTGCAAAGCTGTCAGTTTGTTTGAATCCCGAGTGTCGAAGTCCACGTAACTGTTGTTCTCAGGATTGTCAAGCATGGCCTTCAGCGTCATGTCGTCACCTTCTCTGGCGAGCTACAACATGAAAACTAACCTCTGTCATTTACCTTTGGAATGCCATACTCTCTGATCAGAGAAACATAAATACATTCTCAAAATGTAAGGCTAGTCTGTGTACACACAGTCATACAGCTTCATATAGTCTGCCAAAAAAGAAACGCAAAAGTTCTTTTCTGCATGGGTTAAGATTTATTTCTGTAGAAAAAATAAGGTCCTGCAGAAATTCGGTGAAAAGATGGAAACATCGCAAAAACATAACCATGTTAGAGCCTGACACCGAAACAGACCATGACATGCACGTGCAACATCATTTGTTTGGCTATGAACGCGTTGGGTTTCAATTTGCATGCCCCTAAAACTGACAGAAGCCAACGCAACAACGCCATCTGCCGGCTGCAAACAGGAGAATCATCTTCAGCTGTAGCCAGGTGTTTCCACGTAGCACTAAGCACCTTTAAAGACTGTGGAAATGTTATCAGACACTCGGGACAACACGGGACCTTCCTAGATCCGGTCGACCAAGTGTCACTACTAGAGGACAGGACAGCTTGATACTGTTACATCACTTTTCTGAAAGAACCACCATGGCCACCTCTACAACTACGGCAATACGAGGATTGCGTAGGATATCAGTCAAGACTGAAGAACCGTTTACGCGCGGAAGTTATTCGCGCTAGGTGACCAGTTCGAGGTGTTATGTTGACGGATATGTATCGTCGGCTGCGACGTCAGTGGTGTCAAGGTCACAGAGTATTGCCAAATCTGCGATGGAGAAAAGTCTGGTCTACTGACGAGTCACGTAATATGCCACGCCATGCGGATGGTAGACGTCGTTTTTGCAGGCTGTCTCAAAAAAGCTAGCAGGAACTGACCCCTCCAAAACAGAAACCGTTCGTACATTCCCCCCTCCAAAGAACATCCATCATTCAGCTTTCTTGGACTGTGCAGTTAATAAAGAAAATTAATCGAATGTTATTCCGAAGTTGCAACACCACGTAATGCCCTTTTACCAAAGATATACCCTTCAATTGCTCTGAGGATTGCCAAACTGCATTTGATCAATTGAAACAGTCTTGTTCAGGCTCCTGTTGTGGCCTATTGTGACATGATAATGTCCTTTTACCAAAGATATTCCCCTTCAATTGCTCTGAGGATTGCCAACTGCACCTGATCAATTGAAACAGTCTTGTTCAGGCTCCTGCTGTGGCCTATTGTGACATGAAGCAACCATTCATTCTCACCACAGATGCGGATCGGCGGTTTGTTATGTATTATGTCAAGGGACGAGCTAAAGCAAAGAGGGAGATCTCTTAATTCATATGAAAGGTACTGGACTGTAAGTGAACAACTGAGAACGTTTAACAGTAGTAGAGTCATAAGTTTTACTTCGGGACATGGTACCGGTAAAGTGTGAAAAAAGGTTTACTTCGGGACATGGTACCGGTAAAGTGTGACATGAGGTTTTTTTCGGGACATGGTACCGGTAAAGTTCGGCATAGGTTTTACTTCGGGACGTTGTGTATTACTTCTCTAAATATCAGTCTATTCCATTTCCTTGTATCAATCTTCAAATGTGATTGACAAACACTCGATAGGTCACGTTGGGTGAACTTACTGATCATACAATCGGTGCGACGCTTCTCAATTCTCGATAAGCTCTAGAAAATCATTAAGATTTTGTTTGTTTAACGCCGCACTCAGCATTATTCCAGCTATATGACGGCGGTCTATAAATACCAGACAATCCAGTGATTGACATAATGAGCGTCGATCCGTGCAATATATATATATATATATATAGTGTTGGGTCTGTTAGGGTTTTCGTTTGCAGAGATTTAAAATTCCGAATCGAGGTGTTAAAGAAATGAAACCGATACGTATTAGAAATTTGATTGGTTAAAGGACTTGAGGCAACCTACCTTTTTATTTTATACATCTGCGTGAAAGACTGAGTTTTCTGAAGTTGTAAAAAGTGATATTTTCATTGCAGTGAACATAACACTTGATATTTCACTGCAGTGAACATAACACTTTATTTTTCAGTGCAATGATCATAACACTTTGACGGAACTATGGTCATACAAGAGTTACTTCCCTTTTAATTGTCTCCCTTTGTCGTAAGTGACCAGCCTGTACACAATTGTTGACGTTCTTTTTACGTTAGTTCCACATTGACAAGGCAAAATAATGACGGATGGTCATTTAGGGAGTTAATATCACTTTTAGCCGTTGATTCTTCGCTCGAAAGTGTTTAGTTATAAACTGTAAATCTCTCATTTACTTCGTCATATCGAGACTTTTCGTTTCGCAAAGCGCCATTTTTGTTAAATGTATGACAAAGAATTATCGTGACCCTAAATATTTTTTTTATATTTTTAGGTATCACAGCATGCATTGAGGCAGCTGGAGGTCATAGACTCTATTGAAGGCAACTGTGTCGATAATGAACTTGCAGTGTGTCTGACAATTGTTTGGTGACATTTCAGACAACTTTTGAAAATGAAATTTTTTTACCTCACCATTGTTTATCTTGAGCTTACATTACCAGTGATTGCACAATTTCATTCATACTGTGGTTGATCAATCATTTGTTACCTCCCTAGATTATATTATAGTTTACAACAAAACGCTCTTCTTGTTATTTTTTTATCGATCATGGAACTCGACCTATACTTTCTTTTGCCGCCCAGTTTAGTTTTTATAAGATTTTGCAAACACGAAACTACTTTTTAAGTCGCAAATACAAGGGGTGGTAAGCGTCCCCGTGTGTCAGATAGGGAGAATTAATGAGAGAAACATGATTTTTCACGAGACACATGGAATATCCTCTATGGTATTGAGCAGTCAGTGTTCATTGTATGGTGAGTGAGATCATAATAAACTAATGTGACTGTCTTTGTATGAACGTATCTTTTTTAGCAGCACAAAGCTTATCATTGCTGGGCGGTGAAAACACTAAATATTCGTCTCCCGGAGCGTAACGTCTTCATATAACCTGTTTGATCTGATACCACTCGACAACAAACAACTGTAGCAGGTCAAGGCGGCATTTCTGGTGTCAGTGTCACTGTGTTTTATCTCACTATCGTAAAGTTCATAAAATGTGGTTGCTATTCCGTTCAAGAAATATCTTGACTGACACAAATAAATCAATTCATAGCAACACCCACATATGATGTTTTGAAGTATACTGAACCAAATTAAAAACTTCACAATCCTAAAATTTTAACATTTTGACCAGTTATCATTGTGGGCCCTTAATGTGTATTTAAACAGTAATGGCCACGTATTGTCTTCAGATAACTGTCGTTTTTGTGCAGGTGAATCGATGAAAATCATGTGCACAGCACTATAGTGGCAAAAGTGGTTTTTCACGTGCAACTGGTCACGTGGCCATAATACCGCACGTGTTTTCAGCCATACTTGTTAGCCGTCATTAACAAAAAAAAGAAAAACACAAGAAAATAAAAGTCTTTACGGCGTTGTGAGGCAGTTGTCAAGTGAAATGGTGGCCATACACACTACTGAACTTGTGTGCCATCAGATTCTCGTGCTTGGGACGTATGATTTAAACTGTTGATGTTATTACCGAATACCGTAGGTGCTTGGAACAAATTATGGTTACCACCGTTAATTAAAATCCTTTTTTGGACATTAATGATGAAAAATTACCTTCTCTGATACATTTGTCCGTTGTATATCATATATGGGATTACTTTTAAAAATGTGAAGTTTTTAATTTGACTCAGTATATGTGGATTCTTATAATTCAAAGCATGATTAGTTCGTGGCAGTCAAATATTGGCAGGATTTCATATGAAATGTACACACATTTAGATAATAACCCATGAAATGGTAGGATTTAAGGAAAGGTTACCTACCCATGGCGGAAAGACGTAGAAAAATATTATTTTGAGTAGACACACTAGCTCAGAAAGAATATGATATCATGAACTAGGATGACGTTATCAACTATTTACTATCTTTTCAAGTATTAAAAAAACAATGGAACATAATTTGCTGCACACAATCAGCATAAAACAACAGTTAATGTTCACCGAGAAACACTGACGCAAGGCCGCCTATATCCGCGCCTCTATGGGTAACAGAGAACATACGAGCTACGAGGAGCAGAGTAACGTTAATTCACGGACAGATAATCCGTTATTAAGAGTTGCGAAAAGCCTATTCTCTATATTACCCATAGATGCACTGACGTCACATTAAATCGTTATGACGTCATGAACAATAGAAGGCGACAAAACAGTATTTGCGACAATGCGTTCATTTCATTGTAGACGTGTTATATAGGTACATCCCCGTGAAGATCCGGGCTAGAATTGGTCTTCAGCCTGGTAGTAAGAAGCGATTAACGGGATCGGGTGGTCAGGTGATTTCGTTGATGCATGTCATCGCACCCCAATTGCATTGACCGATGCCCATGATGTCAATCACTGGATTGTCTGGTCCAGATTCGATTATTTACAGACTGCTGTTATATACCTGGACTATTGCTGAGTGCGGCTTGAAACAACAAACAAACAAACAAACAAACATAGCTGTACAATCAACTTACGTTATGAAGGGTAAGTTTCTCCATGGTGCCGTGGAAGTCACCTGCAGCTGTAGCAGGTTGATAAGTGTCAACAAGGCGCTCGTGGTCCGATGGCCAACGTCAAGTACATATCACAGAGAGACAGGTTATGAGGTTTTAACGAGACGCTCGTGGTCCGATTGCCAACGTCAAGTACATGTCACAGACAAACAGTGTGCACCATGGGTGCATATGTGTCGTGTCAGTAGTCTATTTAAGCAATGCAATCCCCGTTACCTTAATCGCTGGTATGTGACTGTCTGCACAACGCTCTTCCCCTAGATACCGGGTCTGTTATCCCGTTTTTATGTAACAAGTTGATACATGCCGTTCTCTTCCTAGAAATGTATTGTTGATGCCTATCGAGGTAATGTGCACTAATCAATAGCTGCACTTTGACAGATATATAGTCAATATGCGATTCTGTAAAATAAGAGTGACACGAACAGAGGGAATGAACAGCTACAAAGTTATCGTAGCTTGATAATTTATTTTACTAAGTGACAATAACCTTTACCTCAACTGGCGGACAAGTGAGGGACAAAGTGGCTAGCTATGTATATGGAACAGTAAATAGTAACCAACATTCTATGAATGTCTCAGGATGGTTTGCCTGAGTTTGTTTTGTAATAGGTTAGGTTTACATTGGGCCCTGTGGCAGAGCGGATGGTCCGGGTGGATCGGTCACGTTAAACTAAAAGACGTTAACAGATGGTACTTGTTGTTACCCTGTCTGGAGCTCAGCATTAAGGGGCTAAAACAAGCACTGGTCTGCTTAGAGTCAGTATATTGTGTCTGAGAGGGGTATTCATGTTCAACTGCGGTATTGTATCTCAGTGGGCTAGCACTATAAAATAGGCATCAGTCCGGACTAGTACAAGCAGCCACACACACACACCACGGGTCCAGTCCTACTCAGTACCCTGCCAACCCGAGTAACATCCAGCGCCTGGACCCATGATGACCCGAGAAGGAAGAATCGTCGTGAGAGGCGACTGATGGGATCAGGTGGGTCAGGCTCACTGACTAGGTTGATGGATATCATCGTATTACAATGGCGTAAATCGATGCTTATGATATCAATCACTGGATTGTCTGATCCAGACTCGATGATTTACCGACCGCCGTCATTGACTGGAATATTGCTGAGTGTGGCGTCAAACAACGAACCAAGAAACAAGTCAACCAGTCACGTTGCGTCATGCGTCATGCGTCTACCCTAACACGCCATGTTATGTTATAAAAAATCCGGGGGGGGGGGGGGGGGGGCGGTGTGATATGCGGTTGATGGTAATGTCTCTGTTGTCGCCTATATAATATGAATAATCGTCGAACGTGTATTGGTTTAAGCATATTACAAGTCCTCTTTGTTCGGCCGTTACCCATTCACGTTGTTGATAACAGTTTGCATGTTGCCACCACATTCTCAATGCCCCTCGCATAACATAAACTACTTACACACGGGTATATTTGTTTACTGTCAGTATTTACAAAGGGACATCGAAATTCACTGTAGCTCTTCAAAAATGTATTTGCATAATCATGTACATGCTTACATGTGTTATATTTCATGAAGACTGTTCGTACTCGGCGTCTGACAGACAGCTGAGCAGACTTCGGGGTCTGCCGGTACGTGTTGCTTGCGTGATCGATTTCAACACTCCATACAACAATCGATGCGCGACGTATTCTCGGTTAAGCTGTCTTTTCTCATCTTCCCTAGGCAAGAGAGTTAACTGACTATACAAATCCAGTTTCCACCCTTGCCGAACTAGGCTGGTATTATGGAGTTAGATTTTGGCTGGATTAACGAGTCCTTGCATAGTCCAATCAAAATCGCGCACCGAAATCGAAATCCGGTTCGTAAACTGTCGCGCAGATTTCGGTCGATTGCAGGATTTGCACAGCATGTGTACTGCCAACTCGTTGTCAACATATATTTTCGGAATCTTTTCAAGTTTTTAATCAAGGTGCTCACGTGATTTGATGTACTTCGCGATGTAAGACCCGTTGTCTCACAATATAGATCTTGATTATCGAGCAGATCGCCTTGACTGGGCAGCGCCATTTTGTTTGAAGCAAATGCAAGTGATACGAGAGGTGGAATCTGATTGGTCCATAGGAGAGACATAGAAGGGACTTAATTTGTAACAGCCACTACGATCGAGCCCAGGAATTCCAGCCAAGTTCGGCAATGGTGGAAACTGGACTTTTAATGTCAGTTTAACAACCTTGCCTCGGGAAGATGTCTTTTCTTAGAAACTGTTTATACAGTTTTCCTGGAAACTGCCTCTCTAAAGAATTGTCTCATGGGTATTGATTAATGCCACTTTCGCCTATATAGGACGGTTACACCACAACGCGCAAAATGTGTAGAACTCAGAGGAACTGGTACCAACGCCACTTAAAAACTGTAAAGGATTAAGTAAAATAAGCATTTGAAACGGTAGTTTATAAAAGATACATTTTGGTCCCTACAAACAGTAGTAGTGTTGGGAAATAAGCCATTAATATTTATATATATTGTCAATACAAGTAGAAGACGTTAAAAAAATAAAAACAATCTCATTGAAATCGGGATCCGGTTCCACAAATCGATCTTAGATGTAAATTGATCTTACGTTTTTGTTACGATCCACAAAGCAATCTTAACTAAGAGTGTTGTAAGTTAAGGTCAAAATGCTAAGTTGCTCCATTCTAACTTGTTAGTGATGTTTAATTGTTCCATAACACAAAAAAAAGACTTTTGTTTGTTTTTGTTTGTTTGTTGTTTACCGCCACACTCAGCAATATTCCAGCAATATGACGGCGGTCTGTAAATAATCGAGTCTGGACCAGACAGTCCAGTGATTGACATCATGAGCATCGGTCCATGCAATTGGGATACAACGACATACATCAACCAAGTCAGTGAGCCTGACCACCCGATCCCGTTAGTCGCCTCTCACCACAAGCATAGTCGCAAGAAGCCTGGCAACTTTTTAAGAAGTGTGTCAACGTGTGAGGCAGTTTTCAGATCATCTACAGATGTCAACAATCTGACAAGGGACTGAATTGAAAAGGCAAAGTTGTCAAAAGCTTCGTAATCACCAGGTTTGACGGTGGGGATGGAGTGTTAATATGCGATTGATCTCACTTCTAGCTAGGTTTTGATCTTGCCCATAATTCTCCTTCAATGCTTCAACAGCCTTGGTGTAAGGTGTGGGATGAAGGAGAAAGCTTGTAGCGAGGGTGACTGGTTTACCGCCTAAAAGGTCTAGGAGCACTCCATACTTATATCTTTCATTGAGCTGTGAGTGAATATCAAGGAGACTTTCGAGTGTTATCTGCAAAACAGCAAAGTCTTTCTCTTAACCTCTGATAAACATGGGTAATCTTGGTTTTGGCACCCCATATGCTGATAGAAATAATTCATAATTTGGTCCATAAGCAATTGGCTGTTGTTGTTATGATAGTAACTACAGGCTTGTGGCATGACATTTAATCGAGGTATTATTTGTGGAATACTTGGCATTGGATTTATCCCACTGGTGTATGTTGGATATGTATGAAATGTAGACATCCCTGTCTGATATGGAGGCATAATTGGGTCATATTATGAAATCACTGGCTTATTCGATTAGACATTTGGAAAGTCTAGTCTAATCATGTGACCTGGATATGTGACATTTGACAAATGTTGAGGTTTTGCAGGTTTAGGTCATATTTCTGTTTCATGATAACATTGGAATGGCAGCACTTGAATTGTGAGATGAAATTACCTCCGACTTTACAGAGATTGGCTCTGCAAATGTGAACACAGATGTGGTTGGCTCAGTTGTCTTGGTACTAGAACAGGATGCTGTCCCTGAGGCTTCAGATGTTGAGACTGTTGTCATGGTAACAGGCATAGTTGACACTTTGGAAGCTGTAACATTTGAGTTCAAGTTCAATGAAGTAATGTCATGTAATGAAACTTCAACATTCAGATGTGAAGCCCATTTCCGGTGTCCCCCGCCGTGATATTGCTGGAATATTGCTAAAAGCGGCGTAAAACCATACTCACTCACTCACTCACTCACTCACTCAACATTCAGAGAAGAAATTTGCACATCAAAGGGTACGGTTAATTCTTTTGCATTGCCATTAAGACTTGATATCTGACCGGGTGAAACACTGGCACTGATACGGTCAGTGATATTTGTAGCACCAGTGATCTTTGACACTTCAGACAAAATTTATCATCAATGTCAGTTTCAGTTTTAATTGGTAAAACAATGTCTTTATCATTTTCAGAAACCATACCATGAATAATGGATGCCATTTCTAATTCGGCTTCTAATTGCCTCATTTGACAATGTCTTTGCAGTGATGATTGAATTCTCTGCTTTTCTCTCAAGCATTCATCAAGTTCATCTTTCATTTTATCATGAAGAATTTCTTCTTGGTGTTGTTTTTTGCAGTTCACATAATTTCTGTGCTGGTTTAATTTTCTCAATTTCAGCTTGTTGTTTTTCTGACAAATTTGAGGAAGCTGTAGATGAAAAGTCAGAAAAAACATGAGCGGGAAGGAATTATAGAAATCACTGACCTCACATCATCCTGAGTATGTTTACTTGGATCAGGATGCAGAAAGTCTTGTAAATGTTGAGGAATTCAACGCTGTCTCTTACTTCGTCAAGTGTCGCTCATTTTCAACTATTATCGGGCTCGCAGGATCATTTGTTGCGTGGTTCTTTGGAAAGTTTTAAAAACAGTTGAAAACAAGTCATTTGAGGTTCAAAAAGTCAATTTATATGGCTCAAATCTGGTTCACTAGGATCAGACTCAACACATGTGTTTAACATGGTGGCTGACATATTGGATCTATATAAAAATTATAGCGCTCGGTTCCAAATTAAAGGAAAGAGGTGTCTACTCTACAGTGGGACTACATCAAATTTCAAAACACAGCAGGTTTATCTCCTTATTGAAGCCCAGGTAACTATCTCCAAACTGCCCATGGAGGCCCCATAAACAGCCATCATGTACTGAAATGGCTTGATATTTGAGAAAAATGTGTTTTTCACTTCTCCGGCAAAAGTACATCCAAGTGAGCCAACCAAAAAGACAATGGTCTGCATTACCTGTTAGAGAAACGTGCCAATTGTCGTTTTTGGCGTAAATGTGCAGGTCTTTTGAAGCACTTTGCACTTTGAATTAACCAACCTAACCGTGTGTAGTCCTGTATAGTGATAGCCT